ACATGCAACGTTTTCCATAACTTTAATAAAGGTTTGAACTTTTGATGTAAAATCCGACAATACCGCATAGAAGAAATGTATCAACCCAACTTTTATTTCTTTTTAATACATTTGATTTTCCATTAAGCTGCCTACATCACTGTCTTACACGTTAAAATCCAGACCACACTTTTGAAATGACCAAATCGGTATACACAATTCTAATGAAATATAACCACAAATAACTATTTAAAAAACCTTCGCCAATTTGCCACAGTTCGCCTTTTTATTCCTTTTGTTTCTCGAATTATTCCTTTTGTTTCTCGAATTCGCTGTCTGGTTCGGGATTTTCAACCAATGTCTAAGAGATGACGCCCTACTCAATTCCCCAAAGATGTCGCCACGTTTCTTGACAATACGAATTGAAAATTTTTAATACACTTTATCAATAATAGAAATTAGAAAATCTTCATATTATACTGTCATTTATCATCTCATTTTGATAAGTTTCACATTATTACGGAAAACGATTTTAAATATCGTCTAAAAATTAATCATATTATTTAATTTTCGTTTGTTTTAACGTTAGTGATAACAGTCGATAAATATTCGAATTTCTTAAATTTATTGCCAACGAGCAAAACCAAACGAGCAAAATCAGAATAGCCAACAATTTCAATCATTGTTGATCTCTTCGTATAAATTAGATCTTAATATAATTTGGGAGGTCATATCTTTTAATATTTTATTGCTTTTGGGAGGCCATAACTTTAATAAAAGGAAATAAATAATTCAGGTCCGCATTAAAAAAAAGTTCATGCTGGACTGCATATACGACGGCCTCCCCATAAGAGCAATGAGAGGATTTACGTCCCAGTCATAGAGAAAGTTAATAGTTTAGAGAGTGGTGAATCGCGTGGTAAAATGTTGGGAGATTGCGCTTTTGGCACCCTCTAGTTGGCTACAGGAACGAACTATGAAAGAGCGGGAGATTTAAATTATTATTATACTTATTATTTTTAAGGCAATTAAAACTAAGAGTGCCCTTAACCAAAAACAGTGAAATAAATGGAGATACCTACTCAAATTTTATATTATCATGATATTAAAGGATATAAATACAGCATTTATAATCCTTTTACACCTTTTTATTCAAAGTCTTACACGCTAATATAAAATTTGACTATCTCCATTTATTTCACTATTTTTGGTTAAGGGCACTGTTAATTTTAATTTTCCTTTTTATGGGAAAACGATTAAATGGGAAGAATTGAATGGGAATGGAAAGAATGACCAATTATTGTATTTTGTATTAATTTATAATACCCCTATTCTACTAAATATCTAGCTACATTGTACTTACAGTTAAATAGCTACATTGTACTAGTTATATACATATTTACAGTTTTATGATGGCTATTATTTCTTTTCATCGTGCTATCAATTGATTCGATCCGACTTGAGTACTATACCTCGAATGGCTCCAGGAATTATTTATCTTTACAGGCCTAGAATATGAAGATTCACAGTAGAATTTTTGGTTTTACTGCCTATTAGAAACAAACCTACCCCCCTACATCAAGGGACATACAATTATGCCTTGTTCTCGGCCATGATATTCCTTCCATTCTATATCCAACATCCAACTTAGCAGACCTTCTGCACAGCTTCCTTCTGGTTCACAACAGGGCCTAGACTGGCCGGATGATATTTTAACAGAATAGCCGAATTAATTTTTAACATAATATCTCTTTCACACTTTCATTTAATAATTAAATAGGAGGGCTGGATGGTATAATTTCTAGAAAGAATAGCCTGTGAAATAAATACTTCTGCATGGACATTACCTTTCTTACCTTTGTCTGCTATTTTTTAATAAAAAACAACTGTTTAGTTTGCACAAAAATAAAATTAACAATCAAAAATTTCTTAAAAAATGATCAAGCATGGATCAATGCAAACAACAAAGTCAACAAACAAAAGAATGAGGTTAGCGGTGTTGCCAATGTCAATTTTCTAAACTACCCAAAAATCTAAATGAAATTCGCCAATTTGGGGAGAAAAATGTCCCGATTCACCAAAAATTCCCCATATGATTATTTTAACAAAAAAAAATAATTTTAATAAAAATACAATATTTATTATATATGTTAGAGGGATTAAACTGTAAATTACCTCCTTGTTTTTTAATCCCTTCCCTAATAGTCATTAAATAATTTGAGGTCACTAAAATTTCTTTCAACTGAAGCATTTGCAAAGGGAAGCACAAGTAAAAAGCAGATTATACTTTTTAAGTTGGGAAAGATATATCGTCCCGCTCCGTTTTTAAAGCTAAAAATTTTACGCCATTTTTAATCAGCAATAAAATGTTGACACTCCCCTTATTTTCGCCGCCTATTGCTAATCCCCACAAAATTCCCAATCGGCTCCGGATTCCTCAAAATTTGGGTAATTCCCCACAAATTGGCAACGCTGGAGGTTAGCGTGTTCTTTCTGAATATGCTAAGACTAACGGACTAGTGTCGAAACTAGTCGAAACACAGATAGCTAGATGGACGTATTTCGGCACTTGCGTCGATGCGCTACAGGAACATTTGCCTGCGCGTCGTATGTCTTCTGGCAGTCTTTTAATTTTTCTGTTTGTCTATGGTCCCAGTATTGAAGGAGGACAGAAAATCGAGTCGAATGGTTTCAAGACATAGGTTCACCCTTGTTTAGTCAAACCTCCTACAACACAAGGATAGACTTATGTAGGAAATGCATTGAAATTCTGTAGCCATCCTTCAATATCGGGACAGGAATTTAAGCGGTACTAAACCGACGAGTAGCGACAGTCCCGTTTTCAATATTCTTTGCGGCTGCGCGAAATAAGTAGGTTATCTGTCATATGAAGAAGCGAAGTTGCCACTGTTGCCATTTATCAAATATCTTTATATACTTTATTTCAAGTATACCTCAGGCAACGAATCGTTTTTTTAATTATTTATTAGCTGTAAGATATTTTATACATTCAAATTTAGAAATAAGGATAAAATAAAACAAAAAAAATATGTATAAAACTTTATAATTAATTCCACTTCAAATTATGAGCAGTGTATACCATGTTTATAGGACCACTTCATAAGTTGAGCAGTTAAATACGTAGTCTATCTGTCAAACACGTCAAAAGAGAGAGAAAGAAAATTTGGTCCCACCACATCAAAAGAGCCGATGGTTTCTGTCGCTACTCGGCGATCTACTTACTCTGATATTACTAATGTAGAATCACTCAGTATAAACAAAACCGTATCTGCGATTCTTTTGTCGACAACTCTATTGTTCTGTCGTGATTTTTGCAGCGTGCATTTTTCTCGTATCATTAAAATACTCGTTTTCAGTTCATAGCCTTGAAAATTCCATAAAAAGTAAAAAGTTTACCATAAGAAGTTTATAAGTACATGTATTATGCGAATATAAAACATCTGTGAAATTTAGAACAAACTGCCATAATAACAATTATACAAACATTTAAGTCTTGTTTATATGCAGTATAGTTAAAGATACAAACAAGGATTTAAGTCAGCTTTAAGTATTGTGGTTTTTTTCCTACTCTCAAAGTGTTTTCTTCCAAATAGAACAACCTAAGTACCAAACGATCTAAAAAACGGCGTCACAGTTGGCTTGAAAATCATTCACACGCATATACAGTTGAGTTTTTTGCATCGTCGACCTGGACATAGGAAAAAAACGACAAATAAGTTGTCCCCAACACACATGCCACCTTCAAATTCGATTTCTTAATCTAGAGAAAAAGTGTAAACTGTAAACAGAATAGTGTATAAACAAATGTAACACAAATCACACAAATAGCCACCTCGTCATAATGAAAAATACCATCCAAAAGAAATGATTGAAAATTGCAAATTGTCACTGGCAAGTTCATTTCGCTCTTTAAAATTAACCAAGGTATATGTTGACAGGAGACAAAAAACAAAATGCTCAGGAGACATGGTTCTGACAGAAAAATAATGTTTTAGGATTTGCTCACGAAATTATTGCACAGGAAGTCCAACTTTTAGTAAGTTAGTTACAACCCTGTATAATAAAACCCAATACTAAAGTTTATAAAAAACTGAATTTACGAATTAAAATTCATATATGTATTTATAAGTTGTATATACAGGGTGGTCCGAACTGTATTATAACTTCATATAAAAATAAAAAAAAATATAACACTTACATTTGACCAAAACTTTTTCCGTTGCTTTTTTTTGTATCTGAGTAGACGCAGACAAAATATACCGGCGTTGCTGCACGCCGCTGTCCCAAAAATATTAACTTGTGAAAGTTTATATTTTTATTTTTGTTATAAATTCCACAAATTATACATGCACTTTGTATGTTCCATCCTATACAGTTTTTGTCCTATTTTGATAAAAAGATAGTATCACAACATACTCGTATACCTAAGCACAGATTTTACCCAAAAAACGCTTTAGATGAAACATTACACATTGTTTACATCTGATTTGTGTATCTTTGACACCTTTGTTTTGAACAGTAAAGTTTGTCTGATTATATTATAATATTACAGGGGCTCATAAAAATGATAGAAATCCTACATATACCTACTAAAATTATAAAAAAGTAGAAATTTAGAATTTTTCAAATAACTGATATCAACAAATTCTAGGTTACATTTATTTTCTCTACAGACCTACTAAACTCATCTATAAAACATCTGTAAAATATATTTAAGTAGGAATAAAACCACTGTATATAATTACAATTAAATAAACATTTAAGTCATTTTTAAGCGCTGTACTTTTTCTATTTGATACTTTTGTTTTGCAATACTATAATAATTGTTATTATCTCGACCCATATTAATATTCTGCGTTGTGGATTTTTTCTGGAGACCTACTATCGCTAGCCAGTCCGGAATACAACATAATTTAAAATCTTTATAACTTGATATATGTATATATTTTTTGGTACAAAGTTTATCAGTCGTTCATGAGCTCTCGTTTCGTTTGTTTCAGACGATGTTCCAGAGTTTCGCCAGTTATTTCTTAGGTGGAACTGACACTACTGGAGGGGTCGACAATGGCGACGACAATAATACGAGGGTAAGTGAAACACTCAGTATAGTATATTTTAGTACAAAAAAAAGTAAGTGAGAGAATACAACGGCGCGCGGCGGCTGGTAGAATTTCGATCTACTATATTTCGGGTTCTGAACATGGGATTCACATCAAATTTTATTGAATTTTTTGGGGGGTCTATCACAATTTTTTTTCATTAAAAACAATTTTAAAATTTGCACCAACGCAACTTTTTTAAAACCTAAAGTTAATTTTCTTTTTCATTTTTTTTTAATATTTTTTGTCATAATTTATCGAACATTTCATTCAAGAGAATCAAAGTGACTGTGAAAGATATAAATTTTAAATAAAGTTTTAACATCCTGTATTTTTAAAACTATGCATTTCCTGACCAATGTGTATAGGAACTTTTTTTCATATTATTTGATGAGGAATCTCCCCCTGAAATTTGGCCGCGCATTTTTCAACACCCTGTATACTACCTTTGTGATTGTTTTTATTAGATGTTTTAAAGTCTGATGAACCTGAACCTGCTCTTATTAGTTCTATACTTTCCTATTGTAATATTGCGAATATTAGGGTTTCATTTATTTTTCATACAGGTGTCATAAACTCAAAGTAATCATGTGTTTGGTGTTTATTTATAGATACCATGGTGGTTTTTATGAAGGGTTTTGTTCATTTCTAAAAATAGTATTTTATTGAACGATCTTTGTGTATACCCTCTATATAAAATTATTAGTGACAACTTAGTATATAAATAAAAATATAACGTAATATGTATTCAGTTTGAATTTATTTATCAGTATTATAAATATTATTTAATGTCGTATGGTCGGAAAAGAATGGCATCAAAAACGCCTAATCATTTACTAAAAATTGACATAAAACTTGTCAAAAATTAACACCAATTATGAAAAGATTAACAGGGGATAGAACGTTTCCAGACATACTAATATAATTAATAAAATAAAAATATTTTTTCTCGAGTTTTAAATTACACCATTTAAAAATTATTTTTACTCAATATAAAAATAAATTATAACTTTCTTAAGGGTGCATCCACACTATCCTAGAAACGGTGTATCGGCGTAACGGCGGCGGCGTAATGACCTTGAATAGATTTTTTGACAGATGAATTTGACAGATAAAGTTTCTGACAGAACATTTTTCAGCGAATAGCATTGCTGGAAATCGATTCAAGGTCGTTACGCCGATACGCCGTTTCTAGGATAGTGTGGATGCACCCTAAGGCCAACTGGCAGTAAGCGCCATTAAAAAATAGAGAAGAGTTCTGGCACTAAGTAAATTACATCTAGAGTTTGACCTCGCCTAAAATTATCATCGATTGTTATTCCTCAGCCGTCTTGGATGCCATTTTTTCGATCGTATGGTATTATTTTTTTATTTACCTCTTTTTGTTTACTAACCTAATGCTATAATTTATAGATCTTATAACTTATAATCCTAGGCGGCAGGCTAACATGATTCTCTTAATATTTCCCGTTGAAGAAAAGATAGAATGTTGCGGTTTGCGCTGATATTTTGGAAATTTCGTGCTCTATTTAACTGTGCAAAAAATATAACCTGCTATATATTTTTATCCAAAAGCGCAGTATCTGTTATGATTTCAAACAGAGCTGTCTAGCTACCGTGGAAATATCTATGGAAACAAAATTTATACGGAGAATTATTAAGAAAGAAAAGCTCTTTGAAACGAGCCCCGAGCAATTTGGTTTGTTTAAATCGGCTAGCCCAAATCAGAGTAATCCTTATTTTAATAAGCAAGTTTAACCTTTCCCCACCACTTTATTTTATGAGATAGGGCAAAATACCCTATATAAAAAATACAAATTTCCCACTGATTACAATGGGTTGCTAGTATCCTTTAAGTTTGGCTAAAAACTATTTTTAAATAAGATCGTGGATTTTAACTCTTAAACCGTCATTATTTTAATATTACTTAAATACATGTCGTTTTAATTGGACACACTGTATAGTTTCTTACATTTAAAACGAAAATGCTCTGACCTTTTCAGAAAAGTATGACTTAAGGTTGATTCTCACTATACCTTCCATATCAGCTCCCTTCCGTTTACATAAAATATTATATCGACAATGTACACTATCCGTTCCGTTTCCCTTCCGGTCCACATCCTTCCATACATTTTTTTGGAGGACGGATTGAAGCGTATCGGAAACAGCGTTGTCAAGTTTTTACATTTGTACCAGCTCTGTTAAAAGTTTGCTGATATTTATTTATTCTTTCGCCTTTTAATTAAAACTATAACCTTTTTCAAAAGATACAAATTTTTCAAATAAAACTTTGGTAATGATATAAATTGTACCATAAAAAGTATGGAACTGATACGGAACGGAAGCTGACGTATAGCGTCAATAAAATAAAAATACGGAACGGATATGGAATGGAAACGGAAGGCATAGTGAGAATCAAGCTTTATACGGCAATAAATTTTTGCGGCAAGACTAAGACTACTAGTGTATTAATCCTGCCTTTATTAATAACATGAAATCACAAACCGATAATTTTCAAAAAATAATTATTTATTTTTATGTTCTCTAGGTGGATCTCCGTACAACTGAGCACGAGGACGGTTGGACACTGGTCGATCGCGAATCCGATGGCGATTCAGACAGGTACTCTTCGGAGGAGGAGGACAACGTGACCGGGGACGGACTGGAGCGGGTACGACTCGGACGCGCCTCGTCCAGCGAGTCCCTTAACAGCGGAGGACACAACACCAACCGGACGTCCGCCATGGACGAGAGCTGGTTCGTTACTCCGCCGCCCTGTTTCAGTTCGCAAACAGGTATAATCGTTTTATTGTCACACATAAAACATGTATAGAGAAATCAATAACAGTTGACGGGCTCGTCATCAAAGACGTCGAAACTATTAAGCCTGGTTGACACGGTCAAAGTGTACTTCGACAAAACAGATGCTGCCATATAAATATATATACCTAGATATTGCGCGCGTCTTACTTTTACGCCGTTCCTATGGTATCCACTGTTTTACCAAGGTCGGGATGGAAGGCCTCCAAGCATCCAAGTAAGTTGGCAGCCAGCTTACTTACTTTGATGTTAAAAAGCCTTCTAACTCGACTTAGATAAAACAGTCAATAGTATACAAAGAGCGCAGACGTGAGGCGCGCAGCATTATTAAAAGTACAGTTATATGGCAGCATGGTACACAAAACTAAAGCAACGTACAGTAAGGCAAAACCTGGGTAAAGTACAGAGACTGGCATGCATCTGCATCACAGGTGCTATGAAAACATGCCCAACAGCAGCAAATGAGGTCATCCTAGACCTAACACCACTGCATATTGTCGTCGGTAGTTATGCCAATGCGACAATGATTAGAATGGTCATTGACGGAAACAGTATTGGGAGAATTTTCAGATCAGGGGCTTGGAACATCCTCAAAAAGAAAATTCCACTTCTCCAACTTCCAGTGGATGACATGCCAAGAATTTACAAGTAAAAAAAGGATTGGAAGGGAAAAACGTTTGCTCGGCATGTAAAAGTCCATATCATAACGTGGTATACTGATGCTTCCAAAACTAAAGCAGGGATAGGAGTATTTGGGCCGAAAACTAAATACCCTGAACCAATGAGCACCTACCTCAGCATCCTTCAGGCAAAAATCTATCGAAAGATGCGTACGATTTATCTTATATATAGGAACTAACTATCGAAAACAGGAAATAGCCATCTTATCCGATAGTCAAGCAGCACTAAACGCGATCAACTCAGTAACCATCAATTCGAAGTTGGTCAAAGAATGCCTAGAGAAGCTGAACAAATTAGGCAAAGAATATAAAGTCCCCCTACTCTGGGTGCCCGCTTACCAAGGGATAGAAGGCAATGAAAAAGCAAATGATCTAGCTAGAAAAGGAGAGAACAACTAACTGGACCAGAACCGTTCAAGCGGAAACCAACTAAAGGCGAAACTGAAGAACATAGAAGACTCCATTCGTAACCTGGAATGGGAGTCCTCCAACTGTCTTAAGATACTCGAAAAAGTTCCTCAGAACTTATGACCGAAAAAAATAGAAAAAATTCCTTGATTAAAGTAAAAACAATCTTCGGATTGTTGCGGGATTTCTAACAGGACACTGTCTCCTCAACGAATACCTTAGTAGGCTGAGGAACAACGGCGATTCTGTGGGGAAAATAGGGAAGCACCAGAACACCTTATCACTTAGTGCGCCGAGACGACAACCGTTCGTGCCATGAACTTTGGTACGGCTGATATCGAGGATGGAGAGCTGGCCTCTGTGGAGCCGTCTCAGATACTGGCTTTTGCTAAAGCCCCGAGACCGTATGGTGAGTTATAACTCGTTATAACTCAAGAAAGGGGAACACACAATAGATCTGTAAGGTCGCGGTGATTAATGCCCGGATCCCATCAGACCACACACCACGCTATCCCACGGGAGCCCACGTGTTACGACGCGCGACGTGGAAAAGAGTGTACACATGAGATCTTTGACAGACGAATCGTCCATCACACGTGTGGTCGCGTGGGATGGCGTGACGTGGGGTGGCGTGTTGTCTAGTGTGTAAGCAATACATGTAATTAAATGGAAAAACATTAAATTATAAAAAGCATTAATTTATCCACGTCATCACGATCTTTATGACGTGGGGTGGCGTGGCATGGCGTGTGGCCTAATAAGGTCCCGGCTCCTATACATGCATTCAACTGTACTTGGTCCAAATATACTTTGATCGTATCATCCCGCCTATATTGAAGAAAACAGTCGTCAGAAGCCTACTTGAATCAAATACACTTGGACGCTGCGCGTTTCACTTTTACGCTGTTTGTATGGTATCAACTGTTTTATCAAAGTCGATTTGGAAGGCTTCGTAACATCCAAGTTGGTTGACAGCCAACCTACTTTGATGTTGAAAAGCCCTCATTTGAGTTTGCCTTTTTTTAACATACCTGTGATTAGGTGCGTTTTGTTTACTGTGATTTTTATTGCAATAAAATGTCAAAGTCACTAAATAGTCGGAATCAGCAACTTGTCTCGTTTCTACTCAATTATTTTGAACAGGAAAGAAATCATGGCGAGCCCCATTTTCCCGTTAAACGGCTGCGCTTAACATCAGTTTACACTGAGTAGTTTACTATGAGTAGAATTTAGTGAAAAATAATGTTAATGAACTATAACTTTACATGTTTTAACTTTAATTCCGAAAGCTTACTATTATCTTTATTTAATTATAATTTGTGTAATAATGTAGATTTAAAAAATATGTATATAATGTGTCTAAAATAAAAAAGTAAAAGTATAAAGAGTAATCGTGTCAGCATTACTAAGTAGCAAAATACAAACACTAAATCACCACAATACACCAAAACACTTTTACTTTTACACTGGACGCGCGTTTCGCTAACCATGTTAGCATCATCAGCAGATGATTATAAACTAAACTTTGAGTTTATATATAAATAATAGTCCCCAGTGTAAAAGTAAAAGTGTTTTGGTGTATTGTGGTGATTTAGTGTTTTTATTTTGCTGTGTAACACCAAAGGTTCCAACCCTCAACTGTAATTACTAAGTACATTCGTCATATTTTTGAATGACGTGCACGTCAACTTTTATCGGTTTTCCTATATATGTTATAATACCCTTATATGCTCGTGAAGTTTCCAGAAGCTTCAAGATTATACGAAAGTCCCGCATTTGGAAATTAATTACAAGTTTATGAATGTGCTTTTAAATGTGTTTAAACAGAATTACTTGTGTTAAATATCTGTTTAAAGCTAATTAAAACATGTTTTGCATTCTGGTTAAAGTGCTTATTTACACTGTTTAAAAAAATCGACATATTTATTTCTTAATTATATTGAAAATGTTGGAAATGACAAAAAAAATACTGTGAAAGTTTGAGCCCGTAATATTAATTTTTTTACATCCTTCGAATTTTTTATCTCATTAACGAGTTTTCGGACTAGTTGGGTCGAAATATATTCTTGAACGTCTACAAGAGAATTGAACTCGGTCTCTAATATTTTTTTGGTATATTTATATTTATTGGTTCAAAAGATATATAAGGTTAAATTTGGATTGATGATAAATATTAAAATTTTTTATTTTTTAATTTTTTTACCACATTTCACTTTTGCGTGTCAACTTTAGGGGAAAATTTCATAGGACATTTTTTGTAGAGCTTTTGATTTTCTATAAGTTTATAAAAATTTTTGATATTTTGTACAGATCGTAAGTTATCAGGTTAAAAATCTATAATTCACACAATATAATAATATAACAATATAACAAAAAATGAGATTTCTATACAAAATATTAAAAAACTTTTATAAATATAACTTATAAAGAATTAAAAGCTCCACGAAAAATGTCCTATGAAAATATTATGATTCAAGTTGATGATTTCCTATGAAGTTGATAGTTGCATCAAAAACTTGAAAAAATGTTAAAATGTATCATCAATCCAAATTTAAGTAGAGCGTGCAATTCTCTACAATAAAAATATGTTTCGCCCTAACTAGTCCGTATAACTCGTTAAATAGGTAAAAAATTTCATATATTAATCAAATCGTCGGCTTTATGACGAAAAGGCGTATCTTGATTTTTGGCGATTTTGAGATATCAACGTCATGACATGCCCAATGGGTCATATTTTAACATAGCGAATTTGCGCATCTCACTATTGTACCTTTTTCATTTTATATTCGTTTAAAAATTTGCCCCATCTCAAATACTACAATTCTTCGTTATGACGAAGAGACGTATGTTGAGATAGGACTCTTTGTTATATCAATTATTGTTATACCAATTGTTATATTACAAGAAATATGGAATATGGAATTTGAGATAGGTCCTTTTGTTTTAAGTTATGGAAATGCATGCGAGAGAAAATCACAACATTCTACCTAATTATTTTCTGACGGTTGCTTGGGACAAAATAAAACTTCTATCATGGCAGCAGCTCTCTTTTACAGTGTGATTTTATAGTCTGTTTTTGCCAAAAACCATTGTTAGAATGAGCTAGACTCTACACATAGCTGTATCGGGTATGCAATAGATTGTCCGAGAATAAATGGCCGAATAAAAGGAAAATTTTGATCGAAAGCAAAACAACGAAACGAAAATTGCCCTAATGGAAAATTTCCCGAAATCATAATTTCTCTAGGAACATTTTAGCGAACCAAAAACTTGCCCTAAAAATACAATAATTTTCATCTCATTATCATTGTCAGGCCATTGGCATTGTCATCCCTGCCAATTTTTGGAAAATTGTATTTATTGTGCTTATCATCATCCAGCATAAGTACGTAGAATGGAAGTCCAATTTGTTATCATTGAACTGGGAAAACAGAAACTGCTACTCCACAGTTATTTGTATAAAAAAACAAACGAAGAAACATGTTTTGGTTTTGTTTAGTTTGGTTTTTATTAAATAGACCGCGAGTTTAAATGCCCTGTATTAATGCCCTCAATTAACTAAATAATTACTAAAAATATATTAGTTAAAAAAAATGAATTTTTGTATAAAAAACAATATTATTAAAATAAGCTAGATAAGAGTATTCTAATTGATTATTTTCTTTGCTTCTGAAATGAAAATTGTCTTTGTTTTCAGTTGATCTAATCCAACGCGAATAAAAGTATTTAAAAATATTTGTTTCTGATTTTTTGTCGATTTTCAGATTTTTTCTTGTATGTATGTATTATATTTTCTTATAAGTATTCCATAATGTGAATATTGTATTATTTTTTTTCTTATTTTACATTTTTAAATTTATTTTACATGGGCGTATGTATACTATTCGTTCGGAAATAAATTTATTATTATTATAACAAAAAGGCCTATCTCTATTAAACAACTAAAAATAAATTATTTATTAGAATTTACGCTCAATTTATTTTCAGAGCGTTTCCTCAATGTCTCCGTTTAAGTGTTAATACAAAATCGCTATAAAAAAATTAAAGACTTTACATTTATTGGCCGCATAAAGTAAGTGATTTTCTTTAAATCGCTCTCCTGAAAAGTAGCAAAAATCGAGATACGCCTTTTCGTCATAAAGCCGACGAAATGGAAAATGGAAATTACTGATGCGCACCTCTTAATATTATTATTAAGAGCTCAAACTTTCACAGTATTTTTTTTGTCATTTCCAACAACATTTTTGATAAGGTTCCGTGCAGATTCCTGTGTAGACTTTCATCTTTTTCTTCCTCATCAGATGGTTCTATTAATTGCAGCGACTTGGAGTACTTGGAAGTTGACATACAGAGAAGGGTAGTGAGGGTTATGGCTGGGCTGGGATATATGGACGATTGCAGGGCAGCTTTCACTTCCTTTGGTATTCTTACAGTTCCGGCAATATATATATTTGAGAACCTATGCTTTGCAAGGCGGGCTGAGCATCTGCAGACGCACATGGGCGTGCACAGTTATGACACCCGTAATAAAAATAATCTGATACCTCTGTACTGGCGATTGAAGGGATGTCAAGATGGACCAGGATACTGGGCCATTAATTTTTTTAATATTCTTCCAGAGAGTATCAGGGGCCTACCTTACAGTTCTTTTTGCAGACAACTGAGGGAGATTCTTGTTAAAAACGCATTTTACTCTTTTGACGAGTTCTTGTCGTACAGATTTTGACTAAATGTTTTGTGAATTTTAATATCTGTGGTTTGTATCTTGTGAATTTTTGCATTGTAAAACTTTTCCAATTTTATGTTAGTGCTTTTTTGTATTTTTCACATTTAAGTTTTTCTATTTTATATTAGTATATTGTTTTTATATATTGACGTGTGTAAACTATTTTTGTACTGGCATGAATAAATAAATAAATAAATAAGTCCTGTATGCCTGTCCATTGATGAATATTTCTCAACCAGAATAGCTTTCCTTCGGCCTAATCCCCGTTTACCTTCTTCGATTTTACCCTGCAGATTTTCGATTAAATTAAGAAAGAAATAGTCGATTTTTTTGGAACAGTCCCTGTTTAGGGTCAGTTGGCAATGATAAACAGGGGCTATTGTAAACAGGTCCAATAACATTTGAATTTGACGGTTAGAGAATAAGTTGACTGGTTACACTGGTTCCCACATCTTTGATTTGTATTGAGTTTCTAGTGCTATTTGTTTATGGCGCCAGAACATTTTGTTGGAGAGCTGCTTTAAAACTTGTAGAACTTTGAAACTAGTAAAATCTTGTTTAATAATTTCAATTTGTAAATAAGGTAGGAAAATCTATATACGTAGCAGTTTTATTTATTGTTACATTGGTAAAATGCATGTTACAATTTGGGGTTAGTTTTTACGAGAAATGAAGCACAGAGGTGTTTACAAATGCCCCAGTAAAATACGAGGCGGGGCAATTGTAAACCTGATTTTGGGGTAATAGTAAACACTTTTTTTTACACTTTTGATCCCATAGTAATAAAGTACAGTCTTTAATATAGATAACAGTCTTTAAAATAAACATTTTTATCTTTTATTTCCCCCATGGAGACAATTTTTTTTTAATTTTGGGGACATTGTAAACATTCTTTAAATACACTTATAATCCAACTAAAAATAAACTTGTATAGTTCATTGTTTATTATTATCCCCATTTAAAACCTACCACTTATAGCACATTAAACAATATGTTTACGTTTACCCGAAAATATGACATTTTTGATTTTTCTTTGTAGTGGAATGCCCAGAGACTTTTACCTCGGAATTCAATTACTGTGAATGTATTAATGTGAAACCTTCTGTATTGTGTTTTATAGATAAAATAGTAAATATGTTTACCCATTTTTTTTCGTTACTTTTAATTTTTTATTTTAATAATTTTAGTAAATTCTTAATTATTTCCTTCCTAATATTTTGATTTTTTTATTCTTTTTCTAAGTAAATTTATTGAATTCTGCTTATATTCTAATCATTGAAATTTTGATTGAAATCGAATTATACAGGGTGGCGCGTCATATACGACGCGGTTTTTGCAAGGAGAACAAAAGTTTGTATTGAAGTGAAATTTTGTGAGCTTATGTAAGTCAATTTAAAGCATTTTCTAAAATTATGTAGAGTTCTACAGGGAGTCCCCAAAAAAAGTTACACATCAAAGTTTTTGTAATGGAACACCCTATATATTAATTGATTTTTGAATTCTAGTAAAAAATAAAGGTTTGTTTCATTAGAAAAGTATATTACAGTTGAGGGTTGGAACCTTTGGTGTTACACAGCAAAATAAAAACACTAAATCACCACAATACACCAAAACACTTTTACTTTTACACTGGACGCGCGTTTCGCTAACCATGTTAGCATCATCAGCAGATGATTATAAACTAAGTTCATAATCAGCAGATGATTATAAACTAAGTTCAATCTCAGTTTATAATCATCTGCTGATGATGCTAACATGGTTAGCGAAACGCGCGTCCAGTGTAAAAGTAAAAGTGTTTTGGTGTATTGTGGTGATTTAGTGTTTTTATTTTGCAGAAAAGTATATGGCTAAAATGTATAGTTTTTGAAATACATTCACCGGCACGAAAGATGGGCACCTTAAAACTTTGATGTATTTTAAAGGTATATATATTTTATTTTAATGGGCCGATTTTGATGATTCTTTAAGCAGTGTGTTGCCAAATTATTAGACTTTTTAGTATCTTTTTCTAAATTAAAAATGAAACTTCCCATCTGTTAATTATACGAGGGAAAACAAAATGTTGATATTTTGATGACAGTTTGAAACACTCTGTGAAATATGTTAAAACAGCAAGAAATGTAAAAATCATTTTATCATCTAGATACATCCTTTCTCGATGGTTTGTTTTTTGGTTCATCTCATTAGCTTTATTTTTGTTGGAAATATTCGGTTTTTAAAAAGGCACTAACATTTTTTCGTAATTTTTACATTAAGACCATGCCTTTACTATTGGGCCTTGTCAACACATCTAGTAAGTTCTGGTCCCGAAGCAGGCCTTCTTGAAATAAGATTTGCTTCATTTAATCTTCTTCTTGTAGTCCGTTAGTTAATATATACGTATAATATGTTAGTTGTAATGTGTTAAGTGCAATTCATTATCAATTTGAAAAGCTGGCAAACGGCTGTTTCTTAGCGATAAACTTACAATAAGTCGATCGTCTCGATTAGAAGTTCTCATACGAAGGTTCCTGAACGTCTAGATTGACGTCCTCATGGATGTGGTCATAATTCAAAGACCATTTAGTATACCCTATGGTATTAAGGTGTTTTTGGAACCGGAATTTTATAGCAAATTCACTAAACTCGAATAAATACAAGAATTTTATAGCAAATACACTAAACTCGAAAAATAAAATATATATTTGACTTACCCTGTATATCTTTAAAAATGTTTTTGAAATGTGAACTACCATTAAACATATATTTTGTAAAAGGTTTGGAGTGAAAATCTCAAATAGGAATCCTGATACAGAACTTTTCCGGAATACATCTTGCATGTATGCATTTGTATATGTGTGTTTATTTAAATACTAAAGAGAAAGCAACGAATTTACAGTTCATCTGCTGGACCTGTGTCTATGAAAGGAATGCGGACAAAAAACATTTAAATAAACAACAATATATTTTATACGTCGACTTGACGAGTACGTCACCGCAAATCGCTCCGCCCACTCATTTTATTGGCTACTTGCAAATTTGTCGAATTTTTATTGATCGGACGCGTCTAATTTTTTACGAAAAACATGGAGAGAATATCGTTTCCCCTCTCACGGATACCCCGTAGCTACAGAACGGACAGACATACAGTAAATGGGTAAACTTTGTAATATATCTTATTAACAATACAATGCAAAAAGTTTTATAAAAATTCGTTCACAGTAAATGAATTCCGAGGTTTGTATCCCATAAGTAGGGCATTCAATCCCGAAAGAAATTTTCAATCCCGGGATTATAATTTTTTACGTTGAAAATTAATTACGTTGGAATTATATTATATTTTCTTTCTTTACAAAATTTTATTGAACAAAAAAAACATTAACATAAATTAAACGTCATCCCCATTACAAAACAACATAACATATAAGTTTATTTAACAAAAAAAAAACATAAAAGGAACTAAAATATACATTTTTTATTTAATTTACATAACCAATCGAATACAGCATAACACAGGATTACTAAGAGATACTAAAATAACAACTTATGCAGTAACAATTTCTTAAAAAAAACAGGCCGATCAAGAGTATTATCACTCAAACTAGATCTTCATCATCTTCAAACTTGATCAAACATTCAGGGTTGTTTATAAGCGCATATTGTACTATCATGAAAGACTTGTGTACGATTTAAATTAAGGAAAAAATGTAATGATGAATCCCGAAAATCCCGGGATTAAAGAAAAGACAATCCCGGGATTTCGGGATTGAATGCCCTACCCATAAGGGCTTAAAGCACTCCACTAATGGGGAAAATGTAAACGAGCTTTTTTGGAATCTATTGCAAATTTCTAGCTGTCTATGAAAGCACCTATTAAAAAAAGTGTCTTAAAATATACCGTTTTAGAATTTTCAGTGCCAACAGCAAAGTTTCAACCTTGTTAAATTTTTTTTGTTAAAATCGTTTAGCATTACCCCAACTAACCCTCTTTATTGTAATTTACTGAAAACATGTCTTCCTTACAGGTCCGGTCCAGTTGGTTACCTCCCCCCTCGAGAACCTGCTCATCGAGCACCCGTCGATGAGCGTGTACGTGCGTAACGGCAGCCGCCACCCGCTCATACGCACGCCTTCGCCCTCCGACATTGCTGACGAAGAGGAGGATGATGATGTGGAGGAGGAGATCGAGCTGGAACCAATGATACTCCCACCCGAATTACTCTATCTGGAACACGTGCTTATCCGTCGTCCGAATCAGCGGTACAACGCCGACTGGTTAAGGCGACTGGTGCACACTGCTGGTGAACCTACAGCCCCCGCGGAGCAGGTGGGCGTACCTACACCTTCCGCCGCCGCGGCGTCGCACCGATGCCATCGCGCGCAGCCGGTGCCTTTGGGGCCGGGGCAGCTGGCCAAGAACCGTCAAGCGCAGAAGGTAACGATAACTATTTTTATTCACACGGGGGCATCCATTATTGCGTAAGGGAATCGAGTAGGGGAGGGGTGAAGCAATCCCACGTGGGGGAAAGAGAAGTTTCATTTTTTTGGCGCCAAAAATAATGTAAATATGTGAGAAAATCATACATTAATTTAAAATAAAACATGTTTCTAGACAAAAATATGTCGAAATCTGACTCAATTGTTCAAAATTAAAAATTAAAATTCATGAAATAAATATGAAAATAATGTACAGGGTGGTCGTAATTGTTCTGTTTTAACAAATAGATAGAGCAAAACCGACATGGATGTCATGGACTCGATTTCGGAGACATCTTTAATGTCATAAACCGTCTGTCGATATCTTCACTGCCAACTGAGATATGGGGCCTTTAAATTTTCGACCATTTGAAAATTGCACATAACAATAAAATTCTGTAAAAAAATTCTCATGGCACTTTTTTAAGCACAATCTAGTGGTGACTACCCCACTTGCTTTTATTGTCAGAAATAAAAAAATATATTTTTTTTAAATGGAAATCATAGTTGGCTATGAACTTAAAAAATGCTGGCGTTTAACCCTTTTCAACGATATAAAGTTATAGGTATCAATTTCTAAAAATGACACCTTGATTTTGTATGGACCTATTTGCCTAATTATTTCTTATCGCAATTTAATATTGTATATTATTATTTATCTGCATAATTAAATACTTTCGTTCAATTTTTGCCCATCTCTACTATATATATATTGTTGCGAAATTGAACGAAAAGAGAATTGAAAAAAAAAGAATATATTGAGAAATAAATATACCAGGGCACTCAAATGACTTACCCTTTTTTTGCCCACACTCTTCGGATGCACGTAACGTTGTTGCGAAAAAAATTAAAAACCGGCTAGACAAAATGAGCTGGAGGACAAATCGTGAACCTTTCGGGGCGGAGTCAAAAATATCGACTATTTTCGTTATTTTCCTCAGAGTAATGTAATAATATAGCCCGGGTTTCTGCATCTTTAATAGTGATCAGCTGATTAAGAAATTTAAACGGAACTTTTATTTTATTGTAGATTGTGGATTATTTTTGCCTGTTATTTTAAAAATTCTAAACCGTATTAACAAAGAAATTATTATTTCGATATGTTGGTACATTTTTTATAATTTATGATAATGCTAATTACTGTTAATTAATATTTAGAAAAAGTTACATACCTACTTTAATTTGATTTAATGCAGCTTTATAAAAGAATCATTTCATTCTTAGATTATTTTATTGTAAATTGAGTGTTTTACGAATTTTACGATATTTTTTTTTGAAAACATAAAACTTTTTACATTCTTCATTAAATGTTCAAAAGTTTACAACTTGCTTAAACAAAAATTGTAAATATGAATTTTTTAAATGAAGAAAAGCGTGTAGGATTATTGGTTCAACTTTTCTTGGCCATTCCAGGATACGTTGACCGGTGAACGTTATTTACGTTTTTTAGAGAACGGTTTTCAAGACATGTTAGAAAAGTTAAATTTAGATAGTCTCGCATCAATAGGGTGGTTCCAACATGACTTTCATTATGACACCTCCCCCCCCCCCATAATGAAAGAAATGTTAAAAATTATGTATATCACAATTATGCAAACTCAGGGATCGGAAGAGGTGGACCAAATGCATGGGCCCCCTCGAAGAGGCGGTACGGGAGAACATTTTCTAAAATAACTTAAGTGTATGGGGTAGTGATATTATGAAGTTCTAGTTTGCATAATGTAAATCGTAAAGAACCGTTTAATAATATATTCTATGTTTTTATGTTATAAATGATAACAGAGTAAGAATACCATGCTAACTAAGCGAAATTCGCCAAAGAAACAAAAGAATTGGCTATAATTATAACTCTGTATTTTACTGTAATTTTTCGAAAAAAAAACATATATACCTATATCGCCGAAAAACTTAAAAATGGCGATTTTTATGAAGTCATGGCCAACTATGGTCAAAAATTACAGGCTTTAGAAAAAATCAGAAAACACAAACTCATTAGGTATGTGATTATCTACAACTTTTTGTCTAAAATAGTATATAATGGAATTAGGTTAATTTATTAAGTTTTAAAATAGCCAAAATTTGTTTTTTTTTTTTCGAAATATCTAGAGTAAGCGATAAACTTTTTCAAAAATCCGAAAGGCGCATATTTATGACCCCACAAAACTGCAATTCTTTCCCCATTAACCGACTCTCTATCTCCAGTAGTTTCCGAGATGCCCATAGAGAACATTGTAGGAAACTCACCCTGTATAGTATTTTGAAACTAACTATTATTATTATGTGACTAGTTTAATTTGATTAATAAGGCTAGATTAATTTAATTTCAAATAAATTTGATCAGATTTTTTTTCGTATATTCGGCTACCAGAAAACCAAGATTATATGATAACGCACTTTTCAACGAAGTTGAGGGAAGATATAGTGTATCTCTCACAATACTTAATAGAACTACTACAATTATAACAAGAAAAATAAAAGAGAAGAAATACCCAAATACCCCTTCACCTACTACTCAATTACAAAATAAACGAATATAATCTCTTAAAAACACTACACAACTACTCATTCTTGTATTCTACACTGAACAAATTATCAAACTTAGTAATTTATCAAACAAAAGGAAATAACAAAATTATCCCTTCACCTAGTACTTAACTACAAAATAAACTATAAAAACACTACTAAACTATTTTTGGTAGACTACACTAACATGCTACACTAAACACTATAATTAAACTTAATAAATTAATCTAATTTTACACTACAACTACAAAGAAAAAAAAATAAGAACATTTTCTAGAACTAGAAGAAACAGAACTTCCATACAGGCGACCAGGATAAAGCTCCGCGCGCACTGAATAGGTATCGGCGAGAGCGAGCGACACGTAATTTTCAGTTTACGTTGAAATAAATGTAAGGCTCCGCGCGCACTGCATCGGATCGGACCGACCAGCAAAAGCGACTGCGACCATCGTACATATAGACGGCGCCGGCGTCCACTAAAACATTTCGGCCTGTAGAGGCCAGATTCCTGCCTCTACCTATCTACGATAGTCGAGTCACCGCCTTGAATAATTTGTCGGGTATTTACAATGGTCGAATTGAATAATTGCCAGCTTTTATAGCATATCTAATAGATAAAAAGTATCTGGTCGATTAGTAACCAATTGGCACAGTCCGAAAATTATCGATTTTTATTTTCTCTGTTTTTATTGATAGCTTCAAAATTCAGAGCAACAAAAAATATTTTTCTGTAGGGAAACCGGTCCTGCCATCTAGTAGTCTTAGTCCATAAACGCCTTAGGTTGATCTACTTTAAAAATATATATACAAGGATATTAGTGATGGGCATTACGATTTTTTTAGTGAACCGAATCACACGATTCAATTTCTCATATTGAATCTACTCCTACGATTCGTTCATTTGAACGATCCACATGCACAATTTACGTTTCATAAAAACAAGAATCGTAACTGGCACTACCGGCGATAATTTGGCCAGACAATTACTTAAGGGACCAGAAAAAGAAACATACAGTCATTTCATATGTTTTTCAACACCTTCTGACACTGGCGTAATTGGATTGAATATATTACCAATAATATTAAATTATCAATCCAATTCATATATACTGTTTATTAAAGACTTCTTATTTTAAGGCTTATTTTACTTCTTATTTAGGCAATTTAATATTTTTAGAGCCATGTTTTAATTCCGATTTAATAATCATAATAAATAGTATGTAATACCGCATGATCGAAAAAAATGGTATCCAGTTGGCTTGAAAATGAACATCGATGACATTGCCCATATAATTTTACATATAAACTGACTGCGATCTTCATTTTATAACATCGCTGACGCCGTTTTTTTATCTTATTAAGCAGAGGCCAACAATATTTATTTAGAGTTGCATAAAACACGATTTCGTCCTTTAGTCCGATATTTAATGGTTTATAGTGGGTAATATTATTTTAACAAAAATATTAATGTGAAAATTAAAAACATTACAGATACTCCCGTACTAAGCGCAGTATAAATAAGTTTTTTTTCTTGTTTATAACTTTCTTATCGTTTGTATTTTATGCCCATGATGTTTGTTTAGGGTTTTTGTTCAAGTCTAAATATTGGTGCCTGACTCTATGCCTATATCATCGCAGCGCCGCAGTAGAAACGAATGATCGGATCGCATCCGATTGAATTCTCACGATTTTTTTTTACGGCTCATCGTTTAAATCTTATGGATCCATGTTGGCCACGATTCAATTGAACGAACCGTATTGTAACCAATGAATCAATTCTCACGACTCTGATCGAACGATCGCATTGTGATCCGATTCAATTCTCACGATTCTTTTTTACGGCTCATCGTTTAAATGTTATGGATCCGTGCTGACTACGATTCAATTAAACGAACCGTATTCTAAGCAGTGAATCGAATCTCACGACTCATTTTTAATACTCGTTTAAATGAACGAGAGACGTTCAATCAAAACTCAAACGATAAATTCAAACGAAACTCATTCAATCTTTGCCCACCTCTACTATGTAGGTATTATAGCTGCCAGCTCCCTTAACGACCGTGATAAATATCGACATCACGCCAGTGCGGGAAGATGTCAAAAAATCTTCAATAACGCCTGACGTAATTTATGGACTAATAAGTAACTATTATTTGTGAATATTCGACAATATTATTTTTTGTATTCATTTTAAGGTTATGGAAATAATTTAATTTAGGTATATTGGATTATTTGCAGATGCAGGTGAAGAAACTGGCCAAGCAGGCGACCCGCGGTCACCTGGACCGCTCGAACAAGGCTCGTGAAGTGAACGGGCGCAATAGGAACCCACGGCGCAAGGAACGGTGCCAGGGCTCAGCCCGTTCGCACGCCAACAATAACCGCAAATGCTAAACGCGGCGTTCGCAACATTGATCTCATTATAGAGACGAACGGGAGAAGAGAAGGGTTGAACATAACCGTTCTTTTTTCTCGAGAGGTCTCGTTTGACAGGCGTCTTAACGCGCAGGCCTGTCAAAATTGTACATGTATCGGTAGTGGAGTGTTTATTTCGGTTTGTTATATAAAGACTTTTCATGCAACTGGTTCATTAAAAGGTCTTTAGGATCTTGTTTAGATATAAAATTGAATGTTTCGAGTTATTTCCAGGTATTCTTTCTTTTTTAAATATTTCCTTTTATCTGGTACTTCCAGAAGTGCCTGTCAGTTTGCTTATCCGGGTCAGATGCGATTTAAGGTGTGATTGCGCCCCATAGTAGTTCGTTTCCACGTTTTAAAGTGATATTTTCAAAAAAAATGTAAAATTAAAAATGGTGTAATACATAAAATACAGGTTTTGGTCACGCACAGTCATAAGAACGTATCAGTAGGTATGTCTGATTTTAAAATTTTCTATACAGAAATTATGAATGAATGAAAAACTTTTAATGAACCAGTTTCATTAAACACCTTGTATATGTCTGTATCCTATATCCCAGCAAGATCTCGCTATTCCCCTTGGACTAAGATTGGACAAAGGATTTCTTTTAACTGCATGATTTTTTTTATTCATTTTATAGTTATAAAACTCTACATAATTTATAACTTAATTTTGGATAATTTGCCTTCTATTTAAAAATAATTTAAAGACTATTCTTTCTTCTGACATCGTCAGATTTTGAGGGTTAGTTTTCTGATCAAGTGTGTTTTGTAAGATGACAGATAAACAAAATCCTTATGGGAAATTACACGAGAATTTTTTCAACTGTCAATTGTCATTTTTGGATTATACTGTATATTTCTACAGATATATAATGGGTGTTTCAGTACCACTGTTCCAATAGAATACTTTAATTATAGGCAAAAGTTATTATATGCAAATAGGTGATTTTTATTACTTTTTATTATTTTTATTCAGGAATACTTCAGGAAACTAAAATCTTCACCAGACTAATTCTATGTTTTTATGCTGTATATCTGGTACACTGGAAAAGTATAAAATTTACTATGCAACTGTCTGACTTCTTTAATTGGATCAGAAATACCGAGACACCTGGTATAAATAGCGCATAGCTACTTCAAAGGTGATTTATTATTTATGCATGTTCCACATTGGAATAAATAGTTTCCAAACCAGGACAAATTCGGAGCTCATTTTTAGATCCTAATAACAAACCTCGTATCTAATCAGAACTAGTAATTCTAAAGATAATATAATAGGTAATTTGAAGTATGGATTCATATATGTAAAATGCCAAAAACAATATAAAATAATGCTCATATACTTCAAAGAAGTTTATTTTGATTCATATATTTAAATTATTGTGTAGTTTTTAATTTTATAATTTGTTTGTTTATTTATATGTCCCTAAGTAAAATAAGTGAGCTGTATCTGGGCTGAAGCTTACTTTTTTAACTTTATAGGAACTCAACGACATATAATTACTACTACTACTACTCTTATTGAGTAGTTTTCTCTATGTTTGAGGCCATAAAAATTGTTTTATTAATTACCATAATTATAATTTTTATAATGAAAAAAAAAATGAAATGTGTTATATATAGTTTTTATTTTTTAAAAAGTCCATAAAAAAGTACAATATGCAATTGGATACAGACATTTACAATTAATATTCTATTAAATTTTTGTTTTTAATATTTTGTGATTAATTTTTATTTTTGAAAAACACTCTACTACCACAATCATTTAATCCGTAACGTTCAACACTATGTAAGGAAAATGATAAGAATGGCCAAGTTTAAGAGAAAAAAATGTGCCCTCAAACTTGACCATTAGAATCTTTGCTTGGGGCTCTAAATATTCCAACCATCATTATTAGTTAGTTATTAAAATATTAGCTAGAATTCACGTCATCAAATCTCATCGACTAAAAGCACACACGAATATTCTTCATTCTGGATTTTGAATTCTCTCAATTTTTACCCCTATATATTTTTTTTGACGCAAGGTAATATAAATTACAAAAACCTTCGTCAACCAATTTTATTTGATTCGAAATCTTGAATGAACTTTATTGTTTTCTTTTCAGAGCAAAACTATATCATTAAAAAAGCACATGTGATTAAAGAAAAGAAAAAAATAATATAACCAAAGCACCAATGTGTGTTCATACGAAAAAAAAAATAAATAAAATGAGAAAATAACTTAAATCAATTGCATGCTGTACAAATAATTGTAAATTAACCATGAACGTTGCGGATACTTTAGTATTAAGATTCAAAAAATATTGTTTGTTTATTTTTTTATTATTTGAATTGAATTGATTGTTACGTAGACTATTCTGTAGGTTTAAAATATTTTTCACTTCAAATTTCTTTAGGTTGAATTTAAAAAATATTTTAAAAATACAGAGTTATTAATTTAAATAAATATCACATTACTGCTAGCATATAAGTAATACTCCTATATAGCTAGTATATAATAACATTATATAAAGTTCGATATTACTGAAATTTGATTTTATAACTATAACATTATGTTGTTATATATTATCATAGAAATTATTTTTTGTTTTCATTTAATTATTCTATGATAGCGCTACGTATCACTTAAAGATGGATAAGAAAAATTTTATGAAAAAGTAAAATTTTAAAAATTTTCTCGCCTATTTTGCTAAATATCTAGAGTATTATAATTGTCTTAGTGTGACTAAATTTAGAGGCGCGAAATTTAAAAATAAAACAATACTGATTTTGTAAACAGCAGACAAAACATTTTATGCAATACTAATAATTCCAATAGTTTCGTGAAAACTTCCAATAGTTTCGCGACAGTGCAAAAAATATCAACGTTGGAACGCTTTGTGGATTGTTTTCGGTACTGTCAAAAGTGTCAAGCGTGCGTGTATCGATTGGTTTTTTGTGTTTGTTTAGAATTTCATAACATAGCCCTATTATTTTTTATTAAAGTAAAACCTCTGAAGGCGGGTAAGGGGACGAATAACTCACAATCTTTAGGATGTTTATTTAAATTTTAATGCTTCAAAAAAGGCAGGGCAGCGGCATGTTTCGGGACTTAAACAATTACCATCATCATGCCCAGAAAGACAAAACGTCAACCTAGGAAGTACCACCACTCGGAAGAAATAAAATTAGTTTACCTACCCTTATCCGCCTTCAGAAGTTTTACTTTGATAATATGTACTCACACTGGGTTAGAGAACGTTTAGTTTCCTATTATTTTTGTTTGCAATTTGCTGTAATAATAATTATTATTCTTGAAATGGAAAATCAGAATCCAGTAATTGTTGGTAAGTGTTGTTTCAACTGTGTACTCACTAACTCACTTACCTATCCTCTCTTTTATGATCCTGTTATGCGTAGTTTCCTGTTATTTCATTCTTTCATTGCAGTGGTAGAATCTTTGAACATTATTTTACAAATAAAAAATTAATTAAAATTTCCGAACGATTTACTCCACACAAATTCACAAGGAAAAGTATAACGCACACGTATTCGAATTCATAAAAACTAACCAAGACAGAAGCATCAGCCGGACGCATGACCAAAATCAGCTGTTAAAAATCGATAATCCCTGCCATTATGCTTTAATGCGCAAGTTAACCCAAACATTTCTCAACTTGGACCATGTACCGAAATTACCGTTCTGAAATCGTAACTAAACGATCCCAAGGTAGGTTGGTACGCAAATAGGATCGTCCGATAACCGTCAAATCTCGGTTGTAACACATTTGAATTACTGCGCACGAGCGTGATCGTTCGGTGACAGTTTTGCGGCGAGTTGAAACAAACCTAAGAAGGATATACCACGTGACCCATTCTTTCTCTCTCTACCCTTGTTTATGACATTCTGCAAGTTGTTGCCGTCGCACTCTCTTGTCAGATGCTAAAAGTATTTACTAGCCTTATAGGAGTATTACTTATATGACTGCTAGATTATTAAAAAAACTGGGCATTTAAAACATGACGAGGTATATATACATTGGCCAGTTAGAATTTCTGTATATATTGGAAGTAATGTGATGACATTTTTTGTATATAAAAAGTTCGCAGTAATGTAAGTATTAAAATCAGAAAGGATTAAAAAAAGAAATATTTTTCGTTGATAATAATTATTAGAAGTCAAAGTTTAAATTTTTCGAAAGTTATCTGGAAATATCTTGAAACATATTCTAACTGAATTCTTAAAATAGCTGTGTAAAAAAGTAAGTAATTAAGTCCATTACACTGTACATTTCTTAGATTAAAATAAAAAAAACTACAGTTCATGTATAATTAATCTAAAATCGACTAGATTAGGGATGTTATATTAAAAAATAAAGAGTAATCATCAGAGCAATCTGTGATATAACTATTTTTATAGACCAAAACAATTGGAAGATATTTCCAGATAATCCAAGTTCGGTTTTTTTTTGTCAAGAACTAAAAAAAAATAGAAAAATAAATATATTTATATATTAGTTAATTAAGAACTGTTTGTTGCCTAGGCCATATAATATATTTTATCAGGAATATTATTTATGTATTTATTTATTGTAAGACGATATATGGTAAAAAACTCGTGGATGGGCAACAAAGTTTTTTCTCTTCTCTACGGCAGGTTATTATAACTTGCTTTAGTATTTTTTCAAATTATTTTGGACCATGTTCTATTTGAATGGGTCTTAGTCAATATGAGCTAAAAGACTGTGATTTATGTTTTTTACAAGTTGAAGCTTGACAAGGACCCGTTTTGTTAAACAGTGTTATATTAAGATGACCATCCATACGAATAAGAAAAAAAAGTACAAAAATATCACTTGATTAATATTAAAAATTATTTTCAAAAAAGTAGTTCTCAAATGATATTGGTTCCTTAATAAAAATGTTTCGAAACAGTTTGACAGTACATTTTGAGCAATGCCAAAATGTACTGTAAAGGCTTTAAAAAAACATTTCGAGGACTACCTTTTCTTTTGGAACATAAAACTTTTCAAAATTTGTAAAAGTTACTAATAAATTCATAGAGCTTATTAATATTACCCTTAGACTCTGTTTTAGTGCAGTTTCAAATACCATCTACAATAATTCTAAAACAGGTTTAACAAAATGTTCATTAAAATTGGTATGGTGCACTAAAAAAGATTTTAAAAATCGCTAGTAGTCTTAATTGTTACGTAGACTCATAGAAAATCATGAACATTTTAAATAATACTATATACTGTTAAGGATTTTTCCTTCTCAAAAGATGCACCTTTAAAAATCTTTCAGGTTATGTTATTTATATAAAATATAAAAAGTTCTTTCACAGCTAGAGGCGTCACGTTAAAATATTTAGTGCAATAAATCGATATTTTCAAAAAATAACATAACCTTCTCAAAAAAAAAACTATTAAACTGTCTGTCTGTGTCGTAGGTATGCGTATAATGTATGTAATAAATGTATGGTTTAAAAAATCTCTGTATGATGCACATTTTTCGATCAATTTTTTGAAAGAACCGGAATGAACGATTTACCCGCTCTTGTCCACGAATCTGGATTTTTCACTTCCCATTTTTTTCTTGATTGTAAAGTTGTTTGAATTTAAAAAATAATTTCGTAGCATGTATGCGTTTTGCTGATAGCGTTTAGAGATTTATTATGTATCTTTGTGAAGTAAATATGATTATATGAATAAGAATGAAATGGAGAAAATGTTATAAAAAATTAAAAACAATAAAAACTATGTTAAATATACGGTCTTTTTTCTATAAACTCCCATTTTTAATACCTTACTTAACTTATACAATATTGGTAATAACTTGCAGTATGCTATTATCAACTATTATTATAATTATTAGTGAAAAAACATCAAGTCAGTCGAAATGGGCATTTAAAACATTGCTGACACTGAATGTTTTGACAGTGACAGACTTATGTGTTATTTGAAGTATATCCAGAAAGCAAAGAGAAGATAGATGACAGCAGAGTTGGGCGTCAGTGTCGAGTTATGTTGTTGACCTCGACACGTCGAGTTTTGTTGTTGACCTCGACATGTCGACAATACGTCGACTATGAAGAAACTGTCGAAAATGTTACAGGCGCAGGTTTGTCGTTAGGACAGTGATTAAACCCCCTCCGGATATTTTTAGTTATTTAGTTTGACTTAGACTATCGTGCGAACTTCACAAGCGGTGGTTGTTCAGGAGGTACCTACTAAATTTTTGTTGTACTTATTTTCCCAGTTAGTGAATATACCGGGTGCGTCTCAAAAATGGCTCACCCCTATAACATTTTTATTTTTTCAGATAAAAAAAAACGATATTTGGTATGTTATAATATGACAAAAATTAGGATTGATTGACGTATTCAATTGTTTTCGGTCATTTCCTGTTTTACCGGAAATAACTTTTGATTTTTAAATTGCACCCTCGATATTTTTTTACTTTATTTGTTAAAAAATGACAAAATTGCTAATAGAATGACATATAATATGTCAACATTTTGGATTAAAAAACATCGATAGTATTTTAAATTTCAATCTAGAGCGCCATGGTTGTGTTAAAAACACTAATTTTTAATCAAGGAGCCTTGGAAAAATATATTTGATAGTCTGACGTCTTTCGTGTCTTGTCCTGGCCAGTTAAACGATGCCCAAATTGTATTTTTAATATCTAAATTTTTCAAATTAAACAAGGGTGGCTCATTAGCATATTTAGAAAAAGCAATTTTTGCGAATAATTTTGGTACCACACACTTTAGTATTCAATTGTTTTTACTCATTTCCGGTAAAAGAGGAAGTGAGTAAAAAACAATTACGTCAATCAATCCTAATTTATGTCATATACGAGCATACCAAATCGCGTTTTTTATCTGAAAAAATAAAAAGTTATAGAGGTGAACCACTTTTGAGACGCACCCGGTATATATTGATGGGCATTTAAATTTTTTCTCATGTACATAAATGTAACAAACATAAACAAATCATTAAAATAATCTCTTATTATATATATATTTTTGTTTGTTAAAGAAGTTTGTTTTTTTCGAAGATAAATAAATGTGCTTATCGCAGTTTAACCTAAAAATGTACTTACTACTTAAAATGAAATAAAAATGTTGAATTTCCGAAAATTGTTCTCAAAAAAATGCGCTGTAATAGGAATGGTTCACGTGGAAGCACTGCCCGGTTTGTATATAGTTTTTTTAACGAATTTTAAATTTATAAAAAAATGCTTTTCGCGTGACAACGTGTTATACAATCCGACTAATTGTTTATTGCCGTTTATTGTTTAATTAGTTGTATGAAAAAAAAAATGATAAGATAATAAATTAAAAATGCATTGTCGATTCAACACAAAAAAATAAAGATAAAATCTAATTTAAATTATATTTTAAGCAGTAAATAGAACTAGGTTTAATAATTAAAAATTAAATAAAAACTGATATAAATGCATTAATTTTTTAGGTACACCCTTGTTTAAAAATAACCTACAGTCTATTATATCAAAAGTCAAAAAAGAAGCTGAAATTTATTTAGAAAATAATGTGGTAAGATTTTCAGTACTTTTCTATATAGCTTGGTGATAGTTTTTTAAATTTGTGAAAATGGAGTTTGTAACATAATAGCACAGAACAGATACAAATCAGAAATTTCACTTATGGGATTTCCGTTGTCAAGATTTTATTTTTTATGTTATATGCGCGCAGGCGGCACAAAACCATGCGCAAGGTTTTTGTGAGGTTGCCAAGGTAACCCATAATTCTCAGTACTTGAAAAATGTATTTTTATATTATAATCCCACGGCCACATTTCTTCACTCATTTAGCATTTCTTTCACGAAATAAGTGACGCAAGTATACAAGAATTACCGAATATACATAATTATGAGGAATTTGATATATTTGGAAAATTAAAATATACCTAAAAATTAACATTATTATTACGAAAAACGCGGCATGGCAACGTCCCTTGAGTGCAGCATTTTGCGACGTAGTACGGAATGTAACAAAAATTTACCTCATTTTCTGCACAAAAAAAGTTAAAAAATATTATCATTGAAATATTTAAACCAAAACAATTGAAATTGATTTTAGAATAAATAAAACCAACGGGCATCGTCAGTTTTGCACTCTATTTTGCTTTACTGCTAAATATAAAAAAATTATTATTGCAATGGTAATTAAAGATTCAGGAATTTCTTTGTTAAAATCTGACAACTGACAACGTTGCTCAACATTTCTAACCTAAAAATATGAATGTCATATGAACGGGCGGAAAAGTAAATTAACGGAAAAGTAAATTAAAATAATTTTAATTTACTTTGTGGTGTGTTTGTGATATTTTGTGACTATATTTGTTTGACAATTTTGTTTATAATGGGCCTTCGTTACTGCTGTGTTCCCGGCTGTTTAAGCAATACGGAGACTGATATGGGTCTTAGCTTCTTTTCATTCCCATTGGATCCAAAAAGGTACATAAATATTTTTTATCTACACAATAAGGAATGTTTCCTCTAGAATTTTAAACAATCTAGTAAGATTTTTTAGAAATTCTAAAGTTTTTGACAGACTCATGTAGTACAATCATCTATTAAATAACGAAAAATATTTTAATAAATTCTAGATGTTCTGAGTGGGTTAAGAACTGCAACAGGCATGATTTTAGAGCAAAATCACCTATAGATTTGCATAGAGGGTATAGAGTTTGTGGAAAACACTTTCAACCTACCATGTTTGCGGAATGTCTCAAAGCCGTCTAAAGAAATTTGCTGTTCCAACTTTATTGATGTCAGGTGGGTTCATAAGCATTGTTTTTCATTTTACTTGTAATTTTTTTCAAATCATCAGTTGCTTGTTTATCTGCACAATCGATTTATACACTTGCACAAACGAACATTTAAATAAACAAAAATAGTTTATAGATAGGCATTTAGAAAATCCAGTTTCAGTCTGTTCGTGGTGGTTCTGTGTAATATTTTCAATATTTTTATGACAAATACTATATTACTGAAAAACAAAAACTTTTGACAATAACATTTAGCTTTCAATTTTGCCTCTTAAAATTGTGTTTGTGTTATGCTCAAAAAAATTAAATAAATATATTTTTGTAGACAATTCCATGATGGAAGTTGAAGCTACTATTCCTGCTGTTCCTATTACATCTGAAGGTGAGTAAAATACTATTTTTTTTAACCTTTTAAACACAATGCAATAGGGTATAGAATTCCAGTTTTCAATAAATATTTTATTTTATGTTTTCAGCGGTTTCAGAATCTACTTCACCAGATGTAATTGCTATTCCATCAACATCCAAGGAAGTTACATCTGAAGGTGAGTAAAATACTATTACCTTTTAAACACAATGCTGAATATAAATCTGAACTGCCATACCGATATAGGGTATAGAATTCCAATTTTCAATAAATATTTTTTTATGTTTTCAGCTGTTTCGGAATCTACTTCACCAGATGTAATCGCTATTCCATCAACATCCAAGGAAGTTACATCTGAAGGTCAGTAAAATATTTTATAAACACAAGGCTGAATACAGGGTGGCGCACCTCATTCATCTTGGTTGATTATACGAAAACGTAAAGATATAGAAACAAAATATTTTATGGGTATATGTGGAAAGACAATGTACTTAATTTAAAATTATTTTAAAATGTACAGGGTGTGTCAGGACTAAGATCCATACCAAAGTTATATTTTTTCTTATGGAACACACGGTATTTTATTTCACTTTGGGATTCTTGGACATAAAATAAGGTATTTATTATAAGGGTTTAATATGTTTAAAAGGTTTGGTTTTTGAGATATTTAAATACATTTAAATATGCATGTTATAATAACAAAGTTTGTCAACATCCTGTACATTAATTTTTAAGAGTTAATTCTTGTGCTGACTTTGAAGCCAGAGAAATAAACTTTACTAAAAAAATGTATTGCATCCTTAAATGTATAGAGGGGTATCAAAAATTGCTGGTCTATTTTAAGTATTTACTTTACATAAAAACTTTGTTATTTCAAATACAACACTATGTATTTTTTAAAAGAAGTTGAAGCAGATTTTATTTTATATAGATATGTTTCTAAATACGATAGGTTCTTAAATACAGATTTTTTTTTAGATATTTTTAATTAGCAAGTAAGTTTAGTTAGATGATATATATTTATCTATTCTTTTTTTTTAATTTTTCATTTGTATTAATAAATTTTAGGATCATTTACATTTAAGTAATTGTATTAGATTTTGTACCTAATATCACATTGCTAGGATTATATGTATAATTTTTACATATTTATAATAACAAATAAAATGTTATTTTATTTCAGTCAAATTGTTTTTATTATATTCTGTCTACATTTTCAAATGAAGGTTTGTATTGAAAAAAAATAAAATTGCTGAATCATAAAATCATGACAGCGTCAAGCTTATAGTGGGACCCTGAAATTTACATAAACAGGGTCCCAAACTGCAGTTAAAAGTCGCTTATTCCTATAAAAAATTCACTACAAATTAGGTTACTGCAGCAAAATCCTTATTACTTATTGCAAATCCTGCATTTTTTCCTAGGCCCCTTTACACAAGTACAGTATGATCGAATAAAAACGGCGTCAGCGATGGCTATGAAATGACAATCGATGACATTTCCCATATAAAATGACAGCGATCTTCATTTCATAGCCATCGCTGAGGCCGTTTTTATTCGATCATACGGTATAATACCGTATGATCGAAAAAAAAACGGCGTCCAGTTGGCTGGGAAACGACGATCGATGACTTTCCCATATAAATTTACATATAAAATGACAGCGATCTTCATTTCAAAGCCAACGCTGACGCCGTTCTTTCTCGATCATACGGTATCATACTGCCACAAAACCCACCTTGTCCGAATTATTTTTGTGATTATTCTCTTTGAAAATTAAATATTAATGTTTATTTCTAGAAAAACGAGATACAAAACAATGACTCAACTCAATGAACACTTTTTTTTGTAAAATAACGCTTTAAACATTTGAATCAATTGGCATGATTTTTCGTATTATTTTTACACATTATTTATTTTGTCACTACTAAATCTTACTTTTTTCAAATAAATACTGTTAAAAAACGAAATACGCTCCTGTCACGATTCACACGTATCTGAGTTCGACCCTGGCTCTTTTAAAGCCATCAACTAATGATCAGCTGTGCGGCGCGCAGGAGGATGAAATCTGTGCGCGAGGAACGGAATTCTTACAACACACTTGAAAAGCACCGACGTTCAGTGAAATTTCTGATTTGTATCCATAGACTTAGAATAAAATATAGACTGAGCATCTCATTCATAAATAGCTGGAAGATGCGGACAGACAACGTCTTGTTATTGTTGTGTTATTGTTTTTGGCTCTAACGAGTGCGACACGAGCGATAGATAGGCTGTCTCCGTCGTAACGGTCGTTTCCTGACGGCTCTGCCGCCCAACGCAACACTGTCTTTTGTTTCTTCAGTGCACCTGCACTCTCCGTATCATAGGCGGGTATTTTTTTTAATTTTAATGAAGCTATAATTCAATTAAAAATATATCGTATTTAAACTTTTTATATTATTAAGATTTAGGATAAAGAAAAATAGTTTAATATAAAGCAAAGTTTAGGACTTAGAAAAAAAATACGTCTTAGAGTCTAAAAACGATAAAAATAATAAAGTACGTGTTATAGAAGAAATTTTAATAATCGAAATTATTTAATTTTTGAAATTGATGATAAATTATTAATTTAATAAAATATTAATTTTAGTCAAACATTTACAACTCTAATATTAATCAAAACAGGATCTATTCTATAGATATAATAGAACAGAAAGAGAAAAAACTTTATAATTGTTTAATTTTTTTTTCCGGTAAAAGTGATGTCTTATTATGTAAATTAGAAAAAACAGGAATCTGTTCCATTAAAGCAAGCTTTTAGGAAGTGAATAAAATGAAAACTACATTTATTTAACTCGTTACTGTCTTTATTATAGAGTAAGTATAATAATGGTAATGGTGACTATACTTTATTCAATGGAAATATGCACCAAATTCAAACAAATATAAAAGGCATGAGTATAAACAGTATTACTACAGTAATATTGAACATTGGTTCAAAAATATTACATTAATATAATACAATATTACTGTAGGTATTACTGTCAACGTGCAAGCTTGTTTGAAGCTTGATGTATTTGTATGCGCTTGGTACATCTTGGCGTTGGAAAATGTATAGAAAATTATTAAGAAAAACTAGTACGTAATGGGGGATATCTTGATATACAGAGTGGTCGGAATTGTATTCAGGAAACTTTGGCAGCATAATCTGCAAATAAAATCAGTAAAAAAAATAGTATAAATTTATGTCCTAAAATGCTTCGTTTCAGAGATACAGAGTGTAGAAATTTCATTTTTATTTCGCTTTTTTCCAAATAATTTATGAAGAATGTATTGATTAATTCGTTTCCAAATATCTTGAGAACTATACTTGTGGCGAGTGTCAACAAGAGACCTTATTAAGTAAAAAACGTTGGAAATGTAAATTTTTCTCAGTAGTTTTATATAGATACAGACAAAAAGTATTACTCTTCAAATAACTTAAAAAATATGTAGGTGGCGCCCCCTATTAGTAAAAGTCAAATTGACATCTAAATCTAATTTTTCATGTCAAAAAACTCCCAAACGCCAATTTTCGTCCAAATATTGACGTCACTTCAGAAATTATTTGGAAAAAAATCGAAATAAAAATGAAACTTCTACACCCTGTATCTCCGAAACGAAGCATTTTAAAAACTTACAAGTTCATTTTTTTAGAAAGCCAATGCAACATTTCTGAGTTTCAAATAAAGATAAAAAACAGTAAAACATATAATAATAATATGTAAATTATTTTCTTGGATACATACATATATGGCAAATAATAACAGATTGTTTTATTAAAGATTTACGTTTTGGTTAATTCTAAAACTATCTTCAGATTATATGTGATATTACTTAAGTGATATTACATTATAAAAGAAAAAATGAAAATTATACCTTATAATCGAAAAAAAACGGCGTCAGCGATGGCTATGAAATGAAGATCGCTGTCATTTTATATGTAAAATTATATGGAGTATGTATCGATGGTTTTTTCCAAGCCAACTGGACGCCGTTTTTTTCGATCATACGGTATTACAAATTAATAATAGATTAACAGTCGAGAAAAAAAAAGAAAAAACTCTAGGTAAGTACTGGATAAATTTTAAAATGGCATATTTATTTTATCTTTGTTTAATATAAAAAAAACGAAATATCTACCTGGTTTACATAACCCTGTATAATTTGTGAAATAATAATGGACAAAAATGCAAGCGGTAAGAAAAATATTTACAAAAAATATGTACTTGTTTACATTTCTGGACCATTGTTCGTCATTTTTGTTATCATAATGGTGACCCTATCATAAAAACGTAGTTATTTCTATACCTGATGTGAAACTATAGGGAAAAAGTAATGTTTGTAAAATATTTTAGTCTTGAAAAAAAATAAGGAATGTTTGGTATTTTAAAATGTTTGGTAGCTTGTAATTTTTTCGACTTTCTCGATTGTTTATAGTTTATAATAAGCCTTAAAAATTGTTGTTTCATAATGGAATATCATTCTGGAATTCCTGTATGTTATTTTAGATTCTAAGGATGGTTTTAGAATAAAAAGAAACACATTTTTCATAAAAAAAAGCATTAAATTAACCAATGCCCAAGAAAATAATGTGTCTACTTCTTATGTACTTAATAATGTATCTACTCGTTATATTAATAACGAGGTTAGTAAGAACCTTTACGTAAATGATAAATATAAAAAATACAGATTTTCCAGGGTTTATAATTTACTAAATTATTATCTAAATAAGCGCCTTTCTACAACGCCACTGACGCCAAAATAGTAAATTTGACTTACCTGTGGAATGTTGTTCCAGGACTTAAATAGTCCAATTTCTTACAAATTTGGCACTGACGAACCTGTTTTATAGTTTTTAAATAAAAAGTAATCAAAATAAACACTAAACCGACACTACACACTAAGAAAATCGAATCCAAAAAATACAAAATCAAAACATCCAATAAAAACAATAAAATAGCCATGGAGAAACTGTGACAACAAGGTTTTACGACACGTGCTTTACTCTACTATGGCTCTACTACGAGAGAATAAAGAATGAACAGGCGACCCGGCGATTGATGGGTGTTGCCAAATTGTAAAGAATTTGTCATTTTTAAATAGTCTCCGACTTATAATTTAGTAGTATAGGGACTATTTAATACATCTTTCTACTATTAAACACTACTTTATTAAAATACAGTTTTAATATCTCAATATATGTGTATAACAACAAAAAAAATATTAATAATATTTTAGACGTGACAACATAGGCTGGAGGCGAAAGACTCAGACGGCCGAGGTCAGCTGCACCCAGGAGTAAACATGTTTACAAAAATTAATATTGGACCGCGCTTAAATGTAAATAGTGTAGTCTATATTTTATTCTAAGTCTATGTTTGTATCTGTTCTGTGATAATAGTTATTTCAGTTGTATGACTGGTTGTATACCTATATTATTATATTTCCTAAACATTTTCAATTTTCGTGGTGTTTTAAAAGTGGTTTTCCCTATAACCCTTGTTTATTATACAAGGCTATAACGCTTCTAATTTTCCCAATTAAAAAAAACGAGTTCGTATACCGGGTGCGTCTCAAAAGTGGCTACCCCTATAACTTTTTTATTTCTTCAAATAAAAAAACGAGATTTGGTATGTTAGTATATGACATAAATTAGAATTGATTGACGTATTTAATTGTTTTTGGTCTCTTCCTGTTTCACCGGAAATGACTACAATTTTTGATTTTTAAATGGCACCCTCGGTATTTTTTTTTACTTTATTCGATAGAAAATGACATTCTGAATAGAATATCATTTTCTATCGAAATATGTCAACTATTGACATTCTCGCTTAATAAAGATCATATTATGTCAACTTTTGACATGTTCGCTTAATAAAAAATCGTAGTTTAAAATTCAATCTAGAGTGCCATGGCTATGTTAAAAACACTAGTTCTTAATCAACGAGCCTTGGAAAAATAGATTTGATCGTCTAATGTTTTTAGCGTCTTGTCCTGACAAGTTAGAAAATGCTCAAATCGTATTTTTAATCATATCTCAATTTTTTCAAATGGAACGAGGGTGGCTCGTTAGCATATTTGGAAAAAGCATTTTTTTACGAATAATTTGATACCACAGACTTGGTATTTCGAGTCAAATTTTCGTTACAAACCGCAAGTTATAATTTCAAATAAACCATATGCGAAAATTTCAAAAGTTGACATATAATATGTCATTCTATTCAGAGTATTATTTTCTTTCGAATAAAGTAAAAAAATACAGAGGGTTATTTCGGTGAAACAGGAAGTGACCGAAAAGAATTGAATACGTCAATCAATCCTAATTTATGTTGTATACTAACATACCAAATCTCGTTTTTTAACTGAAGAAATAAAAACGTTATAGGGGTGAGCAACTTTTGAGACGCACCCGGTATATGTTAGTAATATGACATAAATCAGGATTGATTGAAAATAAAATAAAAAAAATACGTCAAATGAAATACGTCAATATTTCATTAGTTTTTGACATTTTTAATTTTTAAATGGTATCCTCGGTATTTTTTAACTTTATTCGATAGAAAATGACATTCTGAATAGAATGATTTATCATGTCAACTTTTGGCAACTTCGCTTCGGAAAAAATTGTATTTTTAATTTCAATCTAGAGTGTCATGGCTGTGTTCATAACGACAATTTGACTCGAAATACCAAGTATGTGGTACCAAATTACTCTTAAAACAAGCTTTTTCCAAATACGCTAATAAGCCATCCTTGCTTCAATGGAAAAAGTTGAGTTATGGTTAAAAAATACGATTTGAGCATATTTCAACCGGCCAGGAAAAGTCACGCAAGACCAAAGTCAAGAAGACGAATTTTACGAACGCCTATTTTCTAAGGCTCCTTGATTAAAAATTAGTGGTTTTAGCTAGCACAGCTATCGCACTCTATATTCAAATTTTAATACACATTTTTTATTTGAATGAGATTAGGGGTGATTATATTTTACTAAGCATATTTCACTTTCACAAAAATCAAGGAAAAGTACGGCAAGGGCAAAAACTACCCCCACCAACTTTAGTAGAAATATTTTCTCTCCACCGACGGCTGATTTTTTTTCCTAGTATTTACTACATTTTTTGAGTCTTGTAAAAGAAAGCCACATCGCATAGTTTTTGAGAGAAAAAATTTGGAGACATTTTTTCCAAAAGGATACCTGCAAAGCATACAGGGAATTTCAAATATTTCGTGGACATTGAACAAATATGTATTTTTACAAAAGTGCCTCCGTTGTCCGTTAGAGGGCACCAATAAAAAAAATCGAACGTTAATTAACTTAAAACTTATATAGCTTACTGTGAAATATCATTTCTGATACTAACATAATACTCCATATTTCCGCCAACTACATTATTAGCAATATTTTACTACTTATTATTACGCAAAAAATGTTGTAAGTTACGCAAAAAATGCTGTCGTCTGTGCAGTTGGATAACATTTCTACTAAAATTTATGTAGGGGTGCTGGTACTTTTCATTCTTCCCGTACTTTTTCTTGTTTTTTTTTGTGTAAGTCAAATGTTAAAGCGCTTAGCAAAGTATACACACCCCAAATATAATTCAAATCGGAATATCGGTTCTTAATATATCTTAAAAAATGTGATATTTTTTTATGTTTGATTCTCTCTAACGAACAAACAAAGCAATTTTGTATAAGGGTAATAGTCAAATAGTCTAAGAGCTAGCAACGTTCCCGAGAAAGCATTTTAAGAAAGCTGGCTCTTTGATACCTATATCTTTTACTATGCTCTCTGGAACAGCATGCGGCCCATCTGCCGATACCCGTTGCGTTCACTACTGCGCATCGGAAGCTTATATTTTTTTATTTATTCCGTTAAATTCTAGTATTAATCGAATAAATCGAATAAGTAAAGTATTAAATATTTTTTTTGAATCACCAGAATTATTTAATACTTACATGTCACATGTAGTAAAGATATAGTTTATTAATTACTACGTGTAGTTTAACAACCCTGACTGCGCATTGAAACAAGAACCTCTATTTTTATTAGCCCTTTAAATTCTAGTAGGTATTGAATATAAACCGGCCGAGTCTCCATAGCTCAGCGCGTAGAGGTTCCGCCATGGATCCCCCTATCAAGCGAGGAGTAAGAGTTCGAGACCAGGTCAGGGCAAAAACTTTTTTTATTTTATTTTCGTTTATATTCTGATAAAGTAAAGTATTAAATAATTCTGGTGATTCAAAAAAAATATTTAATACTTTACTTATTCGATTTATTCGATTAATACTAGAATTTAACGGAATAAATAAAAAAAATATAAGCTTCCGATGCGCAGTAGTGAACGCAACGGGTATCGGCAACCAGATGGGCCGCATGCTGTTCCAGAGAGCATAGTAAAAGATATATCAAAGAGCCAGCTTTCTTAAAATACTTTCTCGGGAACGTTGCTAGCTCTTAGACTATTTAACTATTACCCTTATAGAAAATTGCTTTGTTTGTTCGTTAGAGAGAATCAAACATTAAAAAAATATCACATTTTTTAAGATATATTAAGAACCGATATTCCGATTTGAATTATATTTGGGGTGTGTATACTTTGCTAAGCGCTTTAACATTTGACTTACACAAAAAAAAACAAGAAAAAGTACGGGAAGAATGAAAACTACCAGCACCCTTACATAAATTTGAGTAGAAATGTTATACAACTGCACCAACGACTGCATTTTTTGCGTAACTTACTACATTTTTGCATAATAATAAGTAGTAAAATATTGCTAATAATGTAGTTGGCGGAAATATGGAATATTATGTTAGTATCAGAAATGATATTTCACAGTAAGCTTTATAAATTTTAAATTAATTAACGTTCGATTTTTTTTATTGGTGCCCTCTAACGGACAACGGAAGCACTTTTGTAAAAATACATATTTGTTCAATGTCCACGAAATATTTGAAACTAACCTAACCTGTATGTTTTGCAGGTCTCCTTTTGGAAAAAAGTCTTCAAATTTTTTCTCTCAAAAACTATGCGATGTGGCTTTCTTTTACAAGACTCAAAAAATGTAGTAAATACTAAGAAAAAAAATCAGTCGTCGGTGGAGTTGGAAAATATTTCTACTAAAGTTGGTGGGGGTAGTTTTTGCCCTTGCCGTACTTAAATCTTAAATGGCACCCTCGGTATTTTTTACTTTATTCAATAGAAAATAACACTCTGAATAGAATGACGTATCATATGTCACCTTTTGACTTTTCGCATATAGTTTATTTGAAATTATAATTTGCGGTTCGTAACGAAAATTTGACTCAAAATACCAAGTGTGTGGTATCAAATTATTCGTAAAAAAATACTTTTTCGAAATACGCTAATGAGCCACCCTTGTTCCATTTGAAAAAATTGAGATACGATTAAAAATACGATTTGTGCATTTTCTAACTGGTCAGGACAAGACAGTAAAAACATTAGACGATCAAATCTATTTTTCCAAGGCTCCTTGATTAGGAATTAGTGTTTTTAACATAGCCCAACACTCTAGATTGAATTTTAAAAGTTCTGCTTTCAAGGCGCAGTCAGGGTTGTTAAACTACACGTAGTAATTAATAAACTATATCTTTACTACATGTCACAAGTAGTTTTTTAAATGTCGAGTAGTAAATGTGTAGTTTATGTAACTAATGTAGTTTTTTAAAATAACAGTGAAAACATAACTTAAAGACTTTGTTTGTTGATCAATTTAAGAAATAAAAAATCTATATTTTGTGAATTTGTTCCTTATTATGTGATATTTTTAATACTTAGTAGTTAAAAATGATTGGAAGACGTCTTCAACTGACAACAACATAATAATTTATAGTTTATTTTGTGTTCAATGATACTTTGTATTTCATAGAAAATACATCTTTGTTGAAAAAAATTGTCTTTTTTTTCTGATGTTTAACTTATACAAATATAATATAATTTCATACTTCCATGATAAGAATTTCTCTTGATTGCTTCATAAACTACTTAACAACTCTGTGCGCAGTAGGAAACGCAACGTTTACCGGCAGCCAGACGGGCCGCATGCTGTTCCAGAGAGCATAGTAAACGATATATTAAAAAGCCAGATTTCTTAAAATACTTGTTTTTCCGACGTTGCTAGCTCTCGTACTACAAATTGTGCCCGATGAACTTATTTTAATTCCAAAAATACGTACTAGTTCTATGTCCACGGAATATAGGCATACGGATATGAAATAAACCCATTATATTTTAAAAGGTATCTGGTATCTAATGACTTGAAACTGAAATATCTACCTAAAAAATATATGAATCTTTTTGACAGGATGGCATTCTATTAGAGAACATGCATGATGTTCCTTACATCCAATCAAAAGATTTTGGCCCTGAAATCACCGCTTCCATGAGCAGAATATCCACGGAAGTTAGACATTTAGTACCTAATGATATTCCCTGTGGTATACAGGTAACTCTAATTACTACATGGTGTGATCTTATAGAGCTCTTTTGAGACCACTCTCGAAGACTCGATAAATATATTTCGAAATGTTTTAGGTGTTATCATGTGGAAACAAAGAAGCATTGGCCATTGCAAAAGTATGCTCTTTGAATTTCATTCGAGCCGAAGGTTACGTTTTTAGTCATATAGGAGATGAGGGTTTTACAGATGCTAATGCTGGCAAATTGTTAAGGTACAGGAAACAAATATCGGCAGAAGATGTTTTGGTTTTTGCCGACATAAAGAAAAAACACAGGTATAGTTTATCCAATAAGAGCATCTCATCAATGACAGTTATCTGTCGTTTTTTGGATGTCATCTCTTGAAACAACTTCTCGCGCTTTGCAAACTTGTGTTGTAATGTAATATCTACCTTTTGCCGATATGAAGAAAAAACACAGGTATAGTTTATCTAATAAGAACATCTCGGCAATGACAGTTATCGGTCATTTTTTGGATGTCATCTCTTGAAACTTCTCTTACTTAGCCTAAATCCTTTTTATTTTTAGTTCACACGCTATAACAAGCGACATTTCTTTGGAAGAAACGGCCAAAGCAGCCGAATATTTTCTGGCCGACGGTGTTATACTCACAGGAACATCTACAGGATATCCAGCCGATTACAATGAATTAAACATGTTAAAATCGACATCCAGATTGCCTGTTTTAATAGGTTCGGGTGTAACAGTTGAAAATTTGGAAAATTACATTGGTGCGGATGGTCTAATTGTAGGTTCGCATTTTAAAACTGCTGGTTTTTGGCAAAATGATATTGATAAAGAGAGAGTAAAAAAGTTAATGCAGAAATTGAATCAAATAAGATCTGAATAAAAGCATAAAATTAAACAGATTATATACGTATTAAATACTCAATAAAAAGCCTAAACCGCTGTCTACAAATAAAGTTTTACCTTAAGTTTTGTCTGTCAGTTAAAACGGAAGAACCGATCGGAGAACTGACGGCAGTTCGCTGTAAATCCTCTTCTCTCTTAGTCCCGTCTAGACATTTCATTTTGAAATACTTTAAATACAAAAGATATAACTATGCTATCCAAACCAAAACAAAGAAAAATTATTTTATATTTTAGAAAGTTTGGCGTAGAATTTTGAACACCCTGTATGATTTAAGATTAGGATATTTATAGCAAAGTAAGTATAGACCATCTAAAGCAAATATCTAATATCACAGAATATCTAGCTACGCAACAGAAAAATACTCGAAATGGAAGAGCTAAAATTGCACAAATAGAATACTAGATGGCGCGACAATATCTTAATCAGAATATAATTGGAAATTTTGAATTTTCGGTTTTGAATCGACGATAGATCGACGGCTCGTCGACGGCCGTGAAGTACGGCTAAATATGCACAGTTGCCAGATTCAAAAAGACTTTAATTCGCATCCCATTCTTTTTCTTATGTATAATAGTTTCTTTCTATTCTTCTTTTCTTGTCAGATACACGTATATTAATTATTCGTTTAGCTTTTAAAATAGTTTTAAGTATATTATTACAAAACATATACATTTTTAATATACACTACCTTATAATGTTAACTAAGGAAATACCTTTAAAATTAATAATATATGTACAGGGCGATTGATAGTGATATTTATTAATGCTGGAACGTTAGTAATGAAATATAAGTTTAATAATAATGGAAATAATTTATTAAAATGCAGTACAAAAAATGTTAATTGACTAAAAAATACTATAATAACCAAAGACATTATAAAGATAGACCGAACATCCCATTCATAAATACTCGTTGGAAGTGTATCAAACATTCCAATGTGTCAGACAAGGACAGAAGAGACAGAGAAGTCTAAAATTTCCGACCCCGGCAACTAGACGCATTTGCATTGTTCTAATGGCCAGTGGCGAATCGTTTTTTAGAAGGAATTAATTAGTAAAGTAAAAGTAAAGTAATTAGTAAAATTTTTCTTTCAATTTTTTTCAGAATATGGAGGCAATGGTAAAGCACATTTTAGACATTTTTGTAAACATAGGTGGCCGGAACATATTTTCAAACTAAAGTTGTAGATTTGCCATTAAATTTCCATTCCAGAAATACCTAGGGTTGCCACTTGTCCTTTTTTGAAAAGGACAGTCCTTTTGTGGAATAACTTGTCCTTTTGACTTGTTTTGACTTAAAAAGTCATTTTTATTTACGTATTTTCCCTGAGAAAATTACCTACAGCAAACAGAAATATTATTTTCGTCCAAATTGAATTAGAGATGTTATAAAACTTTTCTTATTTAGAATAGGCAACATTATTTAGAACTTCCCGTTTAATCTCAAATGATAGTTTAGGTTTTAGTTTTACCTTTTTTGATCTTAAAAATAACTTTTCAAAATTAGTAATTAGTAACGATTTAGTTAGTTCGCAATCGATAGCTTCCTGTGAAGTACTGTGTAATAGTTGTTTAATCTTGTATTATTAATAACTTTCTATACCTAAAATCAATATTTAATGAGAAAATTGTGTTTTTCTGAAAATATAAGACAAGATTTGACTTTCGGTCTTCTTCTTGTATTGTGATGGCTCTGATATGAGGCAATTACCTTTTAGTCTCTCAATAGAAGGATTTATCATTAAAAGTATCAAATCTGTGTGCTACAGTATGGGATTTCTGTCGCATAATAATAAATATTACGTTTATTTACAAACCCATTACTTTTAAAGGTAGATTCATCAGACAATCAAATTTTAGTTAAATGTCTCAATCTTCATGAACTGTATTAAGCATATGTATTGCGGTTTGAATCACCCCGTATGTTGACAAAAATATTTTGAAAATGTGTGTTACAATGGCCTTATGTAAAAAATTGAAATTAAAATCACAAACCAAAAACGTAATAGGTAAAAAGCTTTTTTGGAGGCCTGGGTGACTCTGTATATAGGTATGTATAAAACTAGTAGCCTAAAATTACAGTTCGTCCCATTCTAAAAAAAGGTAAATACAACATACAAATAACTCTAGGAAGAGGTATTTATACGGTGGTAAAAAATTGTCTAAACAAGGCCGAAGGGGCAGATATAATAAAGCTGTAAAATGTAAAAAGGTGGGGTAAACACATTTGTTTATTTGTTGAGCAAAATTCCTTTAGAATATCGTATATAATGACCAAAATATCACGCAATTTTAAGAAAAAAAATGTCACTTTCTGGCTTATAATAAAGTTTCAAATGCAACGTTTATATTCAAATTTGTTATGATCTACAACAGTTAGGTAGTAATTGAGACGAATTATAATTCAATTACCGGCTACTACGTTCTTGTTTTAATAGATCAAAATTCAACAAATATAATTAGAAATTATTTTAATTGTAAGGGGCTCCGCTGTAGGACGCCTATGTACAATTACGGCGGAAATTTGTACCTACCTGTGAAAAGACAAATTCGGGTAATTTGAGCTTATTTTTCCACACACTTGACACTGTCGTACCATATTGAAAATTCGCAGATTCAAAAGTACGTTAAACAAAAACAAAAACTACTGAAAAACACTGAAAAGTTCACTTGTGACTTGATTCCGACTTCAAACACACCGTAAGCTAAACCTAGTACGCTATAATGGACCAAGGGCCGTCGCGAGGGATGGTGGGACGGACGGCTCATTTTCATTCTGGAAGACTAGCAACGACGTTGCCAATAGTTCTAGACGTTTCAGCACATTAAACAATAAACACAACGCATATATCCTCTGGTTAATAACATATTAATACGCATGCTTCTTTAAAAATAAACTATTAATTTAATTAAGAAATTGAGATTTATTGATATCCGGTGAAGGTTTTAAAGTCACTTTTTCTGCAAATCAAACTAAGTAGATAGGCGCAAATTTGAGATGTGGCAATGTCGCCTTCTCTATCTCAGTTGGTTTTTACAGTACGTAGTCAACCTCCGATTGTTTGATCGGGTTAAAATGCACAATATGATATCTGTTCTTCCTAAATCTATGATAATAACAAATTTTTTCGGTTTGCCACGCTATTTATATAGACATAGGTAGATCTTAAAAAGTGACACAGGTAAAATTAATAATATCATACTCGGCATAAAAGTTGCTATCACGACATCGTACAATAAATTAAAATTCGTAAAATAAATTAAAATTATTAATTAAACAAATCTTTATAAAGAAACGCTAGTATACCAAATTTGGGCCCAATCGAGATCCAGGAAATGATATGATAATATTGTACTATATTATGCTACCATTCGATATGCTTCAAGGTACCATAATATTGCAATGTCACTGAAGATCCGTAGTATACCAAGTTTAGAAGGTACCACTTTATATGCTCCATGGTACCATAATATTACAATGTCACCGACGATACGTAGTATACCAAGTTTGAGCCCAATCGAACGCCATGTACGTAATATGGTACTGTATTATGGTACCACTACCACACCAATATGGTTCATGGAATCATAATATTGCAATATCAGCAAAAATACGAAATTATATGTCAAATATGAGCTCAATCGAACGTCAGGAAGTGGTATCATAATATGGTACGATAGAAGGTACCACTTTATATGCACCATAGTACCATCATATTGTTAAATTCTTTTGAATTCGCGGTTAATGTCAAGCAGTGACTGCCGCGGCGACGCTATTCCTTCACTCCCGTTCGCGTCCCGCCTTTTAGGCGCACATGCGTGAGCAACCAAATAATTAAAAAGAGCGCCAAATTCATATATTTAAAATAGAATCTAACACGGCCAAACTGACATCATTCCGCTCTCGGAATGTACAATTTCCAAAACATAGAAAAAATAAGAGGCCTATGATATAGGTACCTATAACAACAAAACTTTAATTTTGTATTTTAACATATGCGTTAAGATTATGCTATACATAATGTATATCAAGTTGTAATTAAACAATAAAAGCTAAACTTCGTTACGTTTAAAAGGTTTTGGGTTGAGATTCAGCACACTCGACAATCTCCATGCCAGTTGCTGAAATAAAGACAGGAAGAACGTTAGTCAGACAAGAGTCAGACTACTCTGACATCAATATCAGTTTACTTCTATTGATAACAATTCATTGAATGGCACAGTGGGAATATGTACTCAGTAGGCACGTATTCACGATGAGCCATTTTAAAATCACAGAGTTTCTCTACTGACACGATGGAAATATTGCACGAGGCACATATTTACGATGGGTCAGTTTAAAATCACAGAGTTTCTCGACTGACACGATGGAAATATTGCACGAGGCACATATTTACGATGGGTCAGTTTAAAATCACAGAGTTTCTCGACTGACACGATGGAAATATTGCACGAGGCACATATTTACGATGGGTCAGTATAAAATTACAGAGTTTCTCGACTGACACGATGGAAATATTGCAAAATATTGCACATATTTACGATGGGTCAGCTAATGAATTACTGGATAACACGATGGAAATAGTATGACATGTACATACGTATTTGCGATGGGTTATTTGCCAGTAATGAACTTAACAAAAATAATTTACATTTAGATTTAGACTGGCACGATGGATTAGACTGACACGATGGAAATATTGCCAGAAGCACATATTTACGATGGGTCAGCTAATCATTTACTTTTCAATCTAACACGGCCCAGAATGTTATAAAATTAAACTAAATAAAAAAAAAACAAAAATAGTCGGATTTCTTTATTTTTTTTTATTCAGCCCAATTTACAACTTACCAACACTGTTTAGTTCTACTAGATTCTGAAAGTCTTCAGGAGTCTAATCAGATGGCCAGTGACGCAACTGGTCCTTAGAACACTTAAGGTTTGTTTGCGCGCCTAACTTCCGGATTGAATATCGCTCATTAGCCAATAGTTGTTTAATGACATAATGTACCACAAAAGATTGTTCGGCCAAACTGACAATTTCTTCTACTTATTCTTAGCAAATTTGTTATTGTTCGCAATGTATCGCTCGATTGAAAATCATGGCGGTGTCAAGCGTTATTTTACAAAGAAACTGGCTTTCAACAAAATCAATAGGTTGCAAAGCGTCATCAAATTTCTTGCAATAATTTCTACAACCTCAAAAAAAATTGAAAATACTTTTTAAGTTTCCCTAATGGCTACATCTGGAGAGATAATCACAAATACTGATAATTCAATTAATCCTTTCTTTTACATAAACAGCTTGCTTTCTACTACTATACGTTCGTAGTTTTCGATATTTTTACACATTTTTCGGAAAAGTAATACTCGTAGATTTAGTCAGCGTTTCAATATCTCGAACACCGTTATTTATTCTCGTGTTTTTTTTATAGTACTTATAGTTATTTATCGGTGAAATTAATACCTTTATAACACGTACTTTTTCTAAACTTCCTGTGATGCCGCCTTTTTACAAAAGCCGTCGATTAAAAGTAATAAAAATTCGAAACTCTCATGTCATGAGGTACTTAAAAAGGTACCTACACTGTATGTTTTTAGTAACAATACATTTTAAGCATTGATCATAATACTTCTTAACAAATTGATCGATGAGTTAAAATAAAAATAATGGTTTAATTCACAAAAGATCTTTTTTTCAGTTGTAACGTAACACTGCTTGTCGGAAAACAATCTTAATAAATCTAAACGGCTGCCTTTCGACTTCGACACAAAAGCTTTTATATAAAAAGAAAGATTTTATATAAAAAGAAGTTGGCCACATTTTTTTTTCTAAAAGTAATATTATTTTAACAAAAATGATCGTTAGCTTATTTGTCCTAAATTTATTTTCATTTATCTTAAGTTTCTGTTTCGGTCATATTTCTGTATTTTTTAACCAGTTACCAGTAGGCCATGTTGACAAACATTTTCAATTCGATTTCATCTGGAATAGTCGGCCCCGTTGAAAAATAACACCATTTCGTATTCAATAGGTATTCAATACTAAAATTGTTAACTCAACAATACCAAAGTTTACTGAATTACAATACTCATAAGCTTAAAATCGCTACACAAAAGAAAAGAGTAAAAAAAATATCTGACTTCGTAAAATACTGACAAAGCACCGAATATTATAAACAGTCGCCAAGGTCTCATGAATGATATTTAGACACTTCATTAGACTTGCGTTGAGAAAAATATGGAACAACATTTAACTGATAAGTTTCTTAGAACTGAAATTCGATAGGATCTCTGGAATCGACTTATTGGCTTCGCTTTATCAAATGCCCAGCCTTTCTTGGTACTTTGGTACTTTTCTTCAATCTTTAGTACAAATAAATTTATCATAACTTTTTCGATACCAGAAATAATATCGGGGATATGTTTTTTTTATAGTTAAAACATGGTTAAAACCACGAGAAATGGAAATGTGGTATCTGTCGTTATTTAAAATAAATCCAATTTTTAAAAATTCTGTACATTAATTATTTTAACTGAACCTTTAATCTGTTTTTTTTTCTTATTCTTTTTGTCTGTTTTAATTTAATAATTACATGTTTATCGTATTGTCAGAACCTATTACATTTATTGATGATCGTAAGTTTGGTTTGAATATGGCATATAAAACTACAAAACTCTACTAAAACTACGGAGCTATAGATCTAAAATTCAGTTCTAAAACCTGTATCATTATCTTGGTTTCTAAAAGAACTTTCACAGTGTTAACTTCGTACTTTAATGTTATTAATATCACTTTTTAAATTGCCTAAACCTTTTCTCAATATTTTCTGAAACAACAAGAGAGCAATTTAAATTTCTCAAGTTTTATGCGTGCTTACTCAATGTTACTATGAGCATGGCAACTTTGAAAGTTATATGCATCGATCATGAGCTTACCCAGAATTTTTTTTTTATGGAAAAACCGCTGAAAAATTTGTTTTAAAAATTTTCCATGTTTCGTGAGTGGGTTTCCATGCAGTAAACCATCGTTTAGCATATTTAAGTAAAAAGGGGCCAATTCTACTTACGGTTTCCCGATCAGGCCAACGAAATTCAGTTTCATACAAATTTATTTTTACAAACCACTCGTATAGGCGGAGTTTCCAATGCCCGCCGTTGAAGATGGACACAGATTCGATTGTAGCACGCTTGGCCATTGCTAATTTAATTGGCATAAAGTCACACAAAATTCACAGGCACACGAAAAGCACCCGGGTTTATTACCCCACACCTGATGTTAAATTCTTTTGAATTCGCGGTTAATGTCAAGCAGTGACTGCCGCGGCGACGCTATTCCTTCACTCCCGTTCGCGTCCCGCCTTTTAGGCGCACATGCGTGAGCAACCAAATAATTAAAAAGAGCGCCAAATTCATATATTTAAAATAGAATCTAACAATATTACAATGTCACCGAAGTTACGTAGTATACCAAGTTTAAGCCCAATCGAATGCCATGTACGTAATAAGGTACTATATTATGGTACAACTTGATATGGTTCATGGTATCATAATATTGCAATGTCATAAAAAATGCGAAATTATATATCAAGTTCTGAGCCCAATCGAACATCAGGAAGTGGTAATATAATATGGTACTATAGAAGGTACCACTTTATATGCTCCATGGTATCATAAAAATATAATGTCACCAAAGATACATACTATACCAAGTTTAAGCCCTATCGAACGCCATGTACGTAATATGGTACTATATTATGGTACCACTTGTTATGGTTCAAGCTATCATAATATTGCAATGTCATCAAAATTAAGAAGGTATATATCAAATATGAGCCCAATCGAACGTCAGGAAGTGGTGTCATAATATGGTACTATAGAAGGTACCGCTTTATATGCTCTCTCTAAATACTTAACGTTTGAAAAAAGAGCTCTGATCTATTTTAATATGTTTAAATGATGTAGCAAATTTGAAGGTAGGCTTTATCAGGAAGTATTACAATATGAATTACACAATGGCAACACTGCACAAAATTCTTTTAAATTTCGTTTGTAGAAAACTGTTTTCTTTAAAATTTATCGCCCTCTATTATGTAGAAACTACCGCATCAAAATATCTGATTTGGAGACAGGCTTAAAGCCCCGTTCTCAGAACTGCGTCGTGTCGACAGCGACACTGATTGACACTTCAAACGACCAATGGGAGCTGTACTAAATTTAAAATTGACAGCTGTTTGAATTTTGTACAAATCTGATTGGTTCTTTTGTCGTGTCGCTGGCGACAGTCGCAGTTCTGAGAACGGGGCTTTAAAAGTCTGTCTCCTTTTGATACCTACAATTTTATGCAGGTAACGAGGCTTCTGTTGCGTAGCTAGATATTCTGTGCTAATATATTCAAACAATAAGATACTATAAACTATAGTTTTGATTTTGGGACAGTTTTTGTAATTGTAATAATGTTTTTTAAAAAGGTTAATAAATATTATACTTTTTATTTATCTATACTAATATATAAAATCATACTGATTAATCACGATCCTGCTCAAACCACTCAACGTAAGAAGCTCAATTTTGGCATACAGATTGATTCTAGGGTGTAGAGGTTCGATAAGAAGGGATTTTTCGAAACTCCAGTTCCAAGAGGGTGAAACCACCCCTCAAATATTACAATATTTTTTATTTAAAAAACTGTCAAGTTTCCGAAAAAACGCTTAAACAGGTATATTTTATTTTGTTTTTTTTACATATGTTTTTTTACATAAGATTTTTTATAAACGTATACAGGGTGTTTCATAAAATATGACCATTGAGTAATCACAATTCTGCTTAAACTGCTTGACGTTTAAAGCTGATTTTTGGCAAACGGATTAACTGAGGGGTGTAGAGGTTCGATAAGGAGGGGTTTCTCGAATCTCAAATTCCAAGAGGGCGAAAACGCCCCTCATATATTACAATATTTGTTATTTAAAAAACGGTTAGTCTTTCGGGAAAACGGATAATTTATTTGTTTTTTTACATATCTTGAAATTTTTTAAAAAATTATACAGGGTGTTCCAAAAAGTTAGGTAATTTCTTAACCACGATTCTGCTTAAACTGCTTGACGTAAAAAGCTTATTTTTGGCAAACGGATTTTCAAATATTACCAAGTTATTATAATAATATCGCCATATTGTTTTTTCTCATGCTGACATAAATGTGAGAAAATTTTATCCAGTTTGTATGTTAATGGAAATTCTTGCTTTGTTTTATCATCACCATTACAAATGATTAATGCGACGCGAACGAAGTCGCTGGTACACGCTAGTTTATTAATATATCTCTAAAATTATCGAAATATTTATATTTACTCATATCTTAGGATTATGTAGAGTGATCTTTTACTCATATCTTAAGATTATGTAAAGTGATCTAAAAGGAAGCCAAAAATGCAAAAATATACAGGGTGTACCATTTAAAAAAAAATCTTTCCAACCCACTCACTCTTTTTTGAGCCACCCTGTAGAAATTAAAATATTTTCGTGAAATACATCCTCGTACATATTTTAGGTTTGCGCTTAAAACTTCCCCCACCACTTTATTTTATGAGATAGAGCAAAATATGCTGTATAAAAAAAATCAAATTTCTCATTGATTTCAATAGTAATATTTAAAATACCTCTTCACCTGCATATTTTCGAGAAAATACTGTTTTCTGATTGGCCATACAGGTGCATCCTCTACCGCGCATTTTTCGAACTTAAAAATAATTTCCACCGATTTCTCTTGGCCGTTTTACTTATTACAATTTTTTTCCCAACGTTGTACGGTAAGTAGTTTCTGAGATACAGCCAGTGTCCATTCTTAGTTGGCAACTCCGTACTCTTTAGCCATTGGTTTTACAAAATGTATCAAAAGAAATCAAAGTTTGCGTAAAAAAATATATTAGGTGCTGTATTTTTATAGGACAAATTAGAAAAAGTTAATCTTTACATAACTTAATAAAAACCTACAATGCTGTTTAAAAAAATCTAATATACTAATTAACTTATTTCTACATGTATAGAAAAAATATGCGTCAAAACTAAAATTATTACAAATAAATCAACGAAAACACTGACTTACAAAAAATCTACTTGTTCGATCCAAAACTGAAAAGTCCTTTGAAAGTGGAGCGTATACCGCTAACAAAACTTCCAAACTTTGTCGTATTGTGATCGTTGTGTTTTCTTCCAAAAATGAACACATCGGTACGATTTTCTAGGGCAAGTTTATCCTCCAGAGTAGGTTTGATACCATTAGTTCCAGTATCTGATTAAAAACAAAAACAGTTTGTAGTTAGGTACAGCTGGTTCCAAAAAAAATGAATACGACTCATTAAGCATTTTTTTCGAATATTTGAGCAGTGTATATTTATGTGTCAAGTATTTTGACATGTTAAGGTTATTATGATTATTGAATAAAAGAACTTTGCTTTTGACAAACTGGCAAATAAATTTTTCAGAATGTCAGCATGACATCAGTAGAGAAATGGGAAACTGGTATCATAGAATATACTGCCCGAAACAATAAAAATATGTTTTAAATCGTATTCAATTTTATTGGAACCAGCTGTACATTGTAACATGCGGACCAAAAATGTTAACCACGAGTAGAAAAAAAAAATTGGCGCCGGGAGGCACGTATAGCCGCCCATACTAAAATATGTTAATATCTCGAAAACTGCGACTTTGACTGATTTTGATGTTATTACAAATTTTGTTGCAAATATTATTCCTAATCTTAAATTGAAAACCGCGTTTCGCTAGCTACTGTAATTTTGGAGTTACGATTTTTTTAAATTTTTAACCCCTCCCATACCCCCTTACCAACCCCACACCCCCACCAAAAACTAATGGCCAGATTCTCGGGTGCCACAGTATTTTTGTGCCAAATTTGGTTAAAATCGGTTCAGCGGTGTTTGATTATCGTGTTACAGACGGACAGACAGACACCATGAAAATATTTTGTATTTAGGTCATTTATTACCCAAATAACTCATTTTGAGTGAAATTAAAAAAACTTTTTTTGCCGATCCTAATAGCCTACCATACCTATTGGTATGGTCGGCTAAAAATATTGAAAAAACGTTTATGCGAAATTAATCCAGTTACAGTACAGGGTGAGTGAACGATAAAGTTCAAAATTTAATTTGTTTTGGGGATTTGAATGAGATTTTGGGTGTCTATATTTTAAAAAATATCTATACCTATGTGGCGGATTCATGTATCCAAAAAAAATCTTTATGGGTATTTCGCCACTGCACTGCAAGAAAAATCTACAAAATAAAATAGTTATTTTTTGTAAACACTTCTGCGTTAAACCTAAACGGACGCTGCTTGTCAGAAGATGGTTTACAGTTATAAAAATTTGCCTAACAAAGAAAAAAATGCTTAATGTTTTGGAAAGTTTTCTCTTTCCGTTGTCGGAAGCAAAAAAATATAAAGAACAAAAAAAAAATAGTTTAAAATATTTAAATTGAACTATTCGAGAACACTTTACTTTTTAAAACAGATACGTCTACAAGAAACCGTTGACGTTCTGTTAAAATGACATTATATTAAGTTAAACTTCAAAATTAACAATTACTACCTGATAACAATTACTTAATAAGGTAAAACCAAAAAGCCCAAACTTTCTGTATGGTTATTTTCAAATTTTACGTATGTTATGTTTATTACATTATACAAATCTTATCAATCAATTTTCACAAATCTAAGATTTGTCAGCATTCATGGAACACAGGGCACTAAATTCATGGGACACAGGGCGCAAATAAAATTTAATAACGCCAAAATTATAATGAAAGAAGCGATAGCCTCTAAAATAAAAATAAGAGGCTTTTTAATTTAATCTAATAAAAATAAATGTATTGCTCATACATCTGTAGATGTTAGTAATGTATGGCAATCGCTTCTTTGATTTTAAAGAACATAACATAAATAAACATAACATACGTAAAATTTCAAAATAACCATACAGAAAGTTTGGGCTTTTTGGTTTTACCTTATTAAGTAATTGTTATCAGGTAGTAATTGTTAATTTTGAAGTTTAACTTAATATAATGTCATTTTAACAGAACGTAAACGGTTTCTTGTAGACGTATCTGTTTTAAAAAGTAAAGTGTTCTCGAATAGTTCAATTTAAATATTTTAAATAGTTTTTTTCTTTGTTCTTTATATTTTTTTTGCTTCCGACGACGGAAGAGAAAACTTTCCGAAACGTTAAGCATTTTTTTCTTTGTTAGGCAAATTTTTATAACTGTAAACACAACTTCTGACAAGCAGCGTCCGTTTAGGTTTAACGCAGAAGTGTTTACAAAAAATAACTATTTTATTTTGTAGATTTTTCTTGCAGTGCAGTGGCGAAATACCCATAAAGGATTTTTTTGTCTACATTTTGCTATACATTTTAGTATAAATATTTTCCAACTCAACCGACGACCGATCTTTTCGTAAAATGGTCCTTCTAGTATTAACTATAGTCTGTCCAACGACAAAATCCTTGACAGTGATAGATGCGTCTGTCATTTTAATTTGAAAGTAGTTTATTTTATTTTGTTGTTGTTTTTTTTAAGTTGGTACAATTGGAACGCATAATTAATATATTAATATACCTATTTAAATTTTGTGTGACAAGTGATTACTTCAAAATATTGTGAAAAAAAGACTGTATAAAACTGAAAAAATCTAGTCTTGGTTAATTAACTTTAAACTTATTTGTTTCTGCATTACTAAAATGTATTATCTACCTATCGTGTGATGTTATTTTACAGATACTCCATTTTTTGGTACCATATACGAGATGCCATACAACTTTATTTGTGGCTAATACAACTCTCTGGCCATAGTCTCTAGTAAACTGTGTTTCTGGCGGTCTCTGGACACCGAATATTAACTGTAAACTATGGTCTGGGTCAACACTTAATTTTCCCTCGAGTTTTCCTCCACTTAATTAAAAAAAAAACACGAAACACAAGTAACAACACAGTCCAAAATGCAAAATGCAAAATATCATTTCTATTTGACATAATTTGACACAAAATTATAAGCTATAATTTGGCAAGAGTTTGACAACTCTCAAAAATCTTAAGTCGAGTTCATACGTATCGGAGTCCGTTTGTCGTTCATCGTTGCGTCAAACCAATAAAATTGAAATACGATCTGTCGTTTTTGAAATAAACCAATAAAACTGGTTAAAAACAACAAGAGGCGACGCATGACGTATTTATTTGTAAACCCATCCATAGTTAACTTAAAAAGTATTAGAAACTTTTTTTAGTGAAATAAATAGATTGGTATGGAAGTCATCTGTTTTTTTTCTGTCATCGTCTGTCGAAATCTTACCTGAGAAAAAAAAACGAGTATACCATTTTTTGCCTCTTATAAAAAAGGCCACCGCGCATAGTTTTTAAGAAAAAAAATATTTTTCCTAAGTTGACTTCCAAAAAATGTTTTTTTGTCACGTCAAGCTAAGGAGGCGCATAAAATCTATTATGCTCTAATCATCTAGTTGGCGAAAATATGGAATTTTATATTAGTATCACAAATTATATTTGACAATAAGCTTCATAAAAAGCTTAAAAAACTAATAAATTTTAAGTTAATTAACGTTCGGGTTTATTTTTGATTGATGCCCTCTAACAGACAAACGAAGCACTTTTGTATAAAGGTAAATTATGTGCAATTAATAATGTGAACTTATTTTGATTCAAAAAATACGTAGTTATTCTATGTTCACGGGATATTTGAACTCTCTGTATATATTGTAGGTCGGCTTTGAAAAAATACATTTTTCAAAATTTTTTTTCTCAAAAACTATGCTATGTGGCGTTTTTTACAAGCGACGAAAAATGTAATAAATACTAGAGGGACCATTTTACAAAAAGAAAATCTGTCATCGGTGGAGTTGGAAAATATTTATACTAAAATTTATGTATGGGTGGGGGTAGTTTTTTTCACCTCTCCAGTACTTTTTCTTGATTTTTGTAAAAATCAAATATTAAAGCACTTAGCAAAACATAGATACTGCTGAAAATCTCATTCAAATCGGAATAACGGTTCTGAAAAAGTTTCCAACAAAGCACTTTTGTATAGAGGTAAATAGTGTTCAATGAACTTATTCGGATTCCAAAAATACGTAGTAGCTCTATGTCCACGGAATATTGGGACACTCGGTATAAAAAATAACTATGTATTTATTTTTTTCAGACAAAAAAAACAGATTTGGTATGAATTCAAGTTTATGACATAACTAAATCAGGATTGATTGACGTATTTAATTATTTTAGTTCACGTTCTGTTTCACCAGAAATGACTACAACTTTTGATTTTTAAATGGCACTCTCGGTATGTTTTTAATTTATTTGATAGAAAATGATATTCTGAATAGAATGACACAAAAAAATAATAAACAAATCGAATTCTAAATAACTTTTGACATTTGGAATATTTGGTCACCTAACCTTACGTTTTACTTTAAATGACATTTGTCACATGACATATACCAAAATCAGGCATGTTAAATTAATTCCGCACTTTTTGTCTAAAAACTCCATTTGTAGCGAAAGTTTTGCTACAAATGGTGTTTTGCACGCTATAGAGACTGTTTCTTAAATAAATGTACAAAGTGATTCTTTAAATTTTTCCGTATATTTTAGAAAACTGCTCATCAACTGCAGGTTCATCTAAAATTGTACCTTCTTTTTATTTTTGATATACCGGCGGCTCTGAAAATGTTACTTTTTTAAACTAAACCTCAAAACTTAAAAATTTACTACTTTTATTAATACGTATATATCACGTTCGGAAATATTTGCATTATTTTAGGAAATACTCAGTATATCAACAGGATTAAATACGGTCTAACAAGCCAGGGAAGATTTCGACAGTCGATATCGAAAAAATTACAGACTGAGAAAATTACAAAATCAATGACTCTTGTTGGCCATACTATAGTTCTCAGAGAGTTGTAGAATGTGGAATGAGTGAGAGGGGGGGTTAATCACTGCGACCTCAATGATGACGACCCTTCTTTGAGTCATCACACATTCTATAACCCATCATACCTCTGTTGTAGAGGGGACAGGGTATTTCCCATCCTCCTCTGACAACAGATGTTCTTCCTCCGAGGATACACACCCTTCCACGGTTGGAGTTTTGCCCTCCGTGCCCTTCACAGTCGAGGAGCTTGCCTCCGGCTGAGGTACCCGTGAGATGTAGGCTGGAGGATCTGTCTCCATTTTCTCCACCTCTTTAACTTGGTCTCTCCTTAGACCTGATACCGGTGTTGTTCCGTATCTATAATAGAGGATATGTCCCTCTTTCTCTATTGCCTCCCTGGATTTGAGGTCAATTCCTATTGTGAGGACCTGACCATGACTCTCAGAGAGTTACATTGTCTTTTCTAAAATCAAACTCACCTTGTTCAATTTTTAAATTGCTTCCATTTGAAAAATTACTTGTTTCCAACAATGGAAACCCTGTTGACGTTAGATCTCTGGTTTCAGGGTTGCTTTCCAGCTTTATCGGTGTAGAATTACAAGCAGAATGGATAGATTTTCTGGCCAATATTCCGCTACTGAATCTTAGAATTTCGGAAGTCGAATTTCTGGGGTCCTAAAGAATAAAAATAAATAATATCTTTTAAGCCATTTTCTTCTCCTTTTTACCATAAATTTTCTTTTTTTCAGTGGACGTCCAGGACTTAAACCTATTTCGTTGTATTCATTGACGTCTTTCCTTTTAACAGGTCTCCTGTTTGAACTTTCTTTCCTTAAAGTTTTCCTATAATACAGAGTGTCTAAATGAAAGGGCGCGAAAAATACTAGAAGTATATTCTTTCGATTCGGCGATTTCCCACAATATTATGTACTTTTTTGTTATATGGACATTTTTCAAAAACGATAGACAATAGATAGTTGAAATTGGATGTTTGAATGCCACCAATCAAATCGGTGGTTACGACATATTAGAGGGTGATAAATTAACTAACAATGTTAAAAATATAATTTAGTAATAAGCCTGATTTTTATATAATTTTTTTACTCCAGCCCGTCAACGGAGAAAGATCGCACAATAATGGATGTTTTGAAATTTTTTTGAGAAATTTAATTTAACCTTAATAAAAATATAATAGTACAACGTCGCGAAAACAAGAATTTCAAGAAAGCTGGTTCTTAAATATATTTTTGCTATGCTCTCCTGGTCAAAGTGCGGACCGTCTGGCTGCCGGTAGACTACTGCGGTTCATTACTGCGCATCACATCTGTACAGGATATCCCATTTCCGTGTGTTTTATGGGATTTCTCGTTTATGAGTAAAGATACAATGATGCGATTTTCACATTACTTTGCTACTTTTTTATGAAACTAAATATGCTACACATATGTTTGTCCTAGCCTCCTCTAAGTTCCTGAAATACAGGGAGAATTTGTGATGCAGATCAGTAGTGGCCGGATGTCTGTGATAAGATACGCAGTAGTGAACACTTTGTTAAGAGTGAACACAACGTCTACCAGCCACCAGACGGTCCGCACTCTGTTCAGGAGAGCATAACAAAAGATATATTAACGAACCAACTTTCTTAAAATTCTCTCTCGAAAACGTTACTAGCTCTTAGACTATAAGTAAAACAGCGAAATCGTTATGGAAATCAAAATATAAAATGACACCAATCACAATCAAATCGTACATCCGATGAATGTAGTCATGAAAATGCAATAAATTTAAAAACTGCGTAATTTTCTAACCAATCGAAGTCTTTAAATTCAACCAATAAAACTAATATCGTATCACCGTATCGTCGGATACGGGTGCGCTACATATTTTAATGCCAAAAAAGTGTCGATAGATTTATCAGGCACGTGTACAGTACATCTGCTGGATCTGTGTCTATGAAAGGAATGCGGACAAAAAACATTTAAATAAACAGCAATATATTTTATACGTCGATTTGACGAGTGCGTCACCGCAAATCGCTCCGCCCACTCATATTATTGGCTACTTGCAAATTTGTTGAATTTTTATTGATGGGACGCGTCGTCTATTTTTTTACGAAAAACATCGAGAGAATATCGTATCCCCTCTCACGGATACCCCGTAGCTACAGAACGGACAGACGTACTGTATATGGATTAACACTGGAATATTTTTCGAAAAAAAAAACATGTACGCCACTGACTTTTTTCTTTTGACAGCAAAATTGTAAACGCCGTTTAATGCCTGTTAAAAGTTGTATCTTGACATTTTGTCGTTTTCGATCTCCTTGATGAGATAAACGCAATTTTATTAATCATAATTAATAAAATTAATTCAAAAATAAAATTAATAAATTATTTTATCTAATTTATTATTAAATATTATTACTATAAGTTATCACTATTAGTCTACATCAAATTCAAATAAAAAAATAATGGAATTTAAGATAATTAATTACAAAATTAAAATAAGTTTAAAACGTTTTAACATCCTGTAATTTTAAAACTAGTAATCTATGTTTATAGGATTTTTTTTTCATATTTTTTATGAGGAATCAATGAGTACTTATTTAAAACTTTCGAAAGTTAATGATATTAAAATGTTTTAAATGTTGCTATTAGACTTGGATCAAGGCAAATTAATAAAATTGCATTTATCTCATCAGGGAGGCCGAAATCGACAAAATGTGAAGAGACAACTTTTAATCGGCATTAAACGGCTTTCACTATTTCTCTAACAAGAGAAAAAAAGTCAGTGGCGTTCATGCTTTTTTAGAAAAATATTCCAGTGATAGAATGTAGAATGTTTAGAAGGGGAGTTAATCACCGCGACCTTATAGATCTATTGTGTGTTTCCCTTTCTTGAGTTATAACGAGTTATAACTCATCATACAGTCTCAGGGCTTTAAGAAAAGCCAGTATCTGAGACGGCTCCACAGAGGCCAGCTCTCCATCCTCGACATCAGACGTGCCAAGGTTCATGGCACGAATGGTCGTCGTCTCGGCGCACTCAGTGATAAGGTGTTCTGGTGTTTCCCCATTTTCCCCACAAAATCTGCATTCGCCGTTGTTTCTCAGTTTCAGTCTACTGAGGTGTTCGTTGAGGAGACAGTGTCCTGTTAGAAACCCCGTGACAATCCGAAGATTGTTTTTACTTAAATCAAGGAAAACCTTTGATTTTTCTCGGTCATAAGTTCTAAGGAACTTTTTCGAGTGTCTTAGACCGTTGGAGGACACCCATTCAAAGTTACGGATGGAGTCTTCCAGATTCTTCAGTTCCGCTTTCAGTTGGTTCCCGTTTGGAAAACAGAACGGTTCTGGTCCAGTTAGTGGAGTGTTCGCTCCTTTCCTAGCTAGATCATTTGCTTTTTCATTGCCTTCTATCCCTTGGTGAGCAGGCACCCAGAGTAGGAGGACTTTATTTTCTTTGCCTAATTTGTTGAGCTTCTCTAGGCATTCTTTGACCAACTTCGAATTGATGGTTACTGAGTTGATCGCGTTAAGTGCTGCTTGACTATCGGATAGGATGGCAATTTCCTGTTTTCGATAGTTCCTATCCAAGATAAATTGTACGCATCTTTCGATAGCGCAAATTTCTGCCTGAAGGATACTGGGGTAGGTGCCCATTGGTTCGGAGTATTCAGTTTTCGGCCCAAATACTCCTATCCCTGTCCCTGCTTTGGTTTTGGAAGCATCAGTATACCACGTGATGGTATGGTCTTTTATATGCTGAGTAAGCGTTTCTTTCTTCCAATCCTTTTTATTACTCAATACTACAGTGAGGTGTTTCTCAAAGTTGTAAATTCTTGGTATGTCATCCACTGGGAGTTGGAGAAGTGGAATTTTCTTTTTGAGGGTGTTCCAAGCCCCTGACCTGAAAATTCTCCCAGTACTGTTTCCGTCAATGACCATTCTAATCATTGTCGCATTGGCATAACTACCGACGACAATATGCAGTGGTGTTAGGTCTAGAATGACCTCCATTGCTGCTGTTGGACATGTTCTCATGGCACCTGTGATGCAGATACATGCCAGTCTCTGTACTTTGCACAGGGTTTGCCTTGCTGTACGTTGCTCTAGTTTTGTATACCAAGCAACTGCTCCATAAGTAATCATGGGTCTTACTATCATGGTATACATCCAGCGCAAAATGTTAGGGGCGCAGCCCCACCTATTTCCCGCCAGTCTTCTGCATATCATGAGAGCCTTTGTGGCTTTGCTGGTAATGTTCTTAATATGCCTGTTCCAGAGAAGTTTACTATCCAGGGTTATTCCCAGATATTTCACTTCCTGTGATGGCAGTATTTCCTTTCCATCTAGATGGATTCTTTTCAAGTTTTTCAAACTTCGCTTTCTGGTGAATGGCACTACTGCGGTTTTATCTGAGTTAATACTCAGCCCGACAGTCCTGCACCATCTCTCAGCGATGCGGAATCCTCTTTGGATAATATCACACAGGGTGCCTTCATGTTTCCCCTGTGCAATGATGACTATGTCATCTGCGTACCCTATGCAGTGTATTCCCGCTAGAGTTAATTCTTCCAGTAGTTCATCCACTACCAAGCTCCACAGTAGGGGGGAGGTCACTCCACCTTGTGGAGTTCCTTGCGTTGTTTTAACAACTACAGTTTTGGTACCTATCTCAGCCTCTGCTGTTGTGTTGAGAGCATTTCCAAAACCAGCGAATTATCGTACTGTTCGCCCCTCTTGTTTCAAGAGATCGCTTGACCACCTTGTGAGGTATATTGTCAAACGCCCCTGCAATGTCCAAGAAGGCACAAAGTGCTGTTTCTTTGCTATCCAGGCTTGCCTGTATTAGCTCAGTTAACTGGTACAGAGCAGTTTCTGTGGATCTGCCCGCTCTATATGCATGCTGACTATCGTGCAGTGGCTTAACCTGTAGATGATTTACTCTAATATGGTTGTCCACTACTTTCTCCATCGTTTTTAATATGAACGATGTGAGACTAATAGGCCTAAATGATTTGGGGTTAGCCCAGTTAGTTTTGCCTATTTTGGGTATGAAGATGACTTTAGCTCTTCTCCAGATGGTTGGTATATATCCCATCGCTAAGCTGCTTCTTGTAATGTTTAATAGATGGTGTGCAGCTATTTCCTGACCCTTCTTTAGAAGGGCAGGAAAAATCCTATCTATTCCTGCTGTTTTATAAGGCTGAAAGGTGTCAATAGCCCATTTCAGTTTTTGTTCTGTTATTACTAGCTTGGCCGTCTCCCAGTCTTCCCTGCGAGGATTGTGGGGTTCGGTCGGAGCTACTTGCGTATCAATAGATATGCTACCTGGGAAGTGTGTATGAAGTAGGAGGTTAGCTCTCTTCATCTCCTTCCGTGTAGCTTCCGTCAGTTTTCTTAAGTGCCATGTTGGGGATGGGCCCACTCTTGGCCATAGCTTGTAGCCTAGCTGCATAAGTAGTTGAAGTGATGTTTTCGCAAAAGCATCTGAAGTCAGACCGCTTTGCCCTTCTAATCTCCTTATTATACTCAGTTAATTTCTCGGCGTAGAGCTGCCATTCGCCGCTGGGTTTGGCTCTGTTGAAGAGTCGTCGGACCTCCGATCTAAGATTGGCCAGCTTTTTGTTCCACCAGGGCTTGTTGTTACTTTTTGTATGCCCTTACTTGTGGGGCAACTAGATTCATATGCATCCAATATTGCACCACTGACTTCCTTTGCGTACCATTCTAGATACAGGTGGTTCCTAGCCCTACCTGCATCTATTTGGTCCAGGTTGTTTACGAGATTGGTGTGGTATAGTTCCCAATCGGTTTTTCTTGGATTCCTTCGAATTTCAGTTTGGAGTATGATTCCTCCTAATTTGAACTCGATGATTCTGTGATCTGATAGGGAAGGTTCCGTTGAAACCCTCCAATCTTTCACGTAACTAGTTACACTAGCACTCCCGATTGTTAAATTTAATACTTCCGCCCGCGTTTTTGTCACAAACGTGGGGGTGTTCCCTATATTGAGAACTTCAACATTGTATGCTAAGAGGAATTCTAGTAAACACTCACCTCTAGTGTTAGTATTAGTGCTTCCCCATACCTCATTGTGCGTATTGGAGTCACATCCCAATAGCAGAGGTAGTCGCCGTTGGCTGCAGAATCGCACGAGCTCCTCTATTTCCGGAGGCGGTGTCTGCCCATCACCCGGAAAGTATGCAGAGGCAATCACGATATTTTTGCACAACCCTCGATATTAAGTTGAACCATGATTGGAACAAGATCCCGGGTTGTAAATTCTGAAACACATGTGTAGTTAATGTTGTTTCTTATAAGAATACAGGCTCGGGGAAGTTCCTGCCTGTTATCATATATTACACTGGAATTTTTTCCAGACAACCCTTTAATTTGTCCCTGGTACACCCAGGGTTCCTGGGCTAGTACCATTACATATTGGTTTTTCTCAAAGAGTCTTGTGATTGTGGCAGAAGACCCTTTTGCATGGTGCAGGTTTATTTGGGATATCCCATGCATCAGGTTTCTGGGGTAGGTAAGGGTCCCCCTGTTGTAGGGAGGACAGGGTATTTCCCATCCCCCCCTGGCAACAGATGTTCCTCCTCCGTGGAGTGGTCATCAACCTCCTCCGAGGATATACACCCTTTCACGGCTGGAGTTACGCCAACCGTGTCCTTCACAGTCGAGGAGCTTGTCTCCGGCTGAGGTACTTGTGAGTTGGAGGCTGGAGTATTTGTCTCCATTTTCTCCCCCTCTTTAGCTTGTTCTTTTCTTGGACCTGATACCGGTACCGTCCCGAATCTATAATAGAGGTTATATCCTTCTTTCTCTATTGCCTCCTTGGATTTGAGGTCAATTCCTATTGTGAGGACCTGACCATGGCCCTCCTCCTTCGAGTTGAGGACTCGCCAGCTCGATGTACTCACATTCTCGTTCTGAGCTTGGATAAGGTCTAGCAGGTAGGCGGTGTCTTTCCCCTTGCTTCTTGGCAGAAAGACCGTGATGGTTGTCCCTTTAGGGATGTTTTCTCCCCTCATTGCAACCAGTCCCGGCCCCTGCCAATTTTTAAGCTTAGGTGCCGTTTCCACCAACCAATCCGCCGATTTTTCAGATGCACAATCTATGAGGATCATGCCCACCCTAAAGTGTATCCCCGCAAAGCGCAGCTGACCCACACTTTGTGGATCGTTGCGTCGCAATCCGCTCGCTACTACTTCGTCCAGTATCGCCTCTTCTAGAGCCGTTTGCTGCTCGGTAGTCAGTACAACCTCAGGATATTCCTTTGGAAGCACCGCAATTTTCACTTGTCCAGCAATAGCGGCATAGCTAGTGATACGTCCCTGCTTGCCTCTCGGTGTGGGACGGCTTTCCATCCTGGCTTTTTTCTCTCCTTGACGGAGCAAAGGGGAGAGGTTTTCGCTCCCTCTCTTGCCCTTTGGTGGAGATGCGCCAGGTTGTTTCTTGGTTCCTTTTTCAAGGAGAGTTTTGGCTTTTGCTTCCTCCGGAGCAAGTCCTTCGTGGAGCAGCCGGAGGTATCTCCGTACTTGTGCTCCGCTAAGACCTACTCTCAGCGGATCGTCTAACCCGCCTGGTTGACCCAAGCCTGGTAGACGGAACGGTAACTGGTGTCGCTTGTTAGGTCTAGAGGTGGACTCCCGAACCTTACTAGAAGAGGTGATAGCTTGTGTACCACTTGTGGAGGCTGGCCTCGCACAAGTGTCAGCCGCCCCTCCTGTAGTTCCCTTTGGGATTGGTCCCTTGGAACTTTCGTTCATAATGTTCCCAGTGTTACTAGGGGGTTTCCCCACAGCTTCACCGGTGGTGTTTTTATGATAGTTTGATCTCATAGTGTTCCCACGAGTCGCTAGGGATAGTCAGTCCACTTCTACAGAGCCCCGCATGTAGAAGTAAGGGGTAAATACAATGGGGTGCCCCCTGATGCCCCAGGTTGAGACCAGTAATGGCTAGTCCTCTATCTAGCCACGCATCCCTTTGACCTGGCCCCGCCATCGTAGGATTTAGGTTTTTGGTGAGGTTGTCTCCTCTTGGTCCAGGCGGTTAAGCCAAGACCCCCCACACCCTCTACCCGCGAGACTTGACCACAGACAGTAGAAGGTGCCTGGTTTAAATGTCTTGGTGCAATTCCCTGGCCACTACAGCCAGAGACAAGACAATGAGTGAGATGCTTCTTGGACCGAGCCAAAGTGCTAGAAGAGATTCCGCCAGCACCTGACAAGGAGCTTCCCCACCAACGACAAGGTCTTGCATCTCCTAGGGGAAGCTCTCCTAGGGGAAGTTCCAGTGATAACCCATATGCATGTCCCTGATGAATATGGCGACACTTTTTTAGCATCAAAATATGTCGCATTTATAGTAACTTTTACTCTCAAAATTTCATTGGAATCGCTAAAATTTCTTGGAAGAAAATTAAAATAAATCGAATAAAATTAAGACTTTAACACCCTGTAGCAACAAAACAATCCAGAATCGGACTTACGTTGATATGAAAAATAAATCTTATTTTTACGTGAGGAATCTCCCCATGAGAGATGGTACATGCCTTTTAAAACAGCCTGTATATGTATTTTATTTGTGAAAATAAAAGAAAGTAATAATACTTTTGAATAGAAAATATTTTCCGATATAATTACGGAAAATGCCCAAACGCTCAGAAATTATCAAAAGCTTTGGATCGCGTCCGTTGTAAGAACAGCGCCAAACAGTATTTACGTTGTCCTTATGGGCAGTTTCCAATCTAAACTTGTCTCTAGACGGTCTTTTAACTGACAGGTAAAACGTTGTCTAGATGGTACTTTAGACTTGTAAACGTATTTGTACAACTATTTTAGAAATAAATTTTTAATATTTACATAGTTACTTTTATAATCAACACTTACCTATCTTCTAGATAATTATCTATAGCAGAATTAATACTTTCCACCCATTTTAGTGTCTCGCATAACTGATCATGATACAAGATCAGATCCTCATCTTGACAGACTATTTTTAAACAACCTTTGTCTAAAATCTACAAATTTTAACATTACTATATGAAGACCACAGAGGAAAAACGATCAAGTCACATTTAAAGTATTGTATGCGATCGTCCAAGTATCGAAGATCGATCCAGTCAGAATAATTGTCAGTTAGATAACACAATATGATGAAAAGAAGCGTCAGCGATGGCTATGAAATTATGTAAAGTATATGGGGAATGTCATCCATCGATCGTCATTTCCAAGCCAACTGAAGGCCTTTTTTTCGATATATTTGTTGTCCAAATATAGAAAGAGACTTAGGGATAGCACCGGTCGCGTGTTATTTTATATTTCTCACGTCTCTAGCTATACTTGTTAAGTTGTACGTGCTCTTTGGAAAAACATCCACACTGTTGTATGAAATACCTATCTAGAATAAGTCCAAGCGCTGTTTGTACTCGGTAGAAAATATGGCTTGAAATGATGTTGCCAATAATAATTTTGAATTCTCCTCCAAACCCCAGTTGAATGTTACAACCCCATTTTTAATGTTTTTTATGTCCGGTCAGCGCGAGGAATAGTTTAGGTATATCTTCAATTTTCCCAATTTTTTCGGTTTTCTGTAAAAAGGCTGTGACTCTTTCAAATTCATTTTTACAGGTGATTAAGTCCAACAATTTCAGGATCGACCTTTCTTATTGATATACTTCAATATGTAGTTTTAACAAAATCAGGAAATAATACAATTACATAGTACAAATCTCAATATGAAGTTGTTAATAGACTGTACTTAAACTGCCGTTAAACGGTAACTTACTAAAATGCCGTTAATAGGTATGACGTCGTTGATGTGACGCACTTGACGGCTTTATGAAATATAGGAATTTTATAAGGACTAACCAACGCTACCCACCCCACCAAATAACCAACTTAACCAACGCAACTAACCTCGACACTGATAAAAAATATAAAAAACAAATATAAATTAGTAAAAATCAACCAACCCCACCAAATAACCAACTAACCAATGAATTAACACCCTCCAAATAACCACGCTAACCAACCCGCCAAATAACTAAACCAATCCAACCAAAGAGTGAAACCAATGCAATAAGATCACGCTAAAAAAATATATAAAAAAGTTTTGGTCGGCGTGAGATTTGAACCTCGGACCATCCGCTTACGAAGCAATCAATTTCAATTTCAAACAATCTTTATTAATTACCAGTTTTTAGTTACATTGCAGCGCTTTTCCAATAATATTGTCGCATGGTGGCAAGCAACTCTATGGCTACATGGCCGTTAGTTGTCACAGTAAACAATTATTTCTCTAAATAATTGCGGTTTTTCTTATCCTAATTTATAAGCTTATACAATGTGAAAAGAAAAGATATTTGAAACGAGGTCCGTCAGCGGTCGACTTTCATGTTTATTTTGTTTTTATTGTTGCTTTCGCTTAACTTGATAGAACCACAGATTAGGTATCCTATAAGTATACAGATAAAAATCTTGTCCCTAATTCGTGGTACGAAAATTGTTTTTTATGACGATGTGCAAACGAGTCAAATTTCCTGTGCGCAAAAATAAACTCGCGTAAAATAACAATAACCAGCGTAATAGAGAGATATCGCTAAACCGAATAGCGTGCATGGACGTTAATAAGGCCAGGTGTTATTTCCTTTACGTGAGGTGGTATTAACTCTCTTCATTTATAGCTTAGATTTATAGTTATCGGATCGGAAAGAATTCTGATCGCGTCGCTTCCGCTATTTAAACTTAACCTAACTTTGAATTTAAAACTTTGAAATTGTTTTGTTTACTAGGTATTTTAAAACTAAAGGGCTAAGTGCTTATTTCCAGTGCTTTATTGTTCAACGTCTGCCAATGGGTTTAGGACAACAAGCAACAAATTCTCTTAGAAGGGCTAAGTCGTCATCTGCTGTAAACCTAAGACTCTTTATAGGTTCTTTAGTATTGGAAGAGGTGGAATCCATATTTTGGGCCATATTTATTTAATTAAAACTAATCCCAGCTACTTAAATATCAAATTACCTAATAAAACTAAAGCAATAATTCAAAACAATTCAAACATAACCTAAAATAAAAGATCTCGCCGGCCGGCTCCGGTTGTCAAATACCCGCACATGCCCATTTAAGCAATTTTTAAACGTTATCAGAGGTTATTTAGAAAGAACGCTTGGTGTAATTGATCCGCAAATTACGTCAGGCGGTAAGCAGTAACGTTATTAGCGGGTGTTGCGTTGACTCGCGCATATCGTAACATAATAAGGTACGCGTAAATACTGGATGACGCTATTCGGTTTTCCGATATCTCTCTAATAACTGTGCCGGTCAGGCGCTGTGCACAATTTTAGAGGTCATAAGTGGGCGTGCTATGTGCGCAAACTAGTCACCTAACTAGTGCCCGATTCCGAAAATTGGAACCACGAAAAACAATAAAGAAAAAACAAAGATTATAATCTGTATAATCTGTGATAGAACTTTAACGTTTCTGCTACTTTTTTAAAGATTTTTTATTTGCATTCTCGGGAAAAAATGCGACTTGCTATAAAAAACCCGAGTTTGTATTAAGACTAGAAAAAATGTTATTGCTATTGGATGGCAGTTTTTATTTTGAAGTAATATTTAATTTGATTTGGATTTGATTTATTCATATGGGTATTTATTTACCTATTTTTTTTTGTATATTTTGGTTAAAAATAATGTAGCTCTGATCACGGATTTTTGATGTTTTATATATTATTTTTATGTAATGTTAATATAAATTTTTTTATTATTATTTTGTTTTTGTATTATGGTGGGTCTAAATATATATAAATAAACGTATAAGTTCTAATAAAAAATTTTCGGCTACTTTGGCCATGCTGCTGAGTAAAGCTATTGGTCTGTATGAGGCTACATCATTTGATGGCTTTCCCATTGATGGTTTAAGAAGAGGGATAATTACAGCGCCTTTCCATTGGCGGGGAAAGTGTTGCAACTGTATCACTGAGTTTATTATGCACGTTAATTGTACTACAGCCTTTTTTGGGAGGTTTTTCAGTAATATATTTGCAACACCGTCCTCGCCTGGCGCCTTGTTCTTAGGTAAACATTTTATTGTTTCCGCGACTCTTTTTGGTGTTGCGAGAATCCTACCTAACAATCTGGGTGCAATGAACACTTTATGTCTGGTAAAACTCTCTGCAGCATAATCTACGTGTATTTGGTGTTGTGTAATACTTGGCTCCTCCCTGCATACATTTGAAAAATGCTCAACAAGCAGGTCAGCTTTTTCGTGTGACTTTTGTGGTTCGTTTGCTAAATTTGGGATTTTATTGTATCTGTTTTTAAGCGATTTGGCTAGTTTCCATAAGGAGTTGTTTTGAGTGGAGAGAATTTTTAATTTGTTGGACCAGATTTCGTTTTTATAAGCTGTTATTTTGTCTTCTATTGTTTCTGTGAGAAGATTTAATCTGATTTTGAGGCTACGTATTTTAGTTCTTTGCCATCTTTTGCGTAAATTATTTTTAAATTTGATTATATTTATAATTTCTTCTGGCAGACAGCTTTCTGCGAGTTTTATATGTGTTTGTTTGGCAATTTTATTTCGTGCTTTTTGAATTAGCTTGGCGAGGTTTTCCACCTCTGTTTCCAGCTCTTCGGATGTATTTATAGTGTTTTTGATTACTAGGTTAGTATCTATGTAATTTCGAAATCTGGTCCAATTTGCATTTTTATAAATAAATGTTTTAGGTCCTTTTTCTCTATGGAAAGCGCCACTAATTTTTATTAATATAGGGAGGTGATCTGATGACAGTTCGTTTGCTACTATAGGGTCTTGAATATTCGTAAAGTTTTTATTGATAACTAGGTCTATGTATGACGGGGAGGAGCCATTTGAGGGTAGGTGGGTGGGTTGGTTTGTTGCGAGGATTTGTAGGTTGTTTTCTTCGATATAGTTTTTTAAGAACGTGCCATTTGTATTGTACCCCTGTTATTCCATAGGGGGTGGCGAGCATTTAAGTCTCCTAACAGCAAGACCCTCGCTCCTAGGTCGAAAATACAATCAAAGTCATCGGGGCTTACGCGAAGGTAAGGTCTTGCATAAGCAACATTTTCCATAAATTTTAGGCAGATACATTCTAGCGCTGTGTCAGTGTTTGGTAGGGGAGAGTGGGGTATGCCGTGCTTAACTAAGGCTGCCACCCCACCCCCTCCTCTGACACGGTCTTTTCTATAGGTATGGTAATTTTTAACATAAAATTTGTTGTTTTGATCAAGTTTAGTTTCCGTGATCAGAGCTACGTCAATTTTATTTGTGTATAGAAAATTAATTAGCTCTCCAATTTTGTTTGTGATACCTTTGGCGGTCCATTGAACTATATTTAATGAATTGAATTATATTTTGTAATTATCTAAGTTAGGGATAAATTGCATCAATGCTAATGCCTTCTCATTTGGATGACAAGTCGTAACGACTTTTAAAAAATCGGCAAGAAACCTGTTCAGTTCAGAAAAGTTAACGTGTATTTTAATTTCTTTTAAAAGTGTCGTAAACTGACTTACCTCGTTTAGATTTTCATTCATCCTTATGTTACTATTTACAGGAAGTGAACTAGTGGTGTTTTCACTTGATTGGTGGCTTTTGTTAACTCCCGCACTGTCACTCGCACTGTTCTGTTTCTGTCTCTCTATCCACACGTTGGTTGTAGGGGGTGCAGCTGGCACAAGCCTTGTAGTGGAGGCTGTTGATTGTCCTCTGGTTTGGGTAGCCATGTTTACTCTGTATTTGTAAACTTCGCATTCGGTGTAGGAAGCTCGGTGTTCGCCCCCACAGTTGGCGCATTTTGGGGGTTCGTTTTCCTCTGCAGTGCAATTTGACGTTAAATGGTTGCCCGCGCATTCTTTGCATCTAGGTGCTCTGTAGCAATGAGACGTCGCATGTCCCCAGCGACAGCAACGCCGCACAGTGGTTTCGACAATGGAAAAAAAACAAAAAAGGAGGTTTTAAATCGGGTTTAAATTATCCTATCTTACATCGAGTTAGTTCAAAGACAATATAATAATATTACTTTTTTAATTTAATTACTAGTTTTGAATTTACAACACCTCCTTTTTGACAATTTTCTTAATATACGAAACGCGCAAAAATAAAGCGAAAACAAGTAATATTTTACAGCCCTTCTTTTAATTCCTAAAAATCGGTATTACCCAGGAACTGTTTCGTTTATCCATGGGTATTAAAAGTAAAAATCATTTTGCCAAAATATACCGTGCCTTTGATGCAGTTTAGTTTGAATCTATTTCTAATAAAATTACTTTACTTCTTACTTTAATCAGACTAGAACAAAAAAGTTTTACCGAGCTTTGGTCTCGGATTAACTTGACTAAAAAAAGCAACTGTTAAAGTAGTGTTTCTATAAATTTTATCGCCACATTCGGCCACGTTTGTTAAAAATTTAAAATAAAAGATAAACAGTGTGGAAAAAAATGAAAACTACATTCCTCATTTTTGCGGATGCCGATGAATTCATTTAATATAATTTACTTTTTTTGTCACTTAAAATTATATAAATATCATTATGTTGTATAAGATTTAAATGTTATAAATTATAATAATTTGAACCACAGTGTGTAACTAAACTGAGCATCAATTGAAGCGTAAAGTGCAAATTTTTGCATTAATTTCTTGTATTTTTTAAACTTTTGAAGGAATTTTGAATTTTGAATATAGTTTTATCGACTATCGAACCGTTCTTTGCAATTTTTTTTCAATTATTGGTCAGGACCCATAATACAGGGTAAAACTAAAATGCGCGCATTTTTAACAAAATTTTAAGTGAGCCTCATTTTGTGGAGGGATGAAGGAGATCCATTTTTTGTGGATAGTTTGAAGGAGGTGTTTTATACCTCGGGACGTTTATGAGTTTTTTTGGCTATCGCTCTCCGTTGCGATGTTTTCGATATTCTTATGATTGTCGGTAGAGTTTTAATACTAATAATTTTATCTCATTGTGAAATGAAGATATCGTATTTTTAAGCATTATGCATTTTAATGTACAATTAAGTAAAGCAAACAAATAATTTTATTAAACTAAAAAGTGTTACAGTTATACAGGGCGTTAAAAATTTATCTAGCTGGTATATTTAAATTATATGAACAGGTTTTATTATGTATCTTGGCATAACAAAAGAAGCATTTAACACTTTTTCATTAACGATACAATATAATTACTTAGTATAATCATTAGTTAATACGCATAATACTCAAAAAAACAATATATTAATTTCATAATGAGATAAATTTATTAGAATTAAAACCTTACCGAAAATCATAAAAAAAGTAAAACATCGCAATGGAGAGCGATACCCCAGAAAAACTCAAAAACATCCCGAGGTGTAAAACAGCTCTTTTAAAATACCCACAAATAATAGAAATCCTCCATCCCCCCCACAAAATGGAGGTCACTTAAAATTTTGTAAAAAATATACCCTGTATTATGGGTATTGGCCAATAATTCGATAAAAAAAGCGTTTCAGAATCTGGCTAGCAAATCAAAACGCTTTCAATAGTTCAGAAAATACAAGAAGTTCAACTTGATGCAAAAATGTTCACGTTACGTTTCAATTGGTGCTCAGTTTACTTTTAAATAAATTTATTAAACCATGTTATTTCATGTATTTTATTAAGCTGAATCGAATAAAATCCGTCACAATGCGATTGGGTTAACGGTCTAGGAAATATAGGGTTTTTTCGTTATATTATCAGTTTCACACCACTGTGCGCCGGCATTGCAGAACCTCGGTGCTTTGGCGTCGCCGTTCCCATCTTACACTTACGTGGTTGATGTACTTGATCTGGTTTAGCTGTGCCAGGGTGTGTTTTGCCGCTGTGATAACCAAATACATATATCTGTATTTGGTTTGCATGGTGTGGACCTTCTTGATGTCTAGTCCGAGCTGCCTAAGTTCGTCTTCCACTTCTTCAGGATCTGGCTCATCGTCCAGGCCCTTCAAAACGAATGCATGGGATTTATCCTCTTGTGGCGCATATGTATGCCACTCAAGTTCGGTTTTAAGTTGTAGTGCTCTCTTACATTCTTTATATTATAAGTCGTTTGCGTTAACCACAGTATTATTCTTAGGAAACTTAACACTGTAGCCGGTTGGTAGCAGATGATTTAGTCAAAAAAAAATATAAAAAAGTTTTGGTCGGCGTGAGATTTGAACCTCGGACCATCCGCTTACGAAGCGATAGCCTCAGCCACTGACCCACAGGTGCTCTTGCAGAATGCTTAAGGCTAGGCATTACTTTCCGCCGACATGAACGACGTCACAATATCTATTAACGGCATTTTAGTAGGCTACCGTTTAACGGCTGTTTAAGTACATCCTTGTTAATATCGGAGTTCCGCAAGGCTCCATTTTGGGACCGACTTTATTTTTAGTTTATGTTGCTAATATAAATTCTGTTAATACACAATGCACACATTACTATGTATGCTGATAACACTACATTCATTAAATCAGACTTTTTCAGTGCTGCTGTAGAACGAAAGTGCAACGATGTCTTGTCACAATTGTATAACTGGTTTGCTCAGAATGCTCAGAATTGCACGGGTTTCTTAATGCGGATTTTAATGCGTTTTACGACCGTATTCACAAGATTTCATAATCATCAGGAATGCAATAGTTTTTGATTAACTGTAAATAAAATAAAACTTCAAATTATTTTTTCAGGAAATATTAATTTTGTGCCTTGGATCGTTTTCCCCCTTCCCCCTGTAGTCTTCATATGCAGTGGCGGATACAGAGTGGGGGGGGGGGGCGTGGGCCCGCCCCCTTTAAATCTATGAATTGGGTTGAATATTAGGCTTTTGGATTAAAAATGGTGTCCTAAAAAGCATATTCTACAATACTTTTTATTTGGGCCCCATTAAAATAAATTCCTGTATCCGCCCGTGTTCATATGCAATTTTGTTTAACGTATTTAAATCATTCTACTTACTTCAATAACTTTTGATTTATTCAAAGGAAATATGAATGAAACTTTTAAAGAATTTATTTCAGGGGCAGGTTTCTTCATTTTATTGAACATTATTATATCGTTCATAAGTACGACATATAACTTTTCGCTTGGCGAATTTCGTGTAGACATTTTATTTAGAATACCTTCTTTTTTAAGTTTTCTACCTGAAAAGTTCAATCAATTACTTATTATTCCAAAATTATTTATGAACTAGTAAAAAATACTTTATTAGAGGAAAGTAACCAAATACGGAATACCATTTAGTTTTTATGTTATAGAACAAGGGTTATAGGAATAGTAAATCAAAAATTCATGGGTGAAATGTGATAAACTCCATTTTAGAGAAGAGCAGAAAAACGGTACAAAAAAATACGTACACATGTAGCAAGTATATTCATGCGTTAATGTGATAAAAGAGATAACACTACTATTTGTTGAGGAACAATAAAAGTCAATATTTCGTGAAAATTTTAATGTAAAAATGATGTATTAAACGTATTATCTAATTAACGTCAAAACAGAATTGTTATTCTTAGTTATTATCAGACATACAGTTGCACACAACTTAATAACGGTTTTCTGTTACATATGGGGTGGTCAGTATTAAAATGGATCGAGTCCAATATCCTACTATTTTAAGCATTCTAGTGTAAGGTCTTTATACGTTTATAAAATATTGTCATCATCATTCTCAGCTTATTCAACCATTTCCAATTATTAGCCTCCCTTACATATTTAAATACTCTCTTTGTAGTTGGGCCCATTGTTGTCCATTGTTGGCTATGCGGGACCAAGTTATCCCTGCTAACTTCCTAATATCATGGTCTCATCTCAGGTTTAGTCTTCCTCTAGGTCTCTTAATTCCTCATGAGTACCATGCCGTCATTTTTGTGGTCCATCTGTTCTCCGTTCTTCTTGCCAGGTGTCCTGCCCATTGCAATTTGAGGGATTTTACTCTGTGGATAACATCTATTACCTGGAGAAGTCTTTCGTCATATCCACTCTATTCTAGACTTGAACATGATAGAGTTTCTTCCATAAGTACGCTACGCTAACGTTGTGTATTAGTTGTCCCAAATTCTTGTACTATTTCCAGTGTTGTGTTTTGTATTAGAATGTTCTTTCTTTCCACTAGTTCGTTGTACATTACTTTAATTTAGTTTTTGCTGGATTCATTTTGAGACCCACTTTATTGCTGGCTGTATTTAGTTCATTAATTTGTGTTTGCAATTGGGACTATGTCATCAGCGAATCTTAAATGGTTTTAAGATATTCTTCATCTATTTTTAATCCTTTGTCGGTCCAGTCCAGTGAGATTGTTTGTCATAATATAAAATATTATTGCATCACATATGTATCAAGAAATACTTACTTTCTGAGTATCTTAAAAACTTCTCATATCGCTAACACTCTCACCTTGACAAAGCTCGTTTAAATGACAAGGCAAAACCTGCACATGATGGAAAGAGATTAAAAATCTCTGTCTTTTGCGACAAGCCGTATACATTTTCGAGAAATGGTATTCCATATTAGGGATACTATTCAATATTTGGTGACTTTCCTCTATAGGTAATATTCATAGACTTAAAATAAAATATAGACTACACTATTTACATCTCAACGCGGACAAACAATATTTTTTGTACACATGTTTACTTCTGGGTACAGTCGACCGAGCCTTCCTCATCCAGCCTATGTTGTCACGTCTTTAATATTATCAATATTTTTTTTCTTGTTATACACATATATTGAGATGATAATACTACAGTTTAATAAAGTAGGTTTTAATATTCCATAGATGTATTAAATAGTCCTTATACTACTAAATTATAAGTCGGATACTGTTTAAAAAGGATAAGTTTTTACAATATGACAACACCGATTAGAGGCGAGGGAGCCTATTCATTCATTTATTACCTTGTAGTACGTGTCGCACGTGTGCGGTAAAGCTTTGTTGCCGCTATCTCCCCGGCTGTATTAACGCATTTTCTTAGCTTGTAGTCCTTAAGTGTTTATTTTATTGACTTTTTCTGTTCAAGAACTATAAAATATGGTTTGCCAGTGCCAAATTTGCAAGAAATTTGACTTAAATAATCCATTTAAGTCTTGAAACGACTTTTGACCGGTAGGCAACTCTCAATTTACCCATTGGGAGTCAGTGGCGTTGTTGTAGAAAGGCGCTTATTTAGATAATATTTTAGTAAAATGTAAAATCTGAATTTTTTCTCTTACATTACATTATTTACTTACTTAAATTGTAACAAAATCATAATTATAACCCTGTTAATAATTAATAATGTTTTTTATTAAAAATATATTCCGGTTTATTCAAAAATTATCTTCAGAATCTAAAATAACATACAAGAATTTTAAAATGATATTACATTATGAAACAATATTTTTTAATATACCGAGTCGTCTCAAAAGTGGCTCACCCCTATAACTTTTTAACTTTTTCAGATAAAAAAAAAACAGATTTGTATGTTAGTAGGTATATAACATAAATTAGGATTTATTGGACGTATTCAATTGTTTTTGGTCTCTTCCTGTTTCACCGAAATGATTACATCTTTTGATTTTTAAAGGCACCCTCGGTATATTGCTACTTTATTCGATAAAAAATGACACTCTGAATAGAATGACATATCATATGTCAACTTTTGACATTGTCGCTTAAAAACAAATCCTATTTAAATTTCAATCCAGGGTGCCATGGTGTTGTTAAAAACACTAAGTTTTAATCAAGGAGCCTTGGAAAAATAGTTTTGATCGTCTAATAGGTTTCGTGTCTTGTCTAGGCCGGTTAAAAGATGTACATAGCGTATTTTTAATCATACATATGTCAATTTTTTCAAGTGGAACAAGGGTGACTCGTTAGCATATTTGAAAAAGCATTTTTTATGAATATATTGATACCACACACTTGGTATTTCGAGTCAAATTGTCGTTATGAACCGCGTGTTACAATTACAATTAAACCATATGCGAAAATGTCAAAAGTTGACATATCATATGTCATTCTATTCAGAGTGTCATTTTCTATCGAATAAAGTAGAAATATACCAAGGGTGCCGTTTAAAAATTAAAAGTTATAGTCATTTCCGAAGAAACAGGAAGTGACCAAAAACAATTGAATGCGTCAATCAATCCTAATTTATGTCATATACTAACATACTAAATCTTAGTTTTTTATTTGGAAATATAAAAAAAATTATGGGGATGAGCCACTTTTGGGACGCACCCGGTATAATAAAGACAGTACCGAGCTAAATAAATATAGTTTTCATTTTATCCACTTCCTATCACCTTCCTTGCTTTAATGGATTGGATTTATGTTTTCTCTAATTTACATAAGACATAACTTAACCAGAAAAAAAATTACAATAATCATATATTATTTTTTTCTCTCCCTGTCGCCGATTCTATTATATCTGTGGAATAGATCCTGTTTTGATTAATATTAGGGGTTGTAAATGTTTGATTAAAATTAATAATTTATTATTAATTTCAAAAATTACGTAATTTCGATTATAAAATTTCTTCTATAACGTGTATTTTATTATTTTTTATCTTTTTGGACTCTAAATTGTTTTTCTAAACTTTTATTTAAAAAACCTGTCCTAAATCTTAATAAAATATAAAAAGTTTAAATACGATATATTTTTAATTTAATTATAGCTTCATTAAAATAAAAAAATTACCCGGCTATGATACGGAGAGTTCAGGTGTACTTGAGAAACGAAAGACAGTGTTGTGTTTCTCGGCAGAGTCGTCAGGGAACGACCGTTACGACAGAGACAACCTATCTATCGCTCGTGTCGCACTCGTTATAACCTAAAACAATAACACAACAATAACAAGACAGTGTCTGACCGCATGTTCCAGCTATTTATGAATGAGATGCTCAGTCTATATTTTATTTAAAGTCTATGGTAATATTACATTTGCTACAATTTTGTGACTTTATATTGTTATCGGTTATCGGTTATATAAAAACTATAGAGAAATTAATAAAAGTTGGGGTGCACGTTAATAAAGCCTAAATTAAAGATAAATAAAAATTCGTTTGAAACTTCTTCCTTTTTCTTATAGTCTTATATGCGGTTAAAACCCCATCATCAAGTAAACGATTTGGCTGATAAATAATACTATGTTGGCAGTCTTGTAAATGTTGCCTCTTATGAGATTTTTTTTGCAAGTATTTTGTCATTTTCGGTTTTATTCTCAGTTTTCTTTATAGACTGATGTCATATATTAGAGTTTTATTTGACAAATTTGAATTAAATCTATGTGTTCTTTAGTTAATACTTCGATTTTCATTGCAATAACGTGTCAAAACCACTAAAGAGTCCGAATTGGCAACTTGTCTTCTCTCTAAAAAAGATCTTCTGTCTTGTCTCTGTAAACTATTTTGAACAGGAAAGAGACACATCAAGGCCCCTTTTGCCATTAAACAGTGCTGCGCACGGCCACACAGAAGGCGATTTTGCGTTGTAAGCGTTAAAGAGTTTTTTGCGATTGCCGAGCCGGACCCTGTATAATCCTGTTATTTTGTTTTAATCGCAAAAATTTTACAATCTTTAGCTCCCAGAACAAAAAATTGTAAATTTTATTTAAGTGTAAAATACGAGAGAAAAATCATTGGTGGCTTTGATAAAAATTTACTGTGGAAAATGCCATATGAAATACAAAACCAGGAATATCTGCGAAACTGTTAAAAATTTTGAAATACCCTAAATACAAACAATGTTCATTATTTAATTCTCCATCTATCGAAAAGATAATATACAGGGTGTTCCATTAAAAAACCCAAGAAAAATTATTTTATATTTTAGAAAGTTTGGCGTAGAATTTTGAACATCCTGTATGATTTACGATTACCATATTTATAGCAAAGTAAGTACAGACCATCTAAAGTACCTAATATAGTTTTGATTTCAGGACAGTTAAATAAAAACACTAAATCACCACAATACACCAAAACACTTTTATTTTACCCTGGACGCGCGTTTCGCTGACCATGTTAGCATTATCAGCAGATGATTATAAACAGTTCTTGTATTTTTAATATTTTTTAAGAAAGGCTGAAAAATATATATATATTTTTTATTTATTTATTAATATCTCTGAAACTATCAAAATATATTTATCCTTAGAATTATGTAAAGTGATCTGAAAGGAAGCCAAAAATGCAATAATGCACAGGGTGTTCCATTAAAAAAAAACGATGTACTTAAACAGCCGTTAAACGGTAGCCTACTAAAATGCCGTTAATAGATATTGTGACGTCGTTCATGTCGGCGGAAAGTAATGCCTAGCTATAAGCTTCATGCAAGAGCACCTGTGGCTCCGTGGCAGAGGTTATCGGTTCGTGAGCGAATGGTCCGTGGTTCAAATCTCACGCCCACCAAGACTTTTTTATATTTTTTTTGCTTATAACGTGATCTTATTGCATTGGTTTCACTCTTTTTGGTTGGATTGGTTTAGTTATTTGGCGGGTTGGTTAGCGTGGTTATTTGGAGGGTGTTAATTCATTGGTTAGTTGATTATTTGGTGGGGTTGGTTGGTTTTTACTAATTTATATTTGTTTTTTATATTTTTTTATCAGTGTCGAGGTTAGTTGCGTTGGTTAAGTTGGTTATTTGGTGGGGTGGATAGCGTTGGTTAGTCCTTATAAAATTCCTATATTTCATAAAGCCGTCAAGTGCGTCACATCAACGACGTCATACCTATTAACGGCATTTTAGTAAGCTACCGTTTAACGGCAGTTTAAGTACAGCCTAAAAAAAAATAATTTCGAATCATTCACACTTTTTTGAGCCACCCTATAGTAGTTAAAATATTTTCCTGAAATACATCCTAGTACCGGGTGGCCAACTAAGAATGGACGCCGGCTGTATCTCAGAAACTACTTATCGTATAACTTTGGGAAAACAATTCTAATAAGTAAATCGATCAAGGGAAATCATTTTCAAGTTCGAAAAATGTCTGCTAGGGGGCGTTTCTCTGATATCCAATCAGAAAACATGGTTTTTCTCAAAAATATGCAGGTGAACAGGTATTTTAAATATTAGTATTGTAATCATCGAGAAATTTGTATTTTTTTTGTTATAGAGTATTTTGCTTTATCTCATAAAATAAAGTGGTGGGGGAAGGTTAAACTTGCTTTTAATAAAATAAGGATAACTCTGGTTTAGGTTAGCCGATGTAAACAAACTAGGGCTCGTTTAAAAGAGATTTCCTTCCCTAATGATCTGCAGTATAAATTTTGTTTCCATATTTTTTTCGTGGTCGTTAGAGGGCGCTGTTTGACATCATAACAGATATTGCGCTTTTGCATAAAAACATTTAAATAGGATGCTATATTTTTCTTTACACAGTTAAATAGAGCACAAAATTTTTAAAATATTAGCGCAAACTGCAACTTTCTATCTTTTCTCTAACGGGGGATATTAAGTAAATAAATTATATTAGGCTGTCGCCTAGTATTATAAGTCTAAAAAGTATAGTAGTCTAGTCTAAAAATTATAGTAGTAGGCTAGGAAACAAAAAGAGGTAAATTGGTTACATCAAAATATCAAAACATATATTTTAGTTTCATTTTAATACCATTTACTTGTTATTTATCCATTTTCGTTCTTGATTCGACCCCATAAATTAAAACCCAGGCATATTGAATCCGATGACTTAGCTGGTCATGGAAATATACCGCTCCAGCGTCTCTATCTACTAAAATAAGTGGTATCCAAGAAGTCCCACAGATTCATATCAAAATAAGCGGCACAACTGCACCAACTGCATCAACTACACCAACTACATTCATGCTGATGAAATTGGAACAAATGCAATTTCATCATGATGGATCCCCTAACAAAGTTGGCAATTTATCTCTTAGAAATTATGGATAGTTCATTTCATTCAGATAATTAAAAAAGTCCAATCATTCGCCATCCTAGAATTCCTCCCCAAACATTTACCGACCAACAGTCTTGGTGCTGAACTACTTTGCTTCAAGGGTAGATTTGGACCAGTAGTGCATATTAAGATTCGCACCTGTGCTATATGAAAAGTGACCCAAACGACATAAACTTTATAATATAATAATATATAACACAAACAACACATAAAACACGAAAACAAGTGAAATCAAGGACGAACATGGATTAATAACTAAATGACCTTACATGAAATAAACCCCTAGTTTTCGGCCATATGAAATTCGGCCGTTTTCCGTTAAAAACAATATGGCGGCACATAACTCCTAGAAATTTTAGAAAATTATTGATTGTCCGAGTTTCGGACATTTTAATCTGAGAACTACCTACGTATAATTAACTAAGAAATTCGTAAAAATTATATGGATGGACGATAATGTTACATAAACACGTTTAAAAATTTATGACGTCATTTTTTTTAAAACGCCCGAAATTCGGATGTGTGAAAACTGAACTTAATCTTTTTGATATTTTGACCAACAACCAATTTACCTCTTTTTGTGTTTCCTAGCCTACTACTCTAATTTTTAGACCTTATAATACTAGCCATAATAGCTTATAATACTATTATATAGTAATATATGATTTATTTTCTTGATATCTCCCGTTAGAGAGAAGATAGAAAGTTGCGGTTTGCGCTAATATTTTGGAAATTTTGTGCTCTATTTAACGGTGCAAAGAAAAATATAGCCTCCTATTTAATTTTTTTATGCAAAAGCGCAATATCTGTTATGATGTCAAACAGCGCCCTCTAGCTACCACAAAAAAAAATTATGGACACAATATTTATACTGGAGATCATTAAGGAAGGAAAGCTCTTTTAAACGAGCCCTAGTTTGTTTAAATCGGCTAATCTAAACCAGAGTTATCCTTATTTTAATAAAAGCAAGTTTAACCTTCCCCCACCACTTTATTTTATGAGATAGAGTAAAATACTCTATATAAAAAAAAGACAAATTTCTCGATGATTACAATAGTGATATTTAAAATACCTGTTCACCTGCATATTTTTGAGAAAAACCCTGTTTTATGATTGGCTATCAGAGAAACGCTAGAGCTGCTAAGTTCTTAGCGGACATTTTTCGAACTTGAAAATAATTTCCAGCGATTTCTCTTGGTCCATTTACTTATTACAATTTTTTCCCAAAGTTATACGATAAGTAGTTGCTGAGATACAGCCGGCGTCCATCCTTAGTTGGCCACCCGGTACATACTTTATCAGTTTGCACTTAAACATAATTCCCAAGTTTTTTATTCTAGAGCTACAGATACCCGTCCTACTATTGCTGAACCCTGTATAAGAGCATTGACCATAGAGTTAAAAATTAGGCCTGACAAAAAGTGTATAGCAGGTGCATAGCATTTAGCGATTCTAAATATATAAAAAGAAAAGGAAAAAACGCTTCACACGCAAAAACGCAAAAATCGCTTTCTGTGTGGTTGTGGATTTAAAGAGGTAAAAATTGATATTGTTACTTAAGTTTTGAGGCTTTTATTCAAAATAGATTTTTCAACGTGTTTTAGCTGCGCTAAATATCAGTGTACACACACACACACACACACACTGTGAGTAGACTCTTACAAAAATGTAGATTTAAAAAAACGTTTACATATAATTGTGTAGAAAATTAAAGTGAAAAATCAATGATAAAATTAATAAGTCTGAATTTTATTAAACACAATGCATTTGTTAAATATTTCAATAACGTGCACGCTAACTTCTGCTAATTTTCATTTACATGCAGACTTTGATGTAGAGGCAAAACCTTTAAAGCAATTTTGTGACAGATTTAAAAATGATGCAATGTCTTATATTAAGTAAGACAACAATATTATTCTTTGCTGTATTCTTGGCATAAAAATTATAAGAAGTTTCTGAGAACTAATAGTAATTAAAAAAAAGATTTACTTACCAGGCATTATAATGTTTGGTTCGCCACTTCTTAAACATCTCTGTAATTCCAACAATCTCTGAGTATTTTCCTGTTCTTCAACAACTTTATTTATGTGCAATGCAGCATCTTCAATTTTTGAAAGACATTCTGGAAAACAATTTGTATTAAAATACACAAAACTATTTAGTAACATAGTAGTACCCCTTAGAGGTTCATAATCTTGTTCTTGAGGTGATGTCAGTTCATATAAGTGTGTTAAAAGTAACTTATATCGAGGAACCCTCTGAATTGGTGTAATTAGTAAAGCTGATAGTTTATTTTGTACTTCAGGTCTCGATTCTTGATTCTGCACGAACTTGGCAAATAGGGGATTAGCAGCTCTAGCATTCTGTAAAAGTTCATTTTAATACATGTTAATATAAGAAAATGATTTAATTAACTTGTAGTATTCTTATAATATTCCTAAATTCATATGCATAAACAGAATATAGCTTCAAAAATGGGGCAATCTTAAAAAATGCATTTGCCACATTATAGAACCCTTTATCTAATTCGTCAAGTAGTTCTTTATTTATATTATAAATAGTTTTTATGTTTCCAAAAAGAACCTCAAAATCATCAGGTTTCAGAAGCTTCCGTTCTTCTGCAGGTACCATAAAGAAATTTATGATAGTTTCTAATTGTTTGACATATTTTATTTCACTGTTTACTATTTCTAATAAAGCCTTTTCCCTTTTAAACGATCTGGTTTCTTCTTCACTTCTAGACTTCATCTCGTCCAGGGCCTCGAAAACTCGCTTTCTGGTTTTCGAAGTTAACATATTCCTTTCGTTTATCACTTTTTTCAGCTCTAAACTCAGTTCTATACTAGCTTTTGGCGTATGAGGTTCGTAGTTGGTAAACTTATTTTTGAGCGTTTCCAGTTTCATTTTCGAAATAACCTTCATCTTTTTCACATCTTTAGGAGTGAGATTAGGTATATTTACTACTAACTGAGGGCCATTCTCTTTCTCTGAGTTACTTGTTTCCTTCTCTTCTAACGGCTTTGTTTGTTTGTTATTTTTATCTTTTAATTCTTCTGGTAGACGTTCAATTACAACCGCCGCCTTTTTAAATAGTTTTTTATCCATCGCCTTAATTTCAAACCGAAAAAAGAAATACACAAGTAAATTAAATAAACTGGAATTATAAAATAAACCGTTAAAACTTTTTAAACGACTATTATAACCTCAAAACATGTTCAGCATATGTATTTTTGGTTGTCTGATTATGTCAATAAAATGAAGGTTTTCTGATTTACTAGTTGCCTACCATGTAAACTCTGTTTGTTTTTTGAAAATAATTTTAATTTAAATAAAAAAAATCAATCTATCTCAAATTTATCTGCCTGTCCATAGTGTCCGTGTAATTTTTTATACAAAATCTTATCTATTATATATTTGTCCTTCATATTCGAATCTTTTATAACGTATATTTTAAGAATTATTAAGTTTTAGGAAAATAATAAACCAAAAGTTCAAATTAGTACTATATTTATTGTTTTTAACAGAACTCAAATGCAACATTTGGTTTTTAGTATAAACCTTAACCGCTACAATTTTTATTCTAACATATTTATAGATAAATAACTTGAACCATTTCAATCATCATTCTGTTCAAATGGTTCTTATTTTATTTTTGCAGATTATTTACATATAAGATCTGATTACTACTCATATTAAAACATTTATGAATTTTATTTTAAATATAACAAAACATACTTTACAAAATTTTAAAGCCTTCTTATAGAGATATTGCAATATAACTGCAGTAAATATCACATGTACATACATTTTTTAAAATCTAAAAGTACCCAATATGGAGACCTATTTATAAAATATATATGATATAATTCAGACATTGATACTTTTCAAAAATTTACAAACATATATTATTGATAATATTTATATAGAAATTTACATTGGAACTATAGGCCGTCCTGAATACCATTAATATTTACATTTCTAAAACTATTGTCAACAATCAAGATATTTTTTAAGTAATTTGTAATAATTTAAGTCACAATTTTAAAATCCATCACATAGGTACGATGAATGCTATTGTATCATCTGTAAATATCTGTTTTCTTCAAGTAAAGATGTTAATGAAGAAGTCATGTCACCAACAACCATATTAGGATGGTTAGTTTGCTCTGTAGATGCGTTCCAACTTTGACATGACTGAACGTACTCTAAAGTGCGTTGGTAAGTATCTGGTCTCATAGTTGGTGCCTCGTAAGTACTTGGTGCCAAAGTACCTGCTGCTGGTGATGGTAAGGCATTTTGTGTTTGCTGATAATTGTTGTAGTTCCCTTGGTTTTGGGATTGCTGCTTCATATACTGCTGAGCATAAGGGTTGTGTTCCGCGCAGTGCATGTTAGGCGTTTGCTGGTTCATGTAGTTTGAGTTCATGGCCATCGAGTTATTCTGACATTGCTGATTGTACATGTGGTTTTGGTTGTTACAGGCGTTATTATGCTGCATTTGCATGTTGCTGTTTTGGCACCAAGATCCGGACATGTAGCAGTTTGGATGCTGTATTTGTCTGTAACAAAATAAAGAATTTAATATTAGATAAAAGAAATATATGTAAAATAGTAACTTTAATTAAAAAAAACTGACCAATACTGTCCAACAATTCGGGGAAGATTTCGACAAACGACATCGAAAAAATGACTTAGATACAAGGCTTAGATACCTTGACTTAGAGAAAATTATTTTTTTTCGACGAAAATTATTGTTTTTCAGCTATTTTTGATTAAGGTTAAAACTTTCTTTAGATCAATTACTATTCACATTAGTGGCGTATCTAGAGTGCGAGAGGGTTAGTGGCAGTATTTAAGTAAAGTACTAAGTTTAAGTTAAGTAAATTTGCACCACAAGGTATTGTCATCAAGGAAAAAATAACTTGGATTGGCCTGTTATTTTCTGTTTTCAGTGGTATTATTAATTCCTTTTGCAACAATTTTATTTTATACACCATTTTAACATATTTATAAACTTCTTTCTGAGAGGGGTAATTACCCCCATTACCCCTCCCGTATATGCGCCCCTGATAAAAAATGACTAAACTTATAAATTTACACCCTCTGAAAGATGTCAAAACGAAGGTAAAGTCTCTTCACCGACGGAAGGAACAATTCGGAGAGATGATTAAAAAAATTCGCAGAAAAAAACAGTTTATTTTTGAACAAATATTTCAGATAACAATTGTGTCTGTCATTTAACCTATATTGGACACCACTATCCTATTAAATGTAGTTCTACTAAAATATAATACCATAATGATAATTCTCTGTACTTACCCGTTAGTATTAAAACATCCATTATTCTGCCTCTGTTGATGATTTTGGTTCATCATTGACGAACAGTTGGTTTGCTGACAATTTTGTGGCACCATTTGTTGTGCTGTATTATTTTGCATCATTGTATGATTTCCGTGACAATGCTGAGTCATATTATTGGCATGCGAAGGTGACATCAATTGTGGTTGACACCTTGTTGACATTGGAGACGCCACCATTTGATTGTAGTTCGAAGCTGGCGAAGCTATGTTAGCCTGAGCCGGTGACATAGCATTGTACTGGACTTGGTCATTGTAAATGGAGCTTGGTGATGGAATAACCTGTAAACACAAATATTTATTTAGAAAAGTGTATCGTTAATTGAATGACAAGTCATTACCTGATAGTTCGAATTTGGAGACGGTAAAATTTGATTAGGATTGGGTGACATCATGTGCTCCAAGTTACTTGCTGGGCTTGGCATCATATTGCTGGATGGTGATAAAATTTGGTTAGGATTGGGTGACAACATGTGCTCCAAATTACTTGCTGGACTTGGCATCATGTTGCTGGCTGGTGATAAAATCATTTGAGGTCCAGGAGATGGCATGAGTTGATAAGCTGAAAAAGGAAATCAAATTTTAAAGATACATACTGATATACTAAAACAATAAAGATTGTCATTAAATTTATAAATGTGTAATAAATAAATACCAATAATTTGACTTACCTGGTGGAGACATTATTTGATTACTCCTGGGTGACATGGTTACTTGATTTGAAGGCCCCATCATCTGATTTACTTGATTATTTGCTGGTGACAACGGTTTAAAACTGCTCGGCGATGGAACCATAGTATTCGTCGGACTTTGAAGCGGCTGTGTTGTGGTTTCAGACCAATTGGAACCCTAAATTAAACAGACCATCAATAAATATACTCAACGAAACCATTTGGTGTTCTGAACATACCTGCTGGGCATCTGCTACTTGATTCAGATACATCAAAACCTCATCAGGCAGAACCAGTTTGTTTTCTACCATCTCGCCTTCACCAACTTCATCTAACTGAACAGCCTGGTTGGGATGCAACTCAGTCGAACTGTGAACCTTCCTTAAAGGACTTAAACTCACTGAAGAAGGTCTTGGAGGTGGACTTCGGGGATCAAGGCCTGGACGTGATGGTTCAGAAGCTCTACGTGCTTCTGAGCTTGTGGTCGACGTCCAGAGGAAGTTCTGAGTATGGGCTGCTGCTTGTTGTAAGTTTGTAGATTGCGTCTATTAAAGAAATATAAATACTTTTATTACATTCTGTTTAGCGAAATATATATGACTTCGATGGATAACTTAACATTAAAAAAAATGATAAAAACCATCAAACTTTGAGTTAAAAAATAGGAAACCTCTGTTGTATATTTAAAAATTGTCTGATAAATATGATGTAATGGTATGGAAAAGAGAGGGAAATAATTTAACGCATCATTTTCCTATTATTCATATTTAAGAGATATTTAAAGGAGATACAAACAAAACTTTCATCTATTATCTACTATTTTCTTTTTTTAGCTATATATTTAATGTCGACATTTACAGTAATCTAAAACTATATTGTTTAAAACTTTCTAACATAAGTTTCTTAAATTTCAGTACATCTATGGTAATTCTTGCTTTAGAATGCTTTTATAAATTATCTGAGTTATGTTCAAGGGAGATATTTATTTTATTAATAAAGTTACTATAAATAATTATTTTTGTGAGTCGATTGTGTGGCGTTTTATAATGTTAATTTTAAAGAAAACCTCTTTCCTAAGAAGGAACATTCATACTTTATACAATTATATTTAAATTTGAAAATTGTTTTGGAAGATTTTTATAAACATTTAGCATAGTAGAAAATAAAAAGTTGTGTATCATGTACAACCAAATTATGACATTAAAAAATTTCTTTGGCTTCTTTTTACTAACCTTGTATTGTAAACAATAAATATGAAATAGGTGTATAATATCTTGCCAAGTTTTTCTTATATATGTTTTAACTGAACACAGGTTATATATATATGAAGCCAAGAAATAGGAGTTAAAAGAAATTGTTGACATTAATGGTTTCTTAATAAGTTAGTGACTGCATAGTAAAGATCTACAATTTTATGTTATAAAATAAGCTACATATTTCACTATAAGATGCGTTAGAATATACGATTAATTCAGTGGCTACCAGACAACTTTTTTGGTTTCTAACATTGATTATTATAAATCATTTATTTACCTGTAAAATTAAGTTGCTTGAATTGACATGGTTACTACCCTGCAACCGTTGAAGCTGACCTGCCAGTAAGTGTGACGGCGGTGGAGGAGGTAAACACTGACCTCCAGTGGTAGCTGTGGAAAGCTGACTTGACCTCCTTGAACTACCAGCTGATATTGGATCGTAAAATGACCCAGGGCCTGGACCAGGCTTCATACTTGACACCTACAAAAAATTATTTATATTACAAAAAATTATTATATTTATTATTTTTAAAGTTATATAACATTTAAAATAATGTCATAATGCCAACCAATAATTTTTTTTTCTTTACAGATGGATTCAAAGAAATAATAGGTATAAAACTATTTGGGAGTAAGTAACCTACCTGAGAAGCAAGGCTGCTCTTCCTGCTCATATCGGCGCTTCTCATGCTGCCATAGTACGAACTGACAGTAGAGTTGCTATCTCGCCGAATTTGAGCTTGTTGCTGTTGAGAAACTGGAGGTTGAAGCCGTTGTTGAAGCTCGGTGAGTTGAGATTTAGGTTGCGGTTGCGTGGTAGCGTCCATCTTTAGGTTCGTTATTCTCGTGTTTAATTCTGCTATCTTACGTTGAGCCAACGCCGGCGCCCTTGGTCTACCAACTAAAAAAGAAAATTATTAATATTTAGTAACATTCATGGGATACGGGACACAAAATAAATTAAGGCAAGTTTAAAACCATTAAAAGTATAATAAAAGCGTCTGACAGGTGCAACAAGAGAACTTAAAGAGCCATTTATATTTCAACAAAATAGAGATAAACGAATTAGTCTGGGGGATGGCCTACATATGAGTGAAATTGTTGAAATAATTTTGAAACTTTCTGTGTTACCCTAGATAACTGTATTTCTCTAACAATGAGATAAAAATTACCTCAAAATATCTATCGCAACACCAATAAACAAATATAATTACCTGGTTTTCGAAGTCTAGGTGGTCCAACACCGGTAGGGGCTGCTCCTCCACCTACCAATGCTCGAAGAACTACAGGAAGTTCATCCAGTTCGAGATCTTCTGCCTCTGCAGTCCAGTCTTCCAGCGTGTCTGTTACTCCAGGAGTTGTGAGACGCTGAAAATTATCACTAGATCAGTCAAAAATCCACATAAAATAAAATGAAAGAAAAGTAAAAATAAAATTAGATGAAATTTTTGAGGTGGTTATCGGCCTGATCCACCTTTTCAAATCTGTGGTGTCCCTCTTCTGATCCTTATATGTTACATTCTCCAGATCTATCCCCTTCAAGAAGTTCTTGAATCCTTTCAATATATAATACCTCTTTGTTAGCGGTCTATCATTGCCTAAAACAGAGAACCACATATTTGTCAGGTTGCCGCACTGACAGTTTCTTCATCAAATTGACAAAATCAGTACATGGCTTCGTCTGTCAGTCCCATCAGATTAAAATAGCTTACAATGCCCTGTTACTAGACCCACTACAGCTTTGAAGTCCTTCTGTCTTATCAAGTCTGCCTAAAATTTTGGCAAATAGAGATTTGTTGGCACCTATTGTTTGGTGACTCTTATGACTGTTTTTGCAGCGCCGCAGAAGGGGTCTGGGACTATGAATGGCATTGATGAGCCTTGTTTGGCCATTTCAAAAGTAAGAGTAAATATCCCGCATTAAAATATCATAATATTTGAAGTCGTTATCATCAATCCTCTTCAATTTCACAAAAATAATAGGGAAACACTTTTTAACTTCTAAAAACTGAAGGTGCGTTTTCGCGAGTCACCAAGGATCACCAGTCACCAAACCAAACTCAAGAGTATTCTTACCATCGAATCCATATCCTGCCCTGCCGGACTTCCCTGAGCTTGAGGCGACTGCGCATCGGACTCGGACTTGACAGATGGACTGCTCAAACTGGTCGTTTTGGCGTCGTCAGATCGAGGTGACGCATCCAAACCTGCACCGCCCTCATCGCTAGAGGGACCGTTGCCGCCCTTGTACCGCTTGCTGGCGTAGAATTCTGCGCCGTGTACCGTTTTCACGTGTTTGCGCAGGGAGGACGGATCGGTGTAGCGTTTCGTGCATCCTGGCGCTTTGCATACGTACGGTTTCTGTAAAAAAAGAACATGTTCAATTAAACGTTTGTGCACATTTGTGATATACAGGGTGCGTCTTAAAATATTTTTTCTGCAAATATTTTTAGTTTTTTTTTCGCAAAAAAAAAATAATAATTTGGAATTTTTTGACAAATTTTTTGGAATTTTTTTTAATATGTAGTTAAAAAACATAATATTTTCATAATATGGCAACATAAGTAGTAGATTAAATTTGCAAGAAAGAAAATCAAAAAAAGATCCTGTGGTTCTGAAAATTTAAGGAGAAAATCTTGTTTTTTTAAATTTTCTAGGTTATATATCTCGGTTATTTTGGACTTATTTGGAAAACGGTTAAGAGAAAATGTTTCTTTTATCGAGATATAACAGCAATGAAATATTTGAACTTATTTAAGACTCACCCTGTATAGAGTTCTACACGAAAAAAGACTAAAATATGTTCTGTGTATTAAAATAGACCCATACTGTAATATATTTTTGAAAAACTGGTAAGCTTTTAAAAACACAAATTAATTTCTTGACAAATATATAGGGTGTCCCATTAAAAAAAACCTATAAACCTACGTTGATCAATATTTTACAATTTAAAAAAATAATTACTACCACTGGATTCCTCGAAAAAGGTTTTATAAGAATCTTTTATACATCTTTGATAAGTTGTTAGGCAACGTTTGTGTGTGAATGAAAACTAAGGTGTTCATGACAAATAACAACGTTCATGAGAAGAACTTTTGTATTGAGGTAAATTACGTTCAATTAACTTATTTTGTTGGTTTGTTTGATTTTCCTGTATATTTTAAAATATACAGGAAAATTTAAAAGAAAATGCACGATTTTCAACATCTTTTTTTTGCGGAAAAACCTCATAGACGTGTTTCTGGAGTCGAAATATACCACTCATAAAATATTTGCACTTATTTAAGATTTACCCTGTATATTTTGTATGAAAAATTTTATGGTAAATGTCATCCATGGTTTTTAATGTAATGTGGCTCTGTTTATATTCAATTATACTGTACGAGTATATCTACTGCAGAATAATAATTAGTGTCTAAAATACTCACCGATATTTATATCGCTTCCTCTGTTAGCATCATAATACATGTTTGGTTTAATTATCAATTATATAATATTCACATATAAATATATAGGTACCACTATATTAATCTACGGGGGTCAATTTGGAATACCCATTACAGTATAGAAGCTCAGCAGTGAAATCAGAATATTTCTAAATTAAAGACGTTTTAATATCTTCGATTGACATTGGTTCGAGTTCGTAACCGGTCTCCGCAGAGGTCGATGTATTCCAAATTGCACCCAATTAGACTTGGATAGTGATACGGATAAATATTTAGATTAAATATAGAAAAGATACAGTCATCCGTGGTAAATATCCGCAAGATATACATAAGAAACAACTGTAGCTTCTCCGAGCGACGAATCAACGTTTCCGATGATACTAGAAATTCGCTGTATTATACAATATGCCATACATATAATATAGTTCCATACAATATTCCATACATGACCGTTTCGGTCTTTGACACTGACTTGAGCGACTGTCTGTCTTTCTTTTGAATATATGTCTTTTTTACCAAACATTTAAATTTTGGCTATTATTGTTATATTATTTATTTATCGGATATAATGTGTGGGATGTTAAGACTATGACAAAAAGACGACAAACTGTATAGAAAAAACGCGATTAATTGAAGATCTTGTCAAACATCTTGTAATATTGCAGATTGATCTTAGCTGTTTCCAAGTAGTATTTTAAAACTATTGAAAACGTACGAGGGGTAAACCGCAGAGGGAAAAGTGTACACCGTAATTCCTTTTACTCAAATAATTCCTCAGAATTCCTCGTAATTCCTTCGGAATTCCTTGAAATTCCTGGTCTTCAAGGTCAAAGTCAATCATTCAAGGTCTTCTTTGGAATTCCTTGGTACGAACTCGGTAACTCGTTCAGTCTGAACCAGCGTTGCCACCTCGGTTTCGCAGTTCCGCTATGAATTTTCTGGTGATTTTTATAAATGTCTAATGTCTCTATAAGTACTAGATCTAACAATTAAACACTATTACGAGATTTACGTTTTTTTAGTTAAATTTTAGGATTAATAGGGGATCATGAGGTAAAAATACTGGAAATATGTCGGCACTTACTTATTAAAATTAATTTTTCTCGGAATTTTTTGAAAATGATAGGTACCTAGTTATACTCGTATCTATAGGAAAGGAAATTAATAAAACTTCAGTTGCACGTCATAATACGATCACCAATCCTTAAGATTACGCATGGTATCACTGATGAAGTGCACCTAAAGTTGTATTAATTTCCCTATATCGTATATACCTAGATATTATTCCGAGGAAATGAAAAATCAACTTTACACTTTCTGAGTACTGAATAAAAAAATCTTATAAGGGTTTCTTTAAAATGGCGAAATCAGGGAACGTTATAAGTAGATCTCTCGGGGGTGGTTCGGCCGTACTATTGGAAAATATTTTAGATATATAATCGAGGGTACAATATTAAATTAAAAGAATATCTAACCTGCAGATATTTGATATTGGGAAATTTTGGAAGCGAAAATGAAAAACGGATAGTAAAAAATCGTCTGCAAAACGTTTTTCTTTAAATTTAGTACTACCTATTATAGTATTCATGGTTTACTAATGTTCGTTAATTTTTTATAAAGTTGCTTGTAATTCCTCTTAATTCCTGTGGAATTCCTCTAAATTTCTAAGGAATTCCTTGGAATTCATTGGAATTTTTACGGAAATAATTGGAATTCCTAGTAATTCCTATGGAATTCCTTGGAATTCCTCGTAATTCCTTGGAATTCCTGTAGAATTCCTTCATAGTGTACACCATAAATCCTCTGCGGTTTACCCCTCGAAAACGTATATCGAGTCAAATTGTCGTTATGAGCCGCATGGTACAATTTCAAATAAACCATATCCAAAAATCAAAAATATCAAAAATTGACATATGATATGTCATTCTATTCGGAGTGTCATTTTCTACCGTATAATGTAAAACATACCAAGGGTATCATTTGAAAATCAAAAGTTGTAGTCATTTCGGGTAAAACAGGAAGTGACCAAGAACAGTTGGCACTCAACCCTAATTTATATCATATACTAACAAACCAAATCTCGTTTTCTTATCTGAAAAAATAAAAAAGTTATAAGGGGTGAGCCACTTCCTTTCTCGAGACGCACACACAGACGGTATAATATCATTTTTATTTGAGGTAAATTAAAAAAATAATATCTATATCTTTGTTGCAGGTTGCTTTTGTTCTAAAATTGAAGTGAAAATTTGGTGACAAAATTATGCGTTTTATTTGACACCTCAAAAGTCAAAGTGCTTTTTTACTTTGACTTTTCAACATTGTGACGTGCATTCGTCAACTTTTATTCTTTTTACTATAATTACTTATGGTATAGCTTAATACACGTAGTTTATAACATTTTTGTAAACAAAGCAGATTAGTTTCGATAAAAACTGTGTTTATCACGATAAAAGGTCCAATTCTATTGTGGTAACTTGCTGTATCTTTTAGTATATTTAATCTAAAGATAAAAAATCTCTTCCTTACCTCGTTACTGTGTGTCCTGTTTTGGTGTTTCGCCCTGTCAGAAGCATTGCTGAAAGCCTTGGAACAGCCAGGGTACTCGCAGGTGTACGGTTTCTCACCTGTGTGCGATCTCAGGTGAGTCTTCAAGTTTTCCAGTCGAGAATAAGCCTTCACGCAGCCTTCGAACTGAAAAGAAAAAGACAAAAATATGAGTAATTTTTCCAATGAGGTTCCTTATACACAACTCGAGCTTGTGTCTACTTTGCGTTGTTATGCTGAGAAGCAAACATAATTTGCAATGCCTGACTTCACTCTTTCACCTCTTTGAGTACGTTTTTTATCCCTGTTAAGTTGTACTAATGTGGTGATCCTCTAAATAATCACCACATTCACAATATCACTGGTAGGTACATTTTTCCTCTTGTTTTGATGTTTCAAGCCACTCGGAAAGCTTAAATAATATCTCTTAAAAATAAAATTGTTTTAAAAACATCTGGCGCAGTCGGTAGGATTACATAATTTTTCTTATTATGATTGTCCGTTTCTAATAAAAAAATCTTATTTTAGCTTTATATTTTATAGGTGGATGCAATGTGATGAATGTGAATTAGGCTACCGATTCAGCGAAGCTTCATATTTTAGTGTTTTATTAAATTAGAATATTTGATTTTCCGTAAATGTCAAAATCGCAACATAGAGAAAATCTAAGTTCGACATAACGCCTTCAAACAAAAATATTGAAAAAGTTCAATTGTGGAATACTACTTACCGTGCATTTGTGAGGTTTTTCTCCTGTATGCCTTCGCATATGAACCACCAGCATGTACTGTGCCTTAAAGGGTTTTTCTGCTCTCGAACACCCTTCCCATCGACACACGAATGATTTCTTGTTTGCGTGAATATGATCATTGTTTATATGCTAAAATATTAGATAAAATACATTAAATCTTTACCCAAACAAGACATTAAATAAATTGTTACCTTAACTAGTTCATCCTGAGTATTGAATTCGGTTCCGCAATCTTTCCAATGACAGTTCGTTTCGATAAAGTCACCGGGTTCATCTTTGAGATCGTTTTGGTCGCCGTTTCCTTCCGATGGATTGGCGGCAGAAATGGGTTCTTTTTTGATTCTGGGATGATTTCGAATTTCTACGTCTATGATGGAGTTGTGGTGATCGGATTTTCTTCTATCATTAAAATTCTAAAACAAAATTAATATTTGTTAATATTTCTGCATTATTTTTTCTACACGTTGATATTAAGTTAAGGATGACCTACGTTTTTTTTAAATTTTACATTGAAAATTTCTAAGAACTTAACATATAATATATAGAAACAGAAATATAATGATTCCAGAAATAGTAGAATTACTATTGTTAATGGAGTATACAGGGTCCGGCAATAGTGCCTCGGGCATCTGTAGCTCCTAGAATAAAAAATTTGGGAATTTTGTGCAAACCTAAAGTATGTTCTGGGATGTATTTCAGGAAAATATTTTAACTTTATAAGGCTTTAACAAAGTGTGAGTGGATCGGGATGATTTTTTTTAAATGCAACACCCTGTATATTATTGCATTTTTTGGCTTCCTTTCAGACCACTTTACATAATGCTATGATATGAGTAAATATTAGGGTTGGCATGATTTAAATCGTGATTTAAATCAAGTGATTTTTTTAATTTTAATCATGTGATTTAAATCAAAACAAATAATTTTATTGAAACTTTATTATAAATCAAAAAATAACTGTAAAAGTTATAAAAATGTGTCCTACAAAACTATAAAATATATTTCTATAACAGATATAACAGATAATAAATCGAAAAATAATTGTAAATGTTATAAAACTATATAAAAATATCTATTCATCAATTTAAATGTTGGACCGATTTTTGAAGTAATTTCGTGTGAATCCATTGGACCGCTAAACGCAGGGATTTATTTTAAAATTTATGTATAAGTGACAAAAATTCGCTGTCCGAATACATATTATTTGCAGTCTAATGCCAGATTCTTACCGACATTTTGATCTGCAGTAAGTATTTTACACTTTGACATTAGATAATACTAATTTCATTCTCGACTTAAGACTATTTCCAAACAATAGTGTAACTGTTTATTAAGAGTAAAAATTATACTCTTTTTGATGATGCTGTACCTTTGAAGAACCATCGTAAGGCTATTCCGACGTTACAAGGAAGCACAAAAAGTACATTTTAACTCCTAATAGAACATACATTCTATTTTTTTAAAACATTACAAATCAATTTGAAACATTGCAAATAATATAAATAGTAATCGAGCAACAATTTGTACACTCGTTGAGTTTGACACTTAATATCAGTTTAATAATATATTTTTGTACTTTTGTGATTAGGCGTAACAGTGCTTTACTTTTATATCTAGGCACCAGCTGGTTAAAATGGCAAAAATTAATACTTTTGAGACGTTTGAAAAAAATCCTTTTGATCTGAAGCGAGCGACTTTTTTGCGAAATATATTGGTGACCGATGTGGAAAAATGACAAATGCATCCTAGAATTATTAATTTTATCGATATCGCGCAGAGTTATAAAGATTTAGCCATTTAGGATAGGACTTTAATTGGAAATAAGTCCTAGTCATTTGGAAATCCTATTTAAATATTGTTTTTAATTAAAATCAAAAAATCTGATTTAAATAAAAAAATCTGATTTAAATAAAAAAAATCTGATTTAAATAAAATAAATCTGATTTTTTTGATTTTTAAAAAAAAATTATGATTTTTTCCAACCCTGGTAAATATATTTCGATAATATCAGAGATATTAATAAATAAATAAAAAATATATTTTTTTCAGCCCCTCTTAAAAAAATATTAAAAATACAAGAACTGTCCTGAAATCAAAACTATATTAGGTCTTAGATGGTTTATTAGTTTTAGTATATGGTCTATACGTACTTTGCTATAAATATGGTAATCGTAAATCATACAGAATGTTTAAAATTCTACGCCAAACTTAAAATATAAAATAACTTTTCTTCGTTTTTTTCAAATGGAACACCCTGTATATAATTCTCTCAATAAATGGAGAATTAAGAAATAAACATTTTTTTAGAGTAGTTCAAAATTTTTAATGGTTTCGCAGATATTTGCGGTTTTATATTTCATATGGCATTATCTACAGTAAATTTTTATTAAAGCCACCCAATAATTTTTCTCTCATATTTTACTGCGTGTATCTGCAAAACCATTAAAAATTTTGAAATACTTTAAATACAAAAAATGTTCATTTCTTAATTCTCCATCTAATACAAAAACTGTATCTGATTTAAGTAATCGGGACCCGGCTTTGAAATCCTGGGATTAAAACTTCTAACACCAAGAAACTTATATTGTTATGAGAAATGAGAATGAGAAATCTAATCTACAGAAATACTTAATAAAAAAAGCTACATATTCAAAAGAAAATAAAAAAGGGTTTTATTAAAATTAACAAAACAAAGTAACATTCATGTTTAGTAAGTAAAAAAATACAATTCTCGTCGTAATAAAATATAGGAATTATACTGCTGCTTGGTATAAACAAGATATGATCTTAAAAAGACTAAAGTGCATAAAGTCGAATCATTTTAGATTATGCATTTAAGTTTTTCGAGATTTTCGGGATCCCGGGATTTAATATCGGGATTTTAGGGATAAACATACACCGGGATCCCAGTTTGGAAACGTTAGTATACACTTAAACAAAATTTTTAAGTTTTTTATAGGACCTACAGATGCCTACAGATGCACTGTTGCAGGATATTATTTTCCATGTTGATCATTTCACCAAAAATAATTATCTCTAAATAGAAATAAACTAAAAAAACTGTTCCGCAATACTTACATTATCAGTCTTAGGTAACGGGCCGGCGCAGTGCTGCGCGTGGCCCAGATGCTGCGCGGACCCGTGCAGCCCGAACGCAGCCGCGGCGGCAGCATGCGCATGGGGATGCAGAAGGGGAGGCGCGCCCGGCCCGCGCAGCAGCAGCGCGGGGTGCAGGGCCGGGCTCAGCGCCCCCGCCGACAGGTGGCCCAGCGAGCCGCTGCACGCCGACGAGCTCCTGCTGCCGGCGGCGAGCGAGGCGAGGGAGGAGGGCGAAAAGCGGATCACGGAGGTGAGGTCCAGGTCGGAGTAGGGCGAGGCGGAGAGGGCGCGCTTGCGGGAGGCACGGGCTAGTCGGGGCGAGCATAGGCGCGAACCTGGAAAAAGAAGAAGAGTTTGTTTATTAAAATAATATCAGATTGTTTGGAGTCTTAAATTAACATTAACTATTCTAAAATTACACATAAATCCATACATATACCGGGTGCGTCTCAAAAGTGGCTAGCCCCTATAACTTTTTTATTTTTTCAGATAAAAAACGAGATTTGGTAAGTTAGTAATAATTTAAGATTAATTGACGTATTCGATTGTTTTTGGTCATTTCCTGTTTCACCGGAAATGACTACAACTTTTGATTTTTAAATGACACCCAGAGTGGCAACAAGTCAATTTAAAAAAGTGTTAACTCTTAAATCATTTCTAAAATCAAAATGATTTAAGTCTTAAGTCAAATTCAACACAAAGTCTTAAGTCTTTGACTTAAGTAATTTTATTTCAAGTCAAGTCATTTTTGTAGACTTAAATCAATATAAAGTTATTTAAGTTGTTTTTATGACTTAAATCTATATTTTTGACTTAAATCATGATGATCGGCAAGTTAAATCAGTAAAATAACTTAAATCACTATAATTACCATCAAGTCAAGATAACCGGAATTCAATTTAAGTACTTTTTTTTAAATGTTAATATTAATTTTCTTGAATTATTACCAAATAGCGATTTTCCTACTAAGTATCATATTGTTAATTTATTGTAGATACAGATGAGACTAAAACCACATAAAATACAAAGGTTAATTTTCAGAACAAGTACAAACACAAAAATATGTTTTTTTATAAAATTTAACCGATTTTGTAGTAGGTACTTTAAATGTATCCATTAAAGATGTCATCGAATACATGTCTATTAAAAAGTGGTGATGTGTTTTGATCACTATGTAATATAGGTATCAATGGCATAAGCTAAAGGCTGGAGTATTTTAAGGTATTCTTCAATATATTCGAGATAAACATATTCCAGTTTTTTTTTCTTTCGTTCGTCATTCGGGCTACATAACGGACTCGGGGATTCACTTGAAAGAAAACAGTCTCACTACGCACGCGTAACACGACAAATAATCAAAACCGGTTCCGAAAAACTAACATTTTATTTACTGGTGGTATTGAGCATTGTTTTTTTTATTCTGCTGCTTGGCTGCCGCCTAACAATGCTGCTGTTTAAAAATTTATCATAAAAATATATCTGATGATAAATCTGACTTAAGCCTTTTAGAAAAAGACTTAAATATTTTTAATGACTTATGGCAATATACCTTAATATACATTTTTTCGAAAAGTGTCCTATATTATTGTATTTTGGAAAGCCATAAATAAGCTCTTAAAAATTAATAAAAACACAGGTCTATACCGGGTGCGTCTCAAAAGTGGCTTACCCCTATAAGTTTTTTATTTTTTCAGATAAAAAAACGAGATTTGGTATGTTAGTATATGACATAAATTAGGATTGATTGACATTTTCAGTTGTTTTCTGTCACTTCCTGTTTCGCCGGAAATGACATTCTGAATAGAATGACATATCATATGTCAACTTTTGAAATTTTTGTTTAATATAAAATTTGATTTTAAATTTCAAACTAGAGTGCCATGGCTATGTTAAAAACACTAATTTTTTATCAAGGAGCCTTGGAAAAATAGATTTGATCGTCTAATGTTATTCATGTCTTGTCCTGGCTGATTAAAAGATTCCCAAATCGTATTTTTAATCATATCTCAATTTTTTCAAATGGAACGAGGGTGGCTCATTAGCATATTTGGAAAAAGCATTTTTTTACGAATAATTTTATACCACACACTAAGACTTGGTATTTCGAGTCAAATTATCGTTATGAACCGCATGTTATAATTTCAAATAAACCATATGCAAAAATGTTAAAGTTGACATATGATATGTCATTCTATTCAGAATGTCATTTTCTATCGAATGAAGTAAAAAAATACCGGGGGTACCGCTTAAAAACCAAAAGTTGTAGTCATTTCCGGCGAAACAGGAAGTGATAGAAAATAATTGAATACGTCAATCAATCCTAATTTATGTCATATATTAACATAACAAATCTCAATTTTTTATCTGAAAAAATAAAAAAATTATAGTGGTGAGCTATTTTCGAGACGCACCCGGTATATTTGAAAAATATAGTTGATATATAATATATAATAATTCTAAGAATATTCTCTGGTAAAAAAAAACGTCAGATTAAAAATCTAATAACATCGACTTGTAGAACAGGAAAAGTAACAGTGGGAAAGTAAAATTTCTATTGTCATGTCTATTCCAATAGTGAGAGAAAAATATAAAAATGAAATCGGAAAAAATGTTTTTTTTTCAAATATTTTAGGTAATGCGATTTTTCTTTAGATTTTGAAAAATTGCGTTGTACCTATACGTTGTTGTAGGGTTCAACCAAGCGCAACTTTAATTTAATATAAGCAATTATTTTATATCTCTTCTGTTTTACGAGAGCCCTATTATAGTGTATCTTATACAGGGTGTCCCAAGTATTTTAAGGGGTGATAGATCTCGATAAAAGAAACATATTTTCACTTTACCGTTTTTCAAATAAGTCCAAAATAACGGACTTATTTTACTTTGAAAATTTTCCAAAAAAATGATTTTTGCTCAAATTTTGAGAACCACTGGATCTCTTCTGGATTTTCTTTCGTGTAAATTTAATCTACTTCCTATGTTGCCATATTATCAAGAAATTATGTTTTTTTAACAGAAAACTAAAAAAAAATTCCAAATTTTTTTTCAAAAAATTCCGAAATTACAATTTTTTTTTCGCGAAAAAAACCTCATAGGCGTGTTTCTGGGGTTGAACTATACTACCAGTTAAAATACTTGCACTTATTTCTGGGACACCTTGTGTCTACATATGTTTATTTCGTCTCAACATATGAATGAATGTAGTTTTACGACATGTTTATTTCCTGATAGACCTTGAATATATATTATCTTGTATCGTCTGCGGCACTTTTAACAAATGAAACTTAAAAAAGCAGTCACTTCGTTGAATTCTTAACAAGAAAAATCAGAAAACCGACAAACGAATAAATTATCAACGACTGTAATAAAGACGAAGAGAAATTAACACTTTTAGTACGCGCGTTTTAAGGAAGAAATAAACTTCTAAACAAAACTTTTTATAACTTTATTTAAAATGAATACTAAACGGCTTTTTGAAATACCCGAAAAAAGGAGTAATTTAATTTTACGACCAAAGGTTAGAAACGTTACGGAAGTAGTTAGAAAACAGAATACAAATTAAGCAAATTAACTCGAAATAATTTTGTCGACTATTTTATGAGGAAAGTAATTTAGGAGTGAACTTACCGTCTAAACTAAAGGGGAATTCACTGCTGGCCAGCGTAGAAGCAGGGTGTAGATCAGTCAAGCCTCTTGCGTTCAGGTACTCAGAACTCAGTCCCAGTCCTGTAACAATATCAGAACATAAAAATAAAATCTATAAAGACGAAGTTTCTTTTTTTTACAATCGGAATCGAATTATGTATAGGGTGGCGCCTCTCATACGCCGCGGAGTCTCCAAGGAGAACGACAGTTTGTATTGAAATGAAATTTTGTGAGCATATGTAGGTTAATTCAGAGTACTTTTTAAAAATACAGAGAGTTCTACAGGGTGTCCCCAAAAAAAGTTACATATCAAAGTTGTGTTTTTTGTAATGGAACACCCTATATATTAATTGCTGTCCGGATGACTAAAATGTACCGGTTTTTGACATATTTAACATTTTCTAGAAATAAAGAACAATTTTTAAATTACAATAAAAGCTACCTAAATTGGAATTTACCAGGTATAGCGTAATATGTAGTTAAATTAACTACTGTACTTTAAATCAAATTAAAACTTGATCCAAAAAGTTATACAGGGTGAGAGAAAATTAATATTGAACATTGGTCGCCTTTAAAAGCATGTTACTCTTTTATTTTAAATGGAACACCCAGCATATTATTCCGATATTCAATGGAGAATTCATGTTTCTTCAAAATACTATTAAAGTTGCTTACCCTTGAAACAAAAATTTTCCTAGATATTTTCATTTACATGATTTGATCTGAGTAGATCTTTATTATTTGATAAAATCTAGGTGGTCTGACGTTACTTCAAACATAGCTGTCTAATTAGTCCAACTTTAACAACTAGTTATCATTTTGTCTCAGTTAAAACACACAAAAAAAAATTCTCAGAAATTTGCCTAAAATGCAAATTTATCCCACATCAGAAAGAATTGATATGATTCTCTTAGTATTAAATTCTATTATTAATAAAATACTTAAATGCTCCTGACTTTATCTAGTCTGGTTAGGTTGTAGGTTGGTTAAGGGCAAAGATATTTTATGGGGATATGTTATAAAGACAGTGTTTACAAAACTCGACCAACTAGTGTCGACAACATGAGAGAAATTATTAAAAACTATACTTAAATACTTAACACTGAAAATAAATTTGTAAAACTTTTAGATAACACGCTGTCAATCAGAGTTATTGATATTGTTAATGCACTTGTGCAATTATTCTACATATAGGACGTACCGTAGAATAGTCTATAACCAAAATTTGACGTCGAATAAATTATTCGATTGTTTCGATTACTATCGATAATTCAAGAAATAAGAAGATGCACAACCTTATGGGCGATTTCGTGGCACAAAACCTGTCCGAGATGTTGCTGGCGTTACCGTCAGCCTGTCCGAGAATCCCGAGATTTAGTTTAGCTCTGCTCCGCTGCGCGTTAATAGTCGTTTATAGAGTAGCGGATAATGAAAACTGTATCGTAGTTCTGCTTTCAGTCGACAGAGTGGGTGAATGGACGGATTTTTGATCCAGAGATATTTTCGTCAAACGTATTACAGATATTACACATTTTAATATGGCAACACAGTCGCTTTCAGTTCCACATCGTCTTTGATATGCCTTCGCTAGCCGAATTATAGAAAATGAATGTTCTATGCTTTGGCCGCAGCAAATCAAATCAGCTTTGTCACAAATTTGCCCATTAAGTTGCGTATCATCTCAATTCTTTCAATCAACATTACTATTTTAAATGGGCCTCCTATGTTAGAAAGTTAAATATTGTTATTTTTTTTACCTTGTTTACAAAATTAATTATATATTTAGAAAGCTCATAACAAGGCAAATAAAATAAAATATATAATATACATATATATATATATATATATATACTTATACATACCATTTAAAAAAAACATAAGTTTGTAAAATAAAATTCTACATAAAACTACATAAAAACTCTATGAAACTCAGTTTTCACCGTTTCGATAAGTTATAAAAAAACCGAGATACGAAGGGGGCCGAAAAATGCAACATTTTCAATTTTGCCCTGTATTTCAGGAACTAAGACGGCTAGGACAAATCTGTGTGTAGCATCTTGTTTCATAAAAAAAAAACAGTGATGTGCAAACTGCATCTTTGTATCTCTATACTCATAAACGAGAAACCCTGCAAAATACACGATAATGGGAGACCCTGTACACTTTTTATATTTTTCAGTATAGGACAAATGTCCGCCTTAATTCACTTCAAGTCAGAACAGTCAAAAAGACCGTTTTTTCGTCTTGCCACAATGTTTTACATGATGTTTTGACAGGTAAATCGTTATGTGTAGAAGGGACCTTTATATGAAAAATAAACACAATAAAAGTTCGAAAATTATCTAAAGATTCATAAATATACACTGATTGCGCCTGGCTGTATTGATTGCAATCGATAAATACTCATTGGTATGTCATCGTGATCACCGCCGAAGCAAAAGTCATAATAATAATAAAGAACGACTCCGGCGCAAATGGAGAGCAAGAAGCAGCGTTCGCTCGGTGCTGGCAACGGTTGCGTGCTCTTCTCTCGTATATTTATTCTCGTTTTAATGATTTATTTTTGCATCGGAAATGTTTATTTAGCCTGCCTCACCGCCACCGTTTATTTATAAGCTGACGATGTTTGTTTGCTGCGCCGCTCGATGACGGATATTACTACTCATTTGTGTTACTGCGGTTACTTTCTTTCTTTTTGCCGTTTATTTGTGCACTCTCTGGCTGCTCCGGCCTGATAGTGGCACCTCGTTAAGAGTTATTTAACGCCCTCGCCTTATTTTGTAACTCGAAAATGAATTTCTTTCTTTAAATGGAATAAATTGTCCGATATACTGTGGTTTTTCACATTTTTATTTAGCATTATTACAACAAAAATATATATTCTTTAAAAGCCTTGCAAATGGCACTATTCAGGAAACCGATTGCCGAAGTGTTACCACTAATCTTTCTATCTCGTACCTACCATCTGAAATATCTAGATCTGAACAATATCTTCTTTTATATACTTAGTCGTAATTAAGTATAAAGTGGTTTAAAACCCGTGAAGCCCTGTTTTGCATGAGGCTATTGTTGCAAAAGTGCTGCGAATTTCGCAAGAACATCTATGTGTGCCTCATCGATTTTGAAAAAGCATTTGATCGAGTCAGACATACAGACCTCTTTCGGCATCTGAAATTGCATAACGTAGACAACTATGACATGCGCCTTTTAGTAAACGTATACTACGATCAAACTGCTGCTGTTAGGGTCGATGAAGGTACAAATGACATCCCAATAAAACGAGGAGTAAGACAGGGGTGTGTTTTGTCACCGTTATTATTCAACTTGTATTCGGAGAACATTTTTAATGAGGCAGAATAGAAGGCGTTAAAATTGTAGGCGAGATTATAAATAACGTAAGGTACGCAGACGACACCGCCATTGTCGCAAAAAGCAGAAAGCATGGACTTGCAAAGGAAGACTTGCAAACGTTGCTAGATTGGATACATGAAGCTAGTTGCAAATGGGGTATTAATATAAATATCAAGAAGACGAAATGGATGTTTGTGGGTAAAATACAAATTAATCCAATACCGATAAAAATCAGCGGGCACAATATTGAACAAGTACCACATTTCAGATATTTAGGAAGCCAGCTAAATAGTGAAAATACATATGACGAAGAAGTAAAAGCAAGAATTGAAATGGGACGTAGAACATTCAAAAAATGGAATACCGCGCTCACTAATAGAAACCTGTCACTGCAAACCCGATTGCGACTACGTTGTTACATATCCACCACTTTTCCACTCTTCTTTTTGGATGCGAGACAAGGACGCTAAAAGTCGAGAATATAAATAAAATAGAAGCCTTTGAAATGTGGTGCTACCGGAGAATCCTTAAGATTTCTTGGTCCGAACATACAAGCAACGAGGAAGTTCTTGGACAGCTGAACAAAGATCGGGAACTGTTAACCACCATCAAAGGTTAGCTACTTCGGACACATAATGCGTGGCACCAAATATTATATTCCTCGTTTGATTATTCAAGGAAAAGTCGAAGGTAGAAGATGGGTAGGTCGAAAGAAACTGCCATGGCTCAGAAATATACGGAACTGGGCCGGTCTGGGGGTGTAGAGGCTGTTTCATGCAGCAGAAGAAAGAGAACTCTTCCACGAAATAGTCATGGAGATCGCCAACGCCTGAAGATAGGCACGGCACCGCAAGAAGAAGAAGGTTTAAAAAATTACACCAGGCTTTAACCTATAATAACTTCTTCTAGGAGATGCGAGACCTTGTCGTTGGTGTGAAAGCTCCTAGTCAGGTGCTAGTGGAAATCCCCTCTGGCACTTTGGCTGGGTCTAACCCGATTGCGAAAGTACGCACCAAGACGTATAATGATGCCGGATGGAACTACCCTGTCTATCATACCAGGCACCCTCTACTGTCTGTGGCCATGTATCACGGGGAGAGGGTGTGGGGAGTCTTATCTTAACAGCCCAAACCAAGAGAAGATAACCTTACCAAAAACCTAAATCATATGATGGCGGAACCAGGTTAGAGGGATGCGTGGCTAGATAGAACACTAGCCTTTACTGGTTTCAACCTTGGGGCACCAGGGGGCAACCCATTGTATTCTCGTCCTCTTACTTCTACATGGGAGTAAGCTATGGGACTCCTAACCCATGTGGTGTAATTGACCTCAAATCCAAGAAATATAAATAGAGAAAGATGGATATATCCGCTATTATAAATTCGGGACAATACCGGTATCAGGTCTAAGGAGAGATCTAAGTTAAAGAGGTGGAAAAAAATGGAGACAGATCCTCCAGCCTCCACCTCACGGGTACCTCAGCCAGAGACAAGTCCTTCGACCTTGAAGAGATATTCAATTGTGAAGGGCAAGGAGGGCTAAACCAAAACCGTGGAAGAGTACATACCCTCATAGGAGGTAGATATCAACTCCTCGGATCTATTGTCAGAGGAGGATAGGAAATACCCTGTCCTCCTTACAACAGGAAGATCCCGATGTATGATAAGTTATCGACTGTATGATGAGCAATAACTCAAGAAAGACACAATAGATCTTTAAGGTCGCGCTGA